AGAACCCCCCAATTCTACGCCTCTAGCATGCTTGCGTCTGGTTGAGTGTTGACGCATGGCTTTGGCTGTGCCTGCGATCTCCCCCAAAGATCGGGGTCCATGATGAAAGTGTCTTAGTAGGGAATTCTTGCCTCATGTCCATTTTGTTGATTTTAGAGATTCCCCTTAGAGGCTCCCTTACTAGTTACTAGGGGGTCCCTTAGAAGGATTCCTCTGAGAGCGAAGCTAAAACGATGTTGCAGGTGTGCGCCATCATGACCAATAGCACCTTCGGGGATGAGGCGCGGCTGCTGTGTGCATGAGTGCCTTGGCAGAGATGAGCCATCTCGATTGAAGAGCTCTGCTTTTCATCGCTTTGCTTTATCTCGTTTCATTGTATTGGCTGATGTGTGAGAACAGTCTTGCAACAGCTCTTCCAGAACAAGAGCTGTATGCTCCCGATCCTAGCGATGATGCATCCGGGCATAGGAAAGTTGCATGTTTTGCTTTTGTGGCTGTCCTGTGAGGCACCATGAAGCGCTTGCCCGTTTATGAATAGTACTGCTGGAATCTTTTGTGGAATCTGATTTGGACATTCATCTTTTGCCATTTGAAAAACAGGTTTGCAATCTTATCATGTCGATCTAGTTATTGACTCCAGTGGCTGGACGACTTACTGTCAGTTATCGCGGACAATTTCAATTAATGCTGTAGATTCTTCTGGGTTGCTCTGCTTGTTTTGCTGCGTTGGTCCGTGAACTAGACCTATTGCCCATGTCACTTCAGGAAGAATAGGCGAGAGCACAAGGACATGATCACATGATTTGACGTGAAGCTTGCTTCTCCAGTGCACATATACCCATTCACAGCATGAGAGAACAATGGCCATCCGCACGGCCCAAATTTTTTTTATAACCCTTGTGCCAGTCTTTTTGGAGCGACGCCAAAGCACAGGTCCAGAGCTTGCCGAAGGGCTCGTGAGCGTTTCTGTACGAGCCATGTTGTCTTCGGAAGCGTCCTGCGGGCATAGCAAGCGTGACCTGCTGCGTCGCGTGCTCGTGGTGGCTTTGCCGAACTATCCCATCAACCTGGTGACGAGGTGCGTGGGCTTGGTGTCTACGAGCATGGTGGGGCGTCACGTCAAGGACATGGTTGCCATAGCAAAAGCCACATCCGCCAGTGAATCCTCATGAGCCACCTGTTTTTTTGGTGTTCTGAGGAACCCTGACAAAGTTCCATTTCCGTTTTGTTTAGCCTCCCCAGTTCGAGTAAACTCGTCAGAGTAGCCAAACAATGGTGCACCCGTGAAATGCATCCAACTTGAACTACCAAACCTAGTAGGTTCAATGAACTATCTCAATCTGTAGGCAACAACCTATAGTTTAAGCAACCTCCTCTTTGTTCGAATTTTCGGGAGCCAACAGTGAGCCAGCCTTTTCAGGACCCGGCTGCCTTAGCGGCCGTGGGGTTGAGCAACGTGATCACCAACATCACCGGGTGCCCCAGACCTCCAGCGGCGCCTCTTTTCTCTTTTCTTTCTCCATCTTCTTTTCGAGGTACCCCAGACCCCCAAGTTGCTTGAGGTGACCCCTTTTTGAGGGAGCTTCCCCGCCAGCGAGGAGCGTGGCCCCTTTTTCGGAGCCCGCTTCGGGCCTTCGGGCTCCGGAGGTACTCGGCGCTCTGGGGCTTCTCCAGCGGGGTGAGCACTCTGAGCTCCCAAGACTGGGGCGCCGGGAACTTCCAGGCCCTGGGCCTCACGAGCCTCGGAGAACCAAAAACGGACAAAACGGGACGAAAAAGCTGCGGGGCATCTCGGGGAACCCTCTGGACGTTTTCTCCTTCTTTGGTGGAACGGGCTCATGGGTGAAACGAGCTCATCGTTTGGATTCCCCGTTTCAGGTGCAATTGTTGTTGTAAAAGGAGGAGACGTGCTGATCTTTGGGTCGAAGCTCCTCTGTGGAGCCTCCAAGAAGTTCAGGCTACAACGGGCGTATCTGATTCTGGTTCTCTGCATGTGCTTGCCCCTGCTGGTGCTGTGGCTCTACTCCGAGAGGCTTCTCATAGCGGTGGGCCAGCATCCCGAGGCGCTGCAAAATCCTCCCACTTTACAATCAGGGTGCCCCCCAAAGGGTGGCAGGCTCTGGTATGAACCTCAAGCCTTCAGGGTATGTGAGGCAACTTCAGAGCTATCATAGACCACTTGTGGAAAAGGCTTTTCATGCAAGACTTGTTGTGTTTTTACAATTTCCTTGGAGAACGATGGGGGACTCACAAAAAGCAATACTCATTGTAAAGACACCCTGCCCCGAGGTGGCGCACTATGTGGGTATCTACACCTCGGTGCGGTGCTGGGCGTTGATGTTCATGCCCATGAATTGCGTGGTCACGCGCACGCTGGGCGCCATGAGCAATGTGAAGATCAATTTGGCAATGAGTTGCAAGGCTCGGAATCACTAGAGTTCCTTAGGCTTTTTGATTGGAGTTTGGAGGGGTTGATGGCACATCCCACAAGAAGTGTGTCTTTCAGAAACTCAGTGAAGCTTCGTAAGGTTTGACGGCCTCTGTGCTGAATGTGACCTTGAGCTTCACGTTGGTGCCATGGCTTGGGTTTGTGGGTGCCCCTTTGACGGCCTGCATTTGCGACATCTATGAATGCGTGGGAGTTTTGTGCCTTGCATTTTTTTGCAGCACGGACTTCCGGAAGTGCTGGGGGGGCTTCTCCAGAGAGGCCTTCACAGGGTGGAAGGCCTACTGCAAGGTGTCGCTGCCCGCCCTGGTGCTCATGTGCCATTGCCAGAACTTACCTTTTTGCCTTTTCCTGCTTTGGGTTCCCTTCAATTGACTAATTGTTGGGGGTTGTCAAAGTCAGAAACTGTTGTTGTTTGCCTTCCTCCTGCCACTTGGGGAGTGACCTTGATGGCGAAGCTGTGAAGCTGCTTGTGCAAGTCGGATCCTGAATGGTTGGGCTTTTGTTTGGTTTCCCATCAAGCCAACCCCACGAAGACGCGACTACATCCAAAACACAGACATCCACTCCTTCCCCTTGTTTGGAGGTTACACAAGCGGACAACAGAAAACAGCCTCCGAGTTTTAGGCATTCTTCTTGTGTTGTGCATTTCAATCTCCATATATTTTTTTCTTTTTCCCTCCCGTTGTCCATTTGCTCCGCATTTGCTGTGTCGGATTTCTCGATTTTTTTTCCGAAGGCCAAAGGCCGCCGAATTCGAAGTCGAAGTCGAATTCCAGGTGCATCGAGTGGTGGACCTGGGACCTGCAGAGCTTCATCGCGGGCTTCATCTCCGAGAGCGCCCAGGCGGTGCAGAGCGTGGCCCCGGCGGTGGGGGACCTGCAGTATGCCGTGGGCCAGGCGCGGGCGGGCGCCCGAGCGGTCGCCGGTGGCTGCCATGGAGACGCGTCAAAGGACTCAGATTCACATTTGAGTTGAGTCCTTTTGGGGGGGAACCCCAGAGGGGAGCCAGTAAATTAGCATTTGATTTGTTTTGTTTTTGGGGGAAACCCCCTCCCCTTTTTTGGGGCTTCATGCTAGTAGGGGAGTGAGTAAATTAGTAAAACGAGCCCTGGGCATTCTTCATGGGTTTAGACCAAGTGCCAGGTCTGACGGTATGACTGAAATTGGGGTGAAAGTCGATGGCAAAACTTGGCTCATTTGGGTTTCATGACTCTCCTTACCAGTTGGTGCAACAGAAAGGCAGAAAGGGAATTGTGCCATCTAGTTTCACTCTGGTGCAGGGATGGCTTTAAACGGAAACCAAACGGACCACTCTTTTTCTTATTTTTGTGCTTGGGGAGTCCTGCTGTTATAGGACACACACTCAGACACATGTACCAGGAATGCTCATGTATGCTCCAGCAAAGCTGGATGACGGAAGTTTCTGAAGGGCTGACATGCCTATAGGAGGAGTGTTTTGACGAAAGAAACCAATTTCATGTTTTCGAGAAAACCAATAAACCAAACAGCAACCCCCAAACTTGGCCCCGGATCCCCTGCAGCTGCTTCGTCACTTGTTTTTCTCCTGTCAACAGGCACAGCCCTGTGTTGGCACACTTGCTAGTTGCACTTGTGGGCTGCTTGCACTACTGGCACTGCTGGCACTGGCGCTGGCACTCTGCACTGCTGCGCTGCTCATCTTCGCAGCGTCACGCTGCGCGCTGCGGAGCGTTCCGACGGCTGGCCTGAACTGGCGCACTCGTCGCTGTAAGCAGGTTTTAAATGAGCATGCCTTCATCTCTATTCCCTTCTTTCTTTCCTCCTGTATGTCTTCTTTGTTTGTTCCTTTCTTTCTTTATGTTCTTTCTTTCTTGCTTTCTTTCTGTCTTTCTTTCTTACTTACATTCTTTCTTTCCTGCTTTCCTTCTTTCTTTCTTGCTCACTTTCTTCCTTTCTGTCTTTCCCTCTTTCTTTATTACTGTCTTTGTTTATTCCCATCTTTGAGTACTTCTTCGAGTCTTTCTTTCTTTCTTTCTTTGTTTCTTTCTGTCTTTCTGTCTGTCTGTCTTTCTGTCTTTCTGTCTTTCTGTCTTTCTGTCTTTCTGTCTTTCTGTCTTTCTGTCTTTCTGTCTTTGTGTGTTTCTGTCTTTCTTTCTTTCTTCTCTTTCTTGCTTTCTTTCTTTCTTTCTTGCTTCTTTATTCCTTTCTTTCTTCATGCCCTTCGTTCTTTCCTCCTTTCTGTTCTTTCTGTCTTTTTCTCTTTCTTGTTTTTCTCTCTTCCTCTCTCTCTATTTTTTCTTTTGGATCATGATCAATCTATCTATCTCATCTATCTATCCATCCATCTGTCTATCTGCGCCCGACCTTGCGAAAGTGCTGCGCCTGCCACATAATCTGTACTTGACCTTGTGAATGTGCTGCTCCTGCCACGAACTCTTTCTTCCTTTCTTTTCTTTCTTCCTTCCTTTCTTGTCTTCTTTCTTTTTCTCTTTCTTGTCTTTCTTTCTTTTTTTTCTTTCCTGTCTTTCTTTCTTTTTCTCTTTCTTGGCTTCCTCTCTCTCTGTCTCTTCCATTGGATCGATCTATCTATCTGTTTGTCTGTCTATCTATCTGAACCCGACCTTGCGAAAGTGCTGACATAATCTGTAGTACTTGTCTTTGCGAATTTGCTGCGCCTGCCACGAAATCTGGAACCGATCTTGTCAAAGTGCTGCGACTGCCACGAAATCTGTACTTGGCCTTGCGAAAGTGTGCGCCTGCCAGAAATCTGCCCTTGACCTTGCGAAATTGCTGCGCCTGCCACGAAATCCGTACTTGGCTTGCGAAAGTATCGCGCCTGTCACGAAATTTGCACCCCAGGGTGCGAAAATCATGCGCCTGCCACGGAACAGGGGCGCAGCAGTTAACGTGCCCACTCCATTACGAGTCGCACATGGCGCGACTCACATTCCCAAAGTGTTGCGCCTGCCACGCTTCCAGACCGCAGCGAACCCGCGGCGAACCCGCGGCCAGACCGCGGCGAACCCGCGCTGAACCAGAGGTAGCCTTCGCGATCGCGCCAAAGGCTAATATGTTGCGCCTGCCGCACACTTCCTTCCGTCTCTCTCCTTCTTTGCAGTTCTTCTTTGCATTTCTTGCTTACTTGCTCTCTTTCATTGCACGACTCTGCTACTTCAACTTTGTGTTACGGAAGTTTTCTAACTAAGCTTCCTTTGGTTGTGGGAACTCAGTGTTCCTCGTACCACCTCTTCATGCTTCATGGGGCTTCTCACTGCCCCATGATCTCCAGTGGGAGGCCTTTGGGCACGGCGCCTCCACCGTTGTGGGCAACATGCTGGGGGAGAACGACCCCAAAGCTGCCAAGATGGCAGCGGTGCTGACGGTGGCGAAGCCGTGGGTTGCGTTTCTCTTTTTCCCCAGCTTTTTCGTGCGAAGGGGGCTTGCGTTTTGAAACGAGAAACAATTGGCTGTGGGAAAAACAGGTTGTGTTTTTGCTGCCCGTTCCGTTCCCCTTCGCCTAAAGATGGTCTTTTGCGCCGCTCAAAAAAGGGGGGCGCCCTTCTTTCCCTCCGCAGATCCACCGGCCACCGGAGGTGGTGATGAACGCCACGGTCATGCTGCTACAGGCGTCAATCTTTGCGGTGTTCCGGAGAGACTGGGCGCTGAAGGTGTGTGCCCTTTTTCGATCTAAGTTGTTGTGTTGGTCTAAGAGACACCACGATGAAACCACCCACTTCGGGGTCCCCTACTGTTGAGACAAACCGTGCCAACTCCAAACCGCCACATATGGTGATAGACAGGTTTCTCACTTTTCCCAGACCCAACGTTTAGCACCCAGGCGACGTTGCTGCGCTGTTCACGCAGAACCCACAGATCCTGGCCGGCATCATGTCTTTGTTGCCCTTCTCGCTGATATTCAGCTTGATCGATGGGAACCAAAGCGCCATCGCCGGAATTTTGGTGGGGGCAGGCAAGCAGGACACGGGGTTCATTGTAGACTTGATCGGAGAATCACATGTACGAACTACCTCAAAGGGCATACAATTATACAGTTAGTTGTTTCGAAGCATGCATGGGTACAATCCGGAGCGGCTTTTTGTTAGTAGGCCAAACTTGTCACAAACAAGAGGGCAAAAGGACCAGCCTGGTAGGACGTGGGTGCCGGCATCGTTTTTTTCTGCTATTGGGTGGTGGGTGTGCCGTTGGGCATCCTGCTGGCCTTTGGGATCGGAGGCTTTCTCCAGCCTGTGGGGCTGAAAGGCAGGGCTGGGTGCAACTTTTGAACACGACCGTACCCTGGCCATCTTTACAGAGCCACAAGGAGGTGCTTTAGGCAAGAAATCGCTCCAACTTTGGTGAGAGGTTTGTGGATCGGTATGCTGGTGGCGGTGTGCGGGCACCTCTCCATGTTCCTCGTGCTGCTTTCGCGCCTCAATTGGCGCAACCTTGCCGAGCAGGTAAGGGCCCGCGAGGAGTCGCAGGGGAACGCGCCGGAATCAATCAGCCTCATAGAGGCGTCTTGGAGCGGCCAGGCGCCTTGACTGGCCCGAAGCTCAGCGGTATCTCTGGGATCAGCGGTATCTCTGGGAAGGGACCGTTTTGGTTGGTGTACATATAGCTCAACTTTGGGCGGCTTCACGTGTCGCAGCGTGCGATATCGCAGCGTGTCGCAGTGTGCAGCGTCCGAGCCAGAAACGGGCTTGGTGCGTTTTGTCTCTTTTTTCTTGAGACGACAAAGATGCGTCAGCGGACATCCAGTTGCGCTCAGAGAGCGATGGTGAAAACAATGCAAGGCGTTGTTATGGAGAGCCTCCTGATGTGAAGATTGCTTCCGCTTCAGTGCACATATGTCGTTGTCCTCCGAAGTCGGGCTAGTGATATTTTGAGAGGCAAAAGGGCTCCAGTTTTCAACTGCCACTTGGACAAAACCAAGGGCGCTTGGGGGCCATTTTGGGGTAGGTGCACTGGTGCACCACCCATTTTCGTGTATTTTGCTGGAGGTTGGGATGTTCACTGGGGTGGAGCCTGGATTTGGTCAATCCCCTCCCGCTTCGGGCCTGGGCCCGCTTCGGCAGGTGGAGCGCCTGCTGCAGCTGCGGAAGGCACAGGGCGTGGCCAAGTTCTCACGGCGAGGCCGCTGGCAGGCGCTTTGGGGCCCTGAGCGGTGGGGAGGGGTGGGGTGGGTGGGGGGAGTGGGGGCGGGCCATCCATGATTGTTTTGCTTGATTTCGTGGATGCAAACAAAGATGTTGGTGACTCTGTTTTTAGCCAAACCATGATGGGACCACCAAACGCGTATTTTCTCAAATCAACAGGAAACCGATGGATATTTCCTTTTAAGCTGCCACGTGCGATTGACTTCGACAATAGCGAAGCATGCGGTGTTGTTGGACCAGGCCCTGTGACGACCTTCAGAGGGAATCCGAAAGGTGATTGCTTCAACAGTAGCCAGACGTGTTGACACAGTTGAACTTGTCTTTTTGGTGGTATTTAGAAAAGTACAACCAATAGCCATCTGGAATTTCAGGGGGACCCAGGAGAATCCACATCCCCAGCACCCACCGTTTTTCATCGCTTCAGGCGCAGCTCGCGTCCGGGAGCTCCTCGCTCAGGTGCAAACTTTCGCGCGCGCGCGCTTGCGCGTGGACGGGTAGTTGCTTGGAGCATGTGCAGAGAATGCGAAAGGTTCCTTGTCAGGTTTGGGAAGGAAGATTCTCAGAAAACGACTGGAAGCACCACTAGATTTGTCATGGCGCAGCCAAATGTCAACCAACAACCAAACGAGTATCGGTGCAGGGCTAGCATGGATCCTAAACCTGGTGAGGACAAAAGAATGGCATGACCACCACCAGTCCTCTTGCGATGGCTGGGGGAGAGAGGCGGTAACTTTCCGAGCCCGAGAGAGGGTCCAGCCTTCGTAGGCTGGGCCTGAATGGCGTCTACGAGGCCAAGGACGAGCTGCCGGACTTTTGGCCGGCACCCTCAGAGGGGGCTGCGTCTCAAAGACAGGAAGGGGATGAAAGGGACCTTCCGCAATGGGTGCAGCCTGGGAGTCCGGGGTCCGTTGTTTTTTGGGGGCGACTCAGCACTAGGGCGGATCGCCAGAGGTTCTTCCAGACCTGCAGGGAGTTTGGCTTCTACCAGACCTGCGAGGTGGCGATCGATCGCACGGGGTCGTTATTGCAGCGAGCTGGCGGGATCCTGGTGTGGATTTTGAACATGAAAGCGAATCGTCTTCGGGCACTGTATGCGAGGTCCGAGTCTGGCCCAGTTTGCTGAGACCCTTCTGGGTCAATGCCATCGTGCCGTTCCGTCGCCGTGGCGCCAGGCCACAGGTGGCTGCATGTTCGTGCGGGACCTCGCCAACGTCAGCTACTATGCAGCGAATTGCAACTCGGCGAGAGCGCAGAGGCTTGGGGGGATGTTTGAAGCATGATTACAGAATGCTGCCAATCACCATGCATATTGCCCTCTTAGCTACACGGGTCAGAACTTGCCCCTTAAAACAGAAGTACACATTCCTAACAGTACATTGCCTCCGCAGGAGGGTTGTTCCTTTCTCACTTGGAAGTGTTCCTGCCACCAATAGAAGAACCACTCCTCCCAGAGCTTCAAAGTTGTCGATTTCGTATTTGCCAAGGGAGGGGGCTGCTCGGGGCTTTGTTGGTACAGGCTCCCACATCGCATGTGTTTTTATTGTGCACGTCATCAAAAGAGTGCTGTGCAAGGCCTCGATTTCACCTCGAAGTAGTAGGCATATGATGTTTGTTCCCTGGGTTAATAAACCCTCTAGATTCATAGGCTTCCTTTTCTTCAGAAGAGAAGGATTCCCTTTGAACAAGGACACCCTCCTTATTCATCCACCAGGTTGATTCAGCCGGGGTCAGAGTTTTACGGAATCCAAACATTCTGAGATGGGGTGACGAAGATAACGAGGCAGTTTACTGACACCGTGCATGACAAATATGTTGGCCGTTTAGATACGGAGTATAGCCAGCTTTCCCTTCCGCTCCAAGCAGGGCACGTAGCAAGGTGGGTGTTGGGGCACCTTGTTGAACATGTCCAAGCCACTGACCATGGCTTAAACGACATCTTTTCAGCATCCATCCCATCAACACCTGATTGGTGTTGGCGCTATTGCTGATTCCACTTCAAGCAGGGCAGAGAGGGCTCCGAGGGCGCTGGACCCAAGCTTTGGCTTGAGCCTCCAAACAGCTTACACAGCTGGTGAAGGCTGGAGGTTTATAAACGCCCGATTTGGCCTCAACCTTCTTCGGCCCGCGTCATATTAGAGTAGGATGATCATTTGGAAGCCCCCTGCATGGCTGCATGGCCGGTATTTGCATAAACTGGCACGGATGCGGGAAGAACATGGTTCCCTTGAACAACTGACGCAGGGATCAAAAGGCACGGCACGAGGGTTCTTAACACGGGCCCATGCGCTACGAATCTGATGGCCGATTGAGGCATGAAGCTCTACAACATCACACTTGGGGACCGGGCTGCGAGTTTTGAGTGCTGCTGGTGTGTCATCGTAATCGAGCTGAGCAATCGGCCGTCTTTTTTTGCCGCAGCCGGCGCTGCAGCCATGACCTTGAGGCAGCTTGCAGTCGGTCCAACCCTGTTGGCTTGCACTAGTCAACAGAGAATGCCGACCGTGACCAGCTAGCAAACAAATCTGCCGCAATCACCTCCCCCAACCCGCCTGAAAATCGTGGCTTTGGCTTTGCCCGGCGTTTCCGCCGTGTCGAAGCATGCTGAGCGCATGTTGCGCCGGAGAGCTGGACCGCAGGACGTCCAGTCCAACATTGATGGCACCAACTACCACTACGGTGGCCTTCTTCCGTGCGGGTCTCAGCGTCAGAAGCTCCCAGTCGGAGATGGCCGGTGGAGCTTGTAAGCATCAAGGCACAGACTCTCAGCCGTTTGGGGCTAAAGTGCCGACCTGATCTGTGTGAGAGGGGCATTTCCAGAGCATTAAAACATCAGCAGGCATGAGCCAGCTGTTAGGGAGCAGCTTTGAAAGCGTGAAGAGCCTCAACAAATTCTCGCTCGTGGCTCTTTCATTTCACCCAAAGGCGGCTTCAGGTGGGGGCAAATCGATGCGTGTTGTTTGACTCAGCACCAAGTTTGACTTGTGTGTCCCCAGAAACTCTTGACCTCAGCAGGGCTCCTTAAAAGATACATTTTGCCCATTTGAAACATGGCTTTTTCCACCAAGATAAAGGGAAATCACCATGTACAAGGCAATGTTCAGGTGTATAATGTAAGGATCCCTGCTCAGGACTGGGACCAAGGGACAGCTTGGCAGGCACGGGAGCGTGGCTTCGGCAGAGTGGCCTCGCAGACAACTGGGATTGCGCAGCTCGCAGGGAGTGTGTTGCCCCCAGCCCCTAGCTAATGAGACATGCATGCCATGATTGATATGGCTGTGGGTCAAAAAAGGGTACTCAAAAAGGAACCCTGGTAAATGAACCGAGGACTAAAACCTGTGGTCCCTGGTGGGTTAATTTTGACCCATACCCATATTTGAGTGGGGTTGAGCCATGCGTGCCATGGTTGACCATGTTTCCTTCCCTCCGGGCCATGGAAGCTCGACGGGGATATTTGGCCGACTAGTTTGCGCTCTGAATACTTGCTCTCCTGAATTAGTCCAGTATGTTCAGGGGAATCTCTCTTGTTTGGGGACACGTTTACGGGCTCCATGTAAGTTTCAGAGCAGTGCTCTTTGCGTGCTTTGTTGTTTTTAATTTTGACAGGTGCGTGATGTTCCCGAACGGCGAGGTGGATCCTTGGTCCACTCGCAGTGTGCGCACGGGTCGGGGTGGATGGAAAAGGGATTGGCCTTCTCGGGTTCGTCTTAACAGTGTGTTCTGTTCATGAACACTTTCCTCACAGCACTGCATGCGGATGCAAAAGCGGTGGGTCCCGCCACCCGCGGGCAGCATTGCCAGCGGGCCTTCGAGTATGACCCGGTGATTTTTTTCGCACGCTGAATTCTCTCGGCCTGGTGAAACAGAATGATTGATTTCCACTTTTTGCACCACCCCAGTTCCACTTTGCATCACAATCCGCTTTGCCTGGTTGCTTGCCCCAACCGGGCTTTGTTGCTGGGTTCCAGCTCTTGCGCATTCTGTACATGTTCAGGTGGTCTGATTGTTGGGATCTTCAAGTTCAACCTCAAACCGGAAAAGGGGAACGTCAAATTTGTGCTATGACCGCTTGGAGACTTTATGTTGAAGCTATCCTTCCTTGCAACCCAGATTCCCTTAACTCTGACCCCATGAATCATCCTCCTCGTGTACGAACTTGCAACTAACAAGGCGGGTGGCCCAACCCAAATTGTCCCGACGGAACCGCCGCAGCTTGAGGTACTTCAATCCCCTGGCAAGGATTTGCCGACCTTGTACGTGTCCGGGGTCCGCACCTCAACGTGCAAGGATCATTGGTTCTTAGCTCACCAGGAAGCTATGCCCAGAGGATTGTTTGAGGCTTACTCAAAATATTCGGTAGCTTTCCATGGTCGATAGTGTGGCACTGCGCATATTGCTGCAAAGCATGTGATGCTGCAAACGGTGTGACTGTATGTCCTGCATCTTAGCTTGGCCCAAGTCCCAGGCAGTCAAGTTCCTGGTTGTGCAAGCCATGCCACACACAACCCTCAGCCACCCTCGAAAGGAAGGCGCTCATGATGCCACTTCCGAAAGTTCCGTCGAGTCCGGAGCTGGCAACATAGCAAGTCCCCACCAGAAGGCTTCCAAGGCTACAAAGCAGAGTGAATCACCCGGTAGGAAGAAGGAGGATCACAAAGCAAGGAGGACCAATCGGTCAACCAGCCGTTCTTCTTCTTCAAGGGTGCGTTCTCGGGGTCGCTCTCGAATGAATGTTCGAAATCCGCCGGGCACGAAGCGCCACTTGACCGTGTGCTGGTTTGGCCGGGACTGCAGTCGAAAGGAATGTTGGTTCAAGCCGGAGGCAGACGAACGGCAAGGCAAGGCCGGCAGCAAAGGGATTGGGCTCCGCCGGGCTCGTACGCCGTCCCGCCGTATCCAAAGCCCGTCCCAGTCGTCCAGCTCTCGGAACACATCGATGTCACGGTCGCCATTGAGCGCCAAGAAGGCTGCACCCAAGCGCAGGGCCGTAGAGTCCCCCAAGGCAAGCGCCAAGGTTGCCAAGGACTTTGATAACAGGAAGGAAGCGAGGGAAAAGACCACAGGCCAGGCCATGGACTGTCAACTCTTGACCTTCCGGGAGTACATCATGCAACATGGGGAAGGGCTGGAACCACTTGAAGCGCTGGCGGCTTTTCAACGTTTCCTTGATGAGGCAGCTCAAAAGGAACTGGCTTTCTTGAAAGGCACTGGCTTGTTGTTTGACATGTACAATCCAGTGGCACAATTGCGTGCATATGACTCCCGCCTTCGCTGCAGTCAGCTGAATGCGCAGCAATTCCAGCAGGACATGCAGCACGGCTGCTACAAGGCCTTGTCGCTGCGTGCCAGCAGCAATCGGGCTGGAGCCGCTTGCTCGGTTGCTGGGCACATGCAGGCCCCAGAGTTCGGACATGCTGCTATGCGCCAAAGGGCTGACCTCAGGAGCGCCAAGAGTGTCCACCCTCACCCCATCGCCAGAGCTCAGTGCTTCAGTGCTGCCTCCTGAGATGGCAAGCAAAGAGAGGCTTGAGAAAGACGTGGTGCTTTCGGCCAAAGTGATCCACCACTTGGATGACTTGCTTCGAATTCCGGAAGGAGTGACCTCTTCTGTGCTGAACTCTGAAGGCTCCACCGAGCAGAAGTTGGACCTGCAGGTGATCTACCTCCGCCGGGTGCACCACTTCTGCTTCTATGCTGGGGAATGGTTCCAAGATGAGTGGAGCCTGCGTGACTCTTGCGGGGTCGTTGCGGTGCGGGATCATTCACATGCCACCTTTGCGGAGACATCATGGGCCACTTCGCATGAAAAGCACATCAATGACTTCTTGGCCACCGCTTCCTTGGCTCGCCCGCAGTTGGTGAAGTCCAGTGATGCTGAGGTCACCGAGCGCTTTTCAAGCGCTTGCGAAGAGCAGATCCTGCAAGTCTCGGCGGACAAGTTCCGCTGCAAGGTATGCAACAAATGCTTCAAGGGTCCTGCGTTTGTTCGCAAGCACATCCTGAGATGGCTGAGAGAGTCCGCGCGGAGCTCCATGGCGAGATGGCCGAAAAGGCATTCTTGTCTGACTCTAAGCGGCCTGGCTCGTTCCTGCATGCCAACTCCAACTGAGCCAGGACGTCAACCTTTGCATTGGACGGTTTGCCTTGGGGAATGGCACGTTGTTCGGTACTCTGAGGAGTATTGATGCCACAACACAGATAATTCAATCCCAAAATCTCAGTGAATGGTTGGCAGGAAACAAAATACTATTCTGAATATGTATGTATATATTACATACTATACGGCATGCAACTATTTATTTATTTCTATGTATGATTATATGATTGCATTGTATATTTTTAGACATATATATATATATACATACATACATGATTTTATTTGTCATAACATATATATATATATATATATCTATACATACATGTATATACATATATACATATATATATATATATACACATGTATTTGGGAGAGACATGGGTGACTCACTAAATATCCCGCAAAGAAGCAGGGGGGACTCACTATTTTTTCCATGTCCGCCAGGCTAACAGCGTATTTTGACCGTGGCTCCATACATTTCTGCAAGATTGACTTTGACGATCAAACTTGATGGAGTTGGAGTGGTTTTCAGCTTATAGCGCACCTCCACCAAGCAAAGCCCAAGAGGCATGGAGGCCAATGTGGATGTGAGGCTTCGGCAAGGAGTTCTCTGTTTCCCGGATTTCGGTCGAGGCCTCGCATCACGCATGGACATGGCCCTCCCGGAAAGGGGACCAGGCGCTTGGATGGCTTGGGGTGGGGGCGGAGGCGGGCTGAGGCTCTCGTCAGATTCGAGCGTGGCGTTTGTTGCAGCTTGTGCGTGCAGAAAGCACATGCCTGAGGCGAGAAGTTGCGTGGAATTCATAGTTGTTTTTTTCCTTTCTTTTCCCCCCTTTTTTCTTTTTTCTTTTTCGTGTTTTGAACCTCCATGTTCGGGCCCAAAAGGTTAAACAAAGTTTGGGGTTTGAAAAGCAGAATCCCCGACTCAGGGGCACTTGCTCGCCTCAAGGCCAAGTGTTGGATAGGACATGCAGCCATGCAGCCCGTGTCAGGAGTCAGTGATGGCGGCTCGCACCAAAATTCGGGAGCAGGCGCTGACCGGATTGAGAGGTTGAGAGGTTGAGAGGTTGAGGGGTTGAGCATTGCGTCTTCCTCTTTTTTTTGAGTGTACCTTTTTTGGCTAGTTTGAAAGAGAGTTCAACGGAAACAGCTCATTTTTTGGGGGTTACCTCGTTAGAGATACACCCCATCAGAAGCTGGTGGCACCTTCTCGCGGAAATGGAGCGATATAGAGAACCTCTCAGAGTCACCTGCCGGAGGTGGATGCGTTCTTTCAGATGGACTGCGATGAGGCTGGGCAGGCTGTGTGGTGAAGGCACTTGCGGCTTTGCCGCGCCAAAGCCGTTGCTGCTGCTGGATGTAGCAAGTTCGGAGAGCTTCACTTGAGAATCGAATCAGATTTATCGGTTAGTATTCTCTCAGCTCAGAGGCGAGGGCCCTTGGGCTCCTGGTTGGTTTGGCGCTGCATTTGCGCGGCCAGGATGCCCCACAAGGGCAGACGCCCCGGAGCCCCGTGCTGGCAGCCTAGAAAAAGCCGAGTCAGTGGTGACTCTCTTTCCAATCCCGGAAGGCAGGTGGACGTTTGGGACCTTTTCAGACTCATTATTTGTTTTTGTCTCCCAGCAAATAAGAGACAGGCACTTCCACAAAGAGGGTACTGGAGATAGATGCCACCCCGATTGGGTGGGTTGCTGATGGGAAGCTGCATATTTATTGTAGATATAGAATCAAATCAGGATTCTTTCCCCATGAGGGTTTCACCTCTTGCTGCAGTTGCTGCTTGGAGCAGTTGCAAGGCTGTCTCTCGGGTTGCTTCTTCAGGCATAGCCAATTAGAGCTGGGTCAAAGCGGGGTTGTTTTTTTTCTGAAGGGAGATGCTATCCCAAAGTGCTCAAAGGGCAACCCCCGTTTCAGGCCCCTTTAATGCGACCTTTGCTTCTCGAGATCTAGAGGGCCTGTTTTTGGAGGGTGTCATTTTGTGCCGCTAGTCAGGGACCCCCTTAAGGGTTCCAGCTTGACACACTCTTCATGTGGGTGTCGTTTCGAGGATACTTTCTTTGAGGTTTGAAGTGAGATTTGATTGAAGAACCCGAGGAAGCCCCTCTTGGAGCCTCGGGGAAACCACGAATCCCTTCAACGGGTCGCTCATTTCCCCATGCCCTCTATGTTGACCGCTCCTGGCTCATGTGGGAAAATCAAGCAACTCCCCCGCCTTCCATGTTTTTTTGTTATTATTATTATTAAAATAAATAAATAAATTTCGTCCCCAGGCTTTTGATCTCGCTCATCGGCGTGGCAACACTGGGGATCGCCACCTGCGCCTTTGCCACGGGCTCGGCTGGTCCAATTCGGAACCCAAGAAACCGATTCTTTCCAGAAAACGAAGAGTGCGATGGTTGAGCCGAATGGGGGCTGCGTTGGTCGGAGCGGTTTCCTTTAACCTTTCGAGGAAACATGTTTGGGTGTGTTTCTCACTAACCAGCAAGGCACCACGCCGCTTTTGGTTCCTTTTAACATGCTGGACCATCCAATTCCTTACCAAGTCAGCGACCCAAGTTCTCCAGTGGAACCAGGGCTCACCGAACTTTTGCCTGCCGCACACTCTTTGATTGGGAAGGTGAGATGCAGGAGACCGCGGGTGGCATCCGCAAGGCGGGTTTCGCTCACACCTCGAGGTCCCTCAAAACCACTCCGCAAGATGCGTATGACAGACGGATTTACGTAGCTTCCCTTGCTGTAGCTGTGTCACTACGGAATACGGATTGGGATTTGGGATCTCCCCCTCATGTTAAGCAACCCACCTTCATTGGGGGGCATGGAGTTTTTAACGGTGCTTTTTTGGTTTTCAAGCGAAAACAAGGGACTCCACAATCTTGAGTGGTTCGCTGATTTAGATAAGTTCAGTTGGGATGGGGTTGTGACTGACCCCAGCCTCGCATGTTGAGTTGGTTCGACTTCTCGCCAGAGATTTCATGGAGAGGCGCTCCACATTTGCACGCAACAGGCGGTGTTAAGTTGAGGCCTGCAGGTGTCCGGCCGAAGAGTGCGATGTGGCAGGTTGAAGCAATAGGTTGGATCGCCAGTCCTAAATCAAGCGGCGAGCAGGAAGGTGGCGAGGCTTGGAGCCGGACAAATCTGACAGTTTGCCAACCACAAATTCCAGGCAGCCGCTGACGACGAGCTTGCAGCCTGCATAGTTCGAGCCTCGCAGAAAAATAACAGGGACAGGCGTTGTGTGGACGCTTGAAACCAATGCTTATTTGATTTATGAGATCTGGGCAGAGCCCTTCATCTCACCCGGCTGCACTTGAGCCCTTCTTGCACCGCGCCAGCCACGATCCGACCGGCAGCCGCAGACGTTTGAATCAAATGCGGGGGCGCAGGCCAGGAATTCTCAACCCATCCGTGTCCATCCAATGACCAGCCCAAGCATTGGACGCGAGTCTTCACTTTTCACCGACCCCGCGGCTGTCGGTTGCGCCATGTATGGAGCTCCCTGGGAGGCTCAGGTTCCTTGGAGGCGAGGGGAAGCGGAGTGCTACCAGTTTGGCGTGCCCAATCCGCCCTTCAGAACAAGTGATGGTGTTTATTTTGTTTTTCCATGCTTTTGATGCCCCTTGCAGTCGTCGCACGTTATCTTGAATCAGCCGTTTGAGCTGGTCGCCTGTTTGAACATGCTCAGATCACGTTCACAAGCTCGTTGGAGGGCCCATGTCTGTGCCTAGCATGTTGGACGGCATTTAGTTTGAGCACACGCCCCACAAACAGCATCCCGAAGGACCATTTTTTAGCCTCTAGTCTCCTGCAGATCAACATGGACCCCCCCCCAAAAAAAAAGAAAAAAGAAGAAGAGAGAAAGAGAGAGAACAAACGCATAGTTGCATGGTTTGCGCGGCAATTCCGACCCCTGCATGGTGCAAAAGCAATCACAGCAAGCACCTCAGACTACCCAAGTGGAAGCATGATTGCAGTCTTCATAAGATGCCACAAAGGCGATGTGATCTTCTTTGCCACTGGCCGCCGGTGTGACGGGCACGTGGCCGTTCCCTGACCCCCACCCCCCCAGCCCCATGCAGACTCTTGCAAGGACTCGATGGCAGGCGCACTGGCTTGAAGCTGTGCCACCCAACACCCCCCATTTCTAGATAGATCTCCCTCTTGGACTCCTATTGCTGAAAAAGAAGGGATCCCCTTTTCCCTTTTGGGGGGCCATCGCCTCATTTCGGGTTTCCACGTTGCCAACCCCCGCGGGCGTGCCCTCGAAGCCCTCGAAGCCTTGCAGCGCGCCAGGCCCGAGCCCTGCCCCGTGCGCAAGGGGCCGGTGCCTGGGATGTGCATAGACCGGACATTTTGGCTGGACTATATGAGCTATCCTGAGTTCACGGGCTCCAAAAAGCCGTGCTACCTTGCTGTTCGTTGTTTTGGTTGGGGGGGCAAATTTTGACCGAAGCTACCATGCGCGCATCTCACAGCACTGTTGGAGTTGGACAAGGGATTTTTTCTTCTTTTTTTTTGCTTCTGCGACTGATCTCAAAATGGGACCTCAATACACGAAACACCCACATGCAGGGCTCACGAAAGATGCAACCCTTCTTGGGGTTCCTTTTTGACGGGGTATAAACATGACGCCAGCGTACCACAGTGCCCTGTCATTAGTTGTGTTTCTTTTCCCGATGTTTTGACCCGAGCCACTGTGCACAGCGCCCAGCACAAAAACCATTGGCATTTGATCTGCTGTCTTGAATTGGGGACCATGCCAACAAAAATTGCCCTTCATGCCAACAAGTTCTGCATCCGAGGGGGTCTTTTTAGCATTCTTGGCAAAATGATCGACGTGAAGGACTTTTTTTGCGGGGGTCGCCCATTTTCTCGCAAAAGGTGGCAAAAAGACCCCCCCTGTCTGTATCGGATCCCAGAGATCCTACCAGGCACCATGGAACCCAAAGTCTCGGGCGCGCTGAGGGCTTCTTGCCGGCCTGGCAAGAGCTCCAGCTGCAGCTCAGGTCACTCCCCGGGAAGCCGGTGCTAAGCAACCTGGGCTCATACGCCAAAACGCGCACAAGGAGACATGGGAACGTAGGAAGGTGGGGCGTAGATTGCCGTTTTCTGTGGTTTGTGGATGTTTTATCGTGTTTGAAAGTGGTTTTTTGGTTGCCATGTTCCGTGTGGGGCACGAATTCCTGCAGTTGGGATGGATGAAGTTGTTCATCCACCGTGGCAAAGTAGCCATTGTGCATGTTGAGATCACAAGGGCGATTTGCCACAAGCAGGAGCCGCGGGACGCAGAACGTGGCGAGCGGTGGGGGCGCTGGCACTGGGGGGCTGGTCTTCCCGGGTCAGCTGACAGACGAGAAGGAGAAGAGGAGAAGGCAACAGCAGGAGATGCAGAACGCGTTGGCCGAGCAGATCAGAGAGCTGCGGGGACTGCAATGGGTAGGAATGGAAGGGTTTTGGGTGTGTCTAGGATTGGTTTACAGCCGGTCTAAGATGGGGGGTTTCGGGTTGGTTTGGTTTGGTTGTAGACGGGCCGAGTTATCACACAGGTGTGGCCATTGGGGATGATGGGATTGTCATCCAGCGTGACCTTCCAAGTGGTTTGCGTGAGATGGTAGTTTCGAAGGGAAACCAGAGGTCCAATGGGTGTGGCCCCTGTTTTGAGGCATACACACACACCCATATGAGCAACACCAAGCGACTGACAATATTATCGGCAGTCTACTGCTAGTTTGGGAACGACATGAGGGACAACCCATTCTTTTTGTTCTCTTGAGGAACCGATCGTAATGTTGTTTGCTTATATGGCCATCCGCCGAGGCAGCGGGCGCTTTAGATTACTCAACCTGGTGGATGAACAGTTTTTGCAACTCCAGAGCGCCTTCAGTGGGGGCATGTACCTGGTTTCGTGGGCGGTGCAACAGGAGGCTTAGTTGCTGGCAAGCATGTTGATTTCACAGACTCGGCACTTGGTCTGGCAGGCAATCCTTCCATCTGAACTCCCTACACCTGGAATTCCCCCGTTACCCCACACCCTACTCGGTGCTGTTTGCGAGTCGATTCGGCTAAAGCTGGAAATGTAAAACCGAGACAAAATAAAAAGATAATCTGAAATCAAACGCTAGAACAAGAGAAAGAGAAAAAGAGAAAGAGTGAAAGAGAGAGAGAGAGAGAGAGAGAGAGAGCATGTTCTGCCTCAGTTGCTGCGAAGGTGCACCTCATCGCCAACTGCCATGTGTGCCATGGTGAAAGCTTCTTGCGTGGCTCGTGCTCCTATCAATAGTTACACAGTTACATTCAAGAGCTGGTGACCATGCCCATAAACCTCCTTCCAAGCGCGCAAAGTAAGCATCTTGAAGTGGCCAATCAAAACCAACACCGGGTTGTTGAAGTTTAGTAGGAGACAGTCCCAAGTAAATCATATGCACAGGTGTGGCAAGAATCCCTTTTGGTTTTGTGACATGGTCTTAGGTAATTCGAGGGGCTAAACAAATCCTCCCAATACTCATGCCTCAATTTTGTTTTAGGCACCCCACCTCCGTTTCAGGGGATATGGCACACGGTGTTGGAAATCTCGCAGGATGAGCGGGAGCGCAAGCGCGTGCAGCAGCAGGAGGGGCAGCAGCGCCGAACATCCTGATTGGCCATAGAAGGCGGTTCCACCTGCTTTCATTGGGGGTTGTGGCAAGGCCTTTAACCTTTGTATCCCTGTTGGTGGAAAGCTTACATCTTAAAAAGTCCTGCACGTGGGATCATGCCCGAAACAGTTTCTGGAACTTTACAGTTATATATGATATAATCATCTTTTAAACAACAATCAATGGTCTTCGCCATGTCATCTAATTCTCTTCTTCATGTGTATATCGTATGTTTAGCAGTTGCAATCTTAGTATCTTTACTACCAACTGGTGCACAAGTCTTTGATTAGCTTTCTACATATCTCTCCAATCCATTTTTGTTACACAACTCTGGAGCACGACTGCTTTCGTTTTAGGATAGCTTGGCATGCATGAAGGAGGGTTTGATCTGATCTGCTCATGAGCGTGATGCAAAGCGCTTCCTTGGCTTGAAAGCTACTTCTCAAAATGGAGTTCACATGAAAGATACCCTTCCTCCAACAAACATGGCACCTGTGAGAGGGTACTTGGAAGATCAGTTTCCTTTAAAGGAACCCCCTGTGAGGTGCTACGTTAGTGGGAGGGAGGGTACCAAACAGATTCAAAGGAACTGAGCCCTCAGGAACCATCCAAACTTTGACTTGAGATGCCGATGAGAGTACGTGACATATGTCTGTGTGTATGTTATATGTTCTCTATTGTTGGTTTCCCATTAACCGCCAACAAGCTACGCCCTATTTGTTTGGGGTATCGCCCCAAAAGCAGGTGTCGCCCCAAATGAGCCAAAACAAAAACCCGGGTAGATGAAGGTTAGCAAGGGGCAGTTCCAGCCGGGAATAGTTGCGGCCGCCTTTCTAATTCTTGAATCATGGTTCACCATTTGTGTACCAGGTTTTGATTGTGACTCAGGTTACTTTCGGGGTGGGTTTTCTGTAAACCACCAGGTAGTCTTGAGGATTGTCACTTTGGCCATGGAGGCCTAAAGCCTAACATGGAGGATTGTTTTCGATTCTACCGGAAAGCCAAGCGTCTTGCGAGCCGAAACTCATCGTACTCGAGACTTATCAGTTGTACTCGAGACTCATCAGTTGTACTCGAGACTCATCAGTTGTACTCGAATGATTAGCACCCTCCCTTGGGAGTTGAAGTGTGTGTGTGTGTGTGTGTGTTTGTGTGTGTCTGTGTGTGTCTGTGTCTGTGTGTGTGTCTGTGTGTGTCTGTGTCTGTGTGTGTGCTGCGTGTGTGCGTGTGTGCGTGTGTGTGTGCGTGTGTGTGTGTGTGTGTATGTGTGTGCGCTCGCAGCGCTTGAAATGTAGTTGCTAGTTTTGCTCCGCAAAACATTTTTAGTCCAGGGACCTGCAGGGTCCGAAATCGTCAAAACCAGCTCAAGCCGTCAACGTTGCCAGCCAGAAAAGGGCCAAAAACAAATATGGAACCTGAAAGGGCCCCCCCTTGCAAGGTACATTGTTTCCTCTAACAGGGCTCCATGTTAAAAAGGGCCAGGCCTCGAGCTCGGGCGCTCGCCAGGTTTGGACACGTTGGACCAGCGCATTGCTTTCGCCTCCTCAGGCCGGGCTGGTGTGTGCAAAGAACAAGCTCACGGATCCGGGGGTAAAAACGTGCGGCTTTCTCCTTGTTGCCTGATTTCCAACTTTGGGAATGATAGTAAGTTGCCCAGATGGGTTTCCGCCGTGGTTGGAGAGAAGGGAAGGGCGCACGCGGGGGTGGCTCATGACTGTTTTTGTCTCGCGGGTAAAGGAAAAGCGCTGGACTTTGACATAGCCTCAGAAGGCAAACCCTTGCGGCGATCCCTTTCTTGGGGTGAGATTTGGACTTGGGCAAAGAGTAGAATGGAAAACACATGTGCCAAAATGGAAGTGGACCTGCGCGCATCCAGGGACGCTCAGATTCACTCAAGTACAAGGAAAGGCCTCGTAGTCAGGGTGGAAGTGTCAGACATTGCACACACACCACGCTCCCTGCATCCGACGCACTGAAGCAAATGGGGAACACACCGGTGGCATTGTAGCAAATGTACCACTGCCAGAAGTGCACGTAGGAACAGCGCCCTCTCATCGCCAACCAAACAAACAAGGCCGGCTTGTGACCGTCCCTGCACCGAAGGCACTGCTCCAAATTACCTGCAGAACAGACGCACCACTCACGTCACCAGCTAAACGCTTTGCAGAACTGTTCAAAGCCAGGTGCAAAACAGGCTCTACGGTGTAGGGCAAAACCGTTGTGCACCTGCAACAATCATGGGCAAACTGTGACACGGGGATGCCCAGAACCAACTGCGCCCCCAGCCAGCTGGCTGGCACCTCAAGGCTCGGCCGGCACCGCCACCCCTCTGCCTTGAGCCAGTGGGCTAGGCCAGAACTCCTCCTTCCTGTCGGTCATGGTCATGGTTCCCTCAGTAGGACGTTTCATGCCGGCTGGCGAAATCCTGCGAGCAGGCCTGACAACCATCCTGACAGCCATCCTTCTTGGAGGGAGGTTCCAGGACACGCCTCTTTGAGCCAAGTGTGCCCTGTGCAGCCGCGTGGTTGTTTCCTCGGCAGGTCTCGCAAAGATGTGCATGGCGTTCCAGATACACCTTATCTGCAACTGCCCGTGCTTTCTGGTTGGTGCGTGGCGTGAGCTTGCTTCGGCTGAGTGGTGTAAATTGGTACTCCCCCTGCTAGTTCCGCTGGACGGAGGTAGACAGCAACCACAGACCGAAGGAGTTTGGCCATGGCGCACGTCCCTTGCGCGAATCTCCCCGCGCAGACGTCAGGCTGTGTGAGCCTTCCCATGGCAACTGGATGGTGGCTTCCTTTGACAACCAATGCTTCTGATATACCATTCAATGCGTGCATACAGGCTCCAGGGCCCTGGAAATTCGAGACAGTTTGAATTCACAGTGAGGCGATGCAAGGCGAAGGAAGCCGCGAGTGTTAAGCATTGACCTCTAGCCGGCTGATTGCCACTTGTGGCCTACAGCCAAGTTTTGTTTCCGCCGCATTCTCCCGGCCAACCGCCTTTCGCCTGCGAGGCGTCGCGGACTTTCCGGCACAGGCCGGGCTATGAAGGGTCAAATGCGGCCCAGGGTTGAATCCTTTTAAGGTTGGTCAAAACGAAGAAATTTCATGGGCGCCGCTGCCGTGATTTTTTTTTGCATGCATGCGGTGCTTTTTTCGTTGCGAGGAAGTCTCTTGAAGTGTGCTGAAACCGAAACGGAGCGGTGACCCAGTGTTAAAACCCTTCAAACATGGTATGGGAACCCCATTCGATGCTTGGTCTCCGGAATTTCCTGATTAAAGCCAGAAGGCCAGAAGGGTCCAACCCCGCTTTGACAGTCGGCTTGTTTTTCCACGACACACCTCGTGAGCATCCCACTGTTCCGCCAGGAGAACGACCCCCTCTGCGAGCAGCCTGCCTGCAACATCGCCAAGGCGGAATTCACAGCTCCCCTCCGCTTCCACAGCTCCCCCGCGCGGTTTGTCAGTTGCGCAAGAAACGGACATAGGGCGCGAGTTGTGAAGATGTCATTTTCTTCTGGGCGATTTTTGTCTCCAGCTCTGCCCGCGCTTGCTTCTTGGTTTTGGGGAGTTCGCGAGGCTTGCATTCCGCTTGTTGAGGTCACCTAAGTTCAAGCATGGCTATTGCTATTGGGTCATGCAACAGGGTGGGGTGATGCTTCAAGGGAAAACATAGAACCCCCCAATTCTACGCCTCTAGCATGCTTGCGTCTGGTTGAGTGTTGACGCATGGCTTTGGCTGTGCCTGCGATCTCCCCCAAAGATCGGGCTCCATGATGAAAGTGTCTTAGTAGGGAATTCTTGCCTCGTGTCCATTTTGTTAATTTTAGAGATTCCCCTTAGAGGCTCCCTTGCTAGTTACTAGGGGGTCCCTTAGAAGGATTCCTCTGAGAGCGAAGCTAAAACGATGTTGCAGGTGTGCGCCATCATGACCAATAGCACCTTCGGGGATGAGGCGCAGCTGCTGTGTGCATGAGTGCCTTGGCAGAGATGAGCCATTTCGATTGAAGAGCTCTGCTTTTAATCGCTTTGCTTTATCTCGTTTCATTGTATTGGCTGATGTGTGAGAACAGTCTTGCAACAACTCTTCCAGAACAAGAGCTGTATGCTCCCGATCCTAGCGATGATGCATCCGGGCATAGGAAAGTTGCATGTTTTGCTTTTGTGGCTGTTCTGTGAGGCACCATGAAGCGCTTGCCCGTTTATGAATAGCACTGCTGGAATCCCTTGTGGAATCTGATTTGGACAATCATGTTTTGCCATTTGAAAAACAGGTTTGCAATCTTATCATGTCGACCTAGTTATTGACTGCATTGGCTGGACGACTTACTGTCAGTTCTCGCGGACAATTTCAATTAATGCTGTAGATTCTTCTGGGTTGCTCTGCTTGTTTTGCTGCGTTGGTTCGTGAACTAGACCTATTGCCCATGTCACTTTTGGCTGGCAGCAGGAAGAATAGGCGAGAGCACAAGGACATGATCACATGATTTGACGTGAAGCTTGCTTCTCCAGTGCACATATACCCATTCACAGCATGAGAGAACAATGGCCATCCGCACGGCCCACATTTTTTGTTTTTAACCCTTGCCAGTCTTTTTGGAGCGACGCCAAAGAGGTCCCGAGCTTGCCGAAAGGCTCGTGAGCGTTTCTGTCGCCATGTCGCCGGAAGCGTCCTGCGGGCATAGCAAGCGTGACCTGCTGCGTCGCTTGCTCGTGGTGGCTTTGCCGAGCTATCCCATCACCCTGGTGACGAGGTGCGTGGGCTTGGTGTCTACGAGCATGGTGGGGCGTCACGTCAAGGACATGGTTGCCATAGCAAAAGTCACATCCGCCAGTGAATCCTCATGAGCCACCTGTTTGTTTGGTGTTCTGAGGAACCCTGACAAAGTTCCATTTCCGTTTTGTTTAACCTCCCGAGTTCGAGTAACCTCGTGAGAGTAGCCAAACAATGGTGCACCCGTGAAATGCATCCAACTTGAACTATCAAACCTAGTAGGTTCAATGAACTATCTCAATCTGTAGGCAACAACCTATAGTTTAAGCAACCTCCTCTTTGTTCTCTTCAAAAGGGACCAGGTCAGGTTGTTTCGAATTTTCGGGAGCCAACAGTGAGCCAGCCTTTTCAGGACCCGGCTGCCTTAGCGGCCGTGGGGTTGAGCAACGTGATCACCAACATCACCGGGTGCCCCAGACATCCAGCGGCGCCTCTTTTCTCTTTTCTTTCTCCATCTTCTTTTCGAGGTACCCCAGACCCGCAAGTTGCTTGAGGTGACCCCTTTTTTGAGGGAGCTTCCCCGCCAGCGAGGAGCGTGGCCCCTTTTTCGGAGCCCCCTTTGGGCCTTCGGGCTCCGAAGGTACTCGGCGCTCTGGGGCTTCTCCAGCGGGGTGAGCACTCTGAGCTCCCAAGACTGGGGCGCCGGGAACTTCCAGGCCCTGGGCCTCACGACGCTCGGACCGAGGCGAAAAAGCTGCGAGGCATCTCGGGGAACCCTCTGGACGTTGTCTCCTCTTTTTTTGTTGGGTGAAACGAGCTCATCATTTGGATTCCCCGTTTCAGGTGCAATTGTTGTTGTAAAAGGAGGAGACGTGCTGATCTTTGGGTCGAAACTCCTCTGTGGAGCCTCCAAGAAGTTCAGGCTACAACGGGCGTATCTGATTCTGGTTCTCTGCGTGTGCTTGCCCCTGCTGGTGCTGTGGCTCTACTCCGAGAGGCTTCTCATAGCGGTGGGCCAGCATCCCGAGGCGCTGCAAAATCCTCCCACTTTACAATCAGGTGCCCCCCAAAGGGTGGCAGGCTCTGGTATGAACCTCAAGCCTTCAGGGTATGTGAGGCAACTTCAGAGCTATCATAGACCACTTGTGGAAAAGGCTTTTCATGCAAGACTTGTTGTGTTTTTACACTTTCCTTGGAGAACGATGGGGGACTCACAAAAAGCAATACTCATTGTAAAGACACCCTGGTGCGAGGTGGCGCACTATGTGGGCATCTACACCTCGGTGCGGTGCTGGTCGTTGATGTTCATGCCCATGAATTGCGTGGTCACGCGCACGCTGGGCGCCATGAGCAATGTGAAGATCAATTTGGCAATGAGCTGCTTGGCTCGGAATCACTAGAGTTCCTTAGACTTTTTGATTGGAGTTTGGAGGGGTTGATGGCACATCCCACAAAAGGTGTGTCTTTCAGAAACTCAGTGAAGCTTCGTAAGGTTTGACGGCCTCTGTGCTGAATGTGACCTTGAGCTCCACGTTGGTGCCAAGGCTTGGGTATGTGGGTGCCCCTTTGACGGCCTGCATTTGCGACATCTGTGAATGCGTGGGAGTTTTGTGCCTTGCATTTTTTTGCAGCACGGACTTCCGGAAGTGCTGGGGGGGCTTCTCCAGAGAGGCCTTCACAGGGTGGAAGGCCTACTGCAAGGTGTCGCTGCCCGCCCTGGTGCTCATGTGCCATAGCCAGAACTTACCTTCTTGCCCTTTTCCTGCTTTAGGTTCCCTTCGATTGACTGGTTGTTGGGGGTTGTCAAAGTCAGAAACTGTTGTTGTTTGCCTTCCTCCTGCCACTTAGGGAGTGGCCTTGATGGCGAAGCTGTGAAGCTGTTTGTGCAAGTCGGATCCTGAATGGTTGGGCTTTTGTTTGGTTTCCCATCAAGCCAACCCCACAAAGACGCGACTACATCCAAAACACAGACATCCACTCTTTCCCCTTGTTTGGAGGTTACACAAGCGGACAACAGAAAACAGCCTCCGAGTTTTAGGCATTCTTCTTGTGTTGTGCATTTCAATCTCCATGTTTTTTTTCTTTTTCCCTCCCGTTGTCCATTTGCTCCGCATTTGCTGTGTCGGATTTCTCGCTTTTTTTCCGAAGGCCAAAGGCCGCCGAGTTCGAAGTCGAAGTCGAATCCCAGGTGCATCGAGTGGTGGACCTGGGACCTGCAGAGCTTCATCGCGGGCTTCATCTCCGAGAGCGCCCAGGCGGTGCAGAGCGTGGCCCCGGCGGTGGGGGACCTGCAGTATGCCGTGGGCCAGGCGCGGGCGGGCGCCCGAGCGGTCGCCGGTGGCTGCCATGGAGACGCGTCAAAGGACTCAGATTCACATTTGAGTTGAGTCCTTTTGGGTGGGGGGAGAACCCATAGGGGAGCCAGTAAATTGGCATTTGAGTTGTTTTTTTTTGGGGGGAAAACCCCTCCCCTTTTTTGGGGCTTCATGCTGATAGGGGAGCGAGTAAATTAGTAAACAATATATCGGTGGAGAGATCGAGCCCTGGGCATTCTTCATGGGTTTAGACCAAGTGCCAGGTCTACAGAAAGGCAGAAAGGGAATTGTGCCATCTAGTTTCACTCTGGTGGGGTGCGTCGTATTTTGAGCATACCCTGGTGGGGGATGGCTTTAAACGGAATCCAAACGGACCACTCTTTTTCTTATTTTTGTGCATGGGGAGTCCTGCTGTTATAGGACACACACGCAGACACATGTACCAGGAATGCTCATGTATGCTCCAGCAAAGCTGGATGACGGAAGTTTCTGAAGGGCTGACAGGCCTATAGCAGGAGTGTTTTGACGAAAGAAGCCAATTTCATGTTTTCGAGACAACCAATAAACCAAACAGCAACCCCCAAACTTGGCCCCGGATCCCTGCAGCTGCTTCGTCACTTGTTTTTCTCCCGGCAACAGGCACAGCCCTGGGTTGGCACACTTGCTAGTTGCACTCTACCCTGTTGCACTTGCGGGCTGCTTGCACTACTGGCACTGCTGGCACTGGCGCTGGCACTCTGCACTGCTGCGCTGCTCATATTCGCAGCGTCACGCTGCGCGCTGCGGAGCGTTCCGACTGCTGGCCTGAACTGGCGCACTCGTCGCTGTAAGCAGGTTTTCGACGAGCATGCCTTCATCGCTATTTCCTTCTTTTTTTCCTCTTTCATGTCTTCTTTGTTTGTTCCTTTCATTCTTTATGTCCTTTCTTTCTTTCTTTCTTTCTTGCTTTCTTTCTGTCTTTCTTTCTTACTTACATTCTTTCTTTCCTGCTTTCTTTCTTTCTTTCTTTCTTTCTTTCTTTCTTTCTTTCTTTCTTTCTCTCTCTCTTTCTTGCTTCTTTATTCCTTTCTTGCTTCATGCCCTTCGTTCTTTCTTCCTTTCTGTTATTTCTTTCTTTTTCTCTTTGATTCTTTTGCTCTCTTCCTCTCTCTCTCTCTCTCTATTTTTTCTTTTGGATCAATCTATCTATCTCATCTATCTATCCATCCATCTATCTATCTGCGCCCGACCTTGCGAAAGTGCTGCGCCTGCCACGAAATCTGGAACCGATCTTGTCAAAGTGATGCGACTGCCACGAAATCTGTACTTGGCCTTGCGAAAGTGTGCGCCTGCCAGAAATCTGCCCTTGACCTTGCGAAATTGCTGCGCCTGCCACGAAATCCGTACTTGGCTTGCGAAAGTATCGCGCCTGTCACGAAATTTGCACCCCAGGGTGCGAAAATCATGCGCCTGCCACGGAACAGGGGCGCAGCAGTTAACGTGCCCACTCCATTACGAGTCGCACATGGCAAACTCACATTCCCAAAGTGTTGCGCCTGACACGTTTCCAGACCGCAGCGAGCCCGCGGCGAACCCGCGGCCAGGCCGCGGCGAGCCCGAGACCGCGGCCAGGCGAAGCCGCGCTGAACCAGAGCTAGCCTTCGCGAAGGCAATATGTTGCGCCCGCACACTTCCTTCCGTCTCTATCTCCTTTGCCGTTCTTCTTTGTATTTCTTGCTTACTTGCTCTCTTTCATTGCACGACTCTGCTATTTCAACTTTTCGTCTTAAGGAAGTTTTCTAACTTAAACGTCCTTTGGTTGTGGGAACTCAGTGTTCGTCATACCACCTCTTCATGCTTCATGGGGCTTCTCACTGCCCCATGATCTCCAGTGGGAGGCCTTTGGCAACGGCGCCTCCACCGTCGTGGGCAACATGCTGGGGGAGAACGACCCCAAAGCCGCCAAGATGGCTGCGATGCTGACGGTGGCGAAGCCGTGGGTTGCGTTTCTCTTTTTCCCCAGCTTTTTCGTGCGAAGGGGGCTTGCGTTTTGAAACGAGAAACAATTGGCTGTGGGAAAAACAGGTTGTGTTTTTGCTGCCCGTTCCGTTCCCCTTCGCCTAAAGATGGTCTTTTGCGCCGCTCAAAAAAGGGGGGCGCCCTTCTTTCCCTCCGCAGATCCACCGGCCACCGGAGGTGGTGATGAACGCCACGGTCATGCTTCTACAGGCGTCAATCTTTGCGGTGTTCCGGAGTGACTGGGCGCTAAAGGTGTGTGCCCTTTTTCGATCTAACTTGTTGTGTTGGTCTAAGAGAGACACCACGATGAAACCACCCACTTCGGGGTCCCCTACTGTTGAGACAAACCGTGCCAACTCCAAACCGCCACATATGGTGATAGACAGGTTTCTCACTTTTCCCAGACCCAACGTTTAGCACCCAGGCGACGTTGCTGCGCTGTTCACGCAGAACCCACAGATCCTGGCCGGCATCATGTCTTTGTTGCCCTTCTCGCTGATATTCAGCTTGATCGATGGGAACCAAAGCGCCATCGCCGGAGTTTTGGTGGGGGCAGGCAAGCAGGACACGGGGTTCATTGTAGACTTGATCGGAGAATCACATGTACGAACTACCTCAAAGGGCATACAATTGTATAGTTAGTTGTTTCGAAGCATGCATGGGTACAATCCGCAGCGGCTTTTTGTTGGTATGCCAAACTAGACACAACCAAGAGGGCAAAAGGACCAGCCTGGTAGGACGTGGGTGCCGGCATCGTTTTTTTCTGCTATTGGGTGGTGGGTGTGCCGTTGGGCATCCTGCTGGCCTTTGGGATCGGAGGCTTTCTCCAGCCTGTGGGGCTGAAAGGCAGGGCTGGGTGCAACTTTTGAAAACCGTACCCTGGCCATCTTTACAGAGCCACAAGGAGGTGCTTTAGGCAAGAAATCGCTCCAACTTTGGTGAGAGGTTTGTGGATCGGTATGCTGGTGGCGGTGTGCGGGCACCTCTCCATGTTCCTCGTGCTGCTTTCGCGCCTCAATTGGCGCAACCTCGCCGAGCAGGTAAGGGCCCGCGAGGAGTCGCAGGAGAACGCGCCGGGATCAATCAGCCTCATAGAGGCGTCTTAGAGCGGCCAGGCGCCTTGACTGGCCCGAAGCTCAGCGGTATCTCTGGGATCAGCGGTATCTCTGGGAAGGGACCGTTAGTTAGTGTGCATACAGCGCGGCTTCACGTGTCGCAGCGTGCGACATCGCAGCGTGTTGCGGTGTGCAGCATCCGAGCCAGAAACAGGCTTGGTGCGTTTTGCCTCATTTTTCTCGAGACGACAAAGATGCGTCAGCGGACATCCAGTTGCGCTCAGAGAGCGACGGTGAAAACAATGCAAGCGTTGTTAATGGAGAGCCTCCTGATGTGAAGATTGCTTCCGCTCCAGTGCACATATGTCGTTGACCCCCGAAGTCGGGCCGGGCTTGTGATATTTTGAGCAGAGGCAAAAGGGCTTCAGTTTTCAATTGCCACTTGGACAAACCAAGGTTATCCTAGGGGGCCCATTTTGGTTGGTAGGTGCACTGGTGCACCACCCATTTTCGTGTATTTTAGTGGAGGTTGGGATGCTCACTGGGGTGGAGCCTGGATTTGGTCAATCCCCTCCCGCTTCGGGCCCGGGCCATACGGCAGGTGGAGCGCCTGCTGCAGCTGCGGAAGGCGCAGGGCGTGGCCAAGTTCTCACGGCGAGGCCGCTGGCAGGCGCTTTGGTGGGGTGGTGGGGAGAGGTGGGGAGAGGTGGGGTGGGTGGGGTGGTTGGGGGGAGTGGGGGCGGGCCATCCATGATTTTTTGCTTGATTTCGTGGATGCAAACAAAGATGTTGGTGACTCTGTTTTTAGCCAAACCATGATGGGACCACCAAACGCGTATTTTCTCAAATCAACAGGAAACCGATGGATATTTCCTTCTAAGCTGCCATGTGCGATTGACTTCGACAATAGCGAAACATGCGGTGTTGTTGGACCAGGCCCTGTGACGACCTTCAGAGGGAATCCGAAAGGTGGTTGCTTCGACAGTAGCCAGACGTGTTGACACAGTTGAACTTGTCTTTTTGGTGGTATTTCAAAAAGTACAACCAATAGCCATCTGGAATTTCAGGGGGACCCAGGAGAATCCACATCCCCAGCACCGACCGTTTTTCATCGCTTCAGGCGCAGCTCGCGTCCGGGAGCTCCTTGCTCAGGCGCAAACTTCCGCGCTTGCGCGCGCTTGCGCGTGAACGGGTAGTTGCTTGGAGCATGTGCAGAGAATGCGAAAGGTTCCTTGTAAGGCTTGGGAAAGAAGATTCCCAGAAAACGCCTGGAAGCACCACTAGATTTGTCATGGCGCAGCCAAATGTCAACCAACAACCAAACGAGTATCGGTGCAGGGCTAGCATGGATCCTAAACCTGGTGAGGACAAAAGAATGGCATGACCACTACCAGTCCTCTTGCGATGGCTGGGGGAGAGAGGGGGTAGCTTTCCGAGTTCGCAGGCTGGGCCTGAATGGCGTCTACGAGGCCAAGGACGAGCTGCCGGACTTTTGGCCGGCACCCTCAGAGGGGGCTGCGTCTCAAAGACAGGAAGGGGATGAAAGGGACCTTCCGCAATGGGTGCAGCCTGGGAGTCCGGGGGCGCCAGGGTTGTTTTTTGGGGGCGACTCAGCACTAGGGCGGATCGCCAGAGGTTCTTCCAGACCTGCAGGGAGTTTGGCTTCTACCAGACCTGCGAGGTGGCGATCGATCGCACGGGGTCGTTATTGCAGCGAGCTGGCGGGATCCTGGAGGCTCTCGCAAGCCCCGATACCAAAATTACGATAGTGCCTTGAAGGTACAGCAGGGTTGCGCTCATTACAAGCCTCACCATTGAGGGCGCTCATTTGACAGTTGACCGCGGCTTGTTCTTGGCATACGATTTGCCCCCAAAACTGTTGTCAAAATCTCAAAAGTGCAATTTGACAGGGCCAAATGCGCCCCTGCGCAAACTTTGAGTTGGTTGGATCCCTGTTGCTGTCACCAGTGTGGATTTTGAACATGAAAGCGAATCGTCTTCCGGCACTGTATGCGAGGTCCGAGTCTGGCCCAGTTTGCTGAGACCCTTCTGGGTCAATGCCATCGTGCCGTTCCGTCGCCGTGGCGCCAGGCCACAGGTGGCTGCATGTTCGTGCGGGACCTCGCCAACGTCAGCTACTATGCGGCAAATTGCAACTCGGCGAGAGGAGCAGAGGCTTCGGGGAATGTTTGAAGCATGCATACAGAATGCTCCCAATGACCATGCATATTGCTCTCTTAGCTACACGGGTCAGAACTTGCCCCTTGCAAAGAGTACACATTCCTAACAGTACATTGCCTCCGCAGGAGGGTTGTTCCTTTCTCACTTAGAAGTGTTCCTGCCACCAATAGAAGAACCACTCCTCCCAGAGCTTCAAAGTTGTTGGTTTCGTATTTGTCAAGGGAGGGGGCTGCTCGGGGCTTTGTTGGTACAGGCTGCCACATCGCATGTGTTTTTATTGTGCACGTCATCAAGAGTGCTGTGCAAGGCCTCGATTTCACCTCGAAGTAGTAGGCATATGATGTTTGTTCCCCGGGTTAATAAACCCTCTAGATTCATAGGCTTCCTTTTCTTCAGAAGAGAAGGATTCCCTTTGAACAAGGACACCCTCCTTATTCATCCACCAGGTTGATTCATCCGGGGTCAGGGTTTTACGGAATCCGAACATTCTGAGATGGGCTGACGAAGATAACGAGGCAGTTTACTGACACCGTGCATGACAAATATGTTGGCCGTTTAGATACGGAGTATAGCCAGCTTCCCCTTCCGCTCCAAGCAGGGCACGTAGCAAGGTGGGTGTTGGGGCACCTTGTTGAACATGTCCAAGCCACTGACCATGGCTTAAACGACATCTTTTCAGCATCCATCCCATCAACACCTGACTGGCGTTGGCGCTATTGCTGATTCCGCTTCAAGCAGGGCTCCGAGGGCTCTGAGGGCGCTGCACCCAGTGGCTTGAGCCTCCAAACAGCTTACGCAGCTGGTGAAGGCTGGAGGTTTGTAAACGCCCGATTTGGCCTCGGCCTTCTTCGGCCCGCGTCATATTGGAGTAGGATGATCATTTGGAAGCCCCCTGCATGGCTGCATGGCTGCGTGGCCGGTATTTGCATAAACTGGCACGGATGCGGGAAGAACATGGTTCCCTTGAACAAGTGACGCAGGGATCAAAAGGCACGGCACGAGGGTTCTTAACACGGGCCCATGCGCTACGAATCTGATGGCCGATTGAGGCATGAAGCTCTACAACATCACACTTGGGGACCGGGCTGCGAGTTTTGAGTGCTGCTGGTGGTCGAGCTGAGCAATCGGCCGTCTTTTTTTTGCTGCAGCCGGCGCCGCAGCCATGACCTTGAGGCAGCTTGCAGTTGGTCCAACTCTGTTGGCTTGCACTAGTCAACAGAGAATGCCGACCGTGACCAGCTAGCAAACAAATCTGCCGCAATCACCTCCCCCAACCCGCCTGAAAGTCGCCGGAGAGCTGGACCGCAGGACGTCCAGTCCAACATTGATGGCACCAACTACCACTACGGTGGCCTTCTTCCGTGCGGGTCTCAGCGTCAGAAGCTCCCAGTCGGAGATGGCCGGTGGAGCTTGTAGGCATCCAGGCACAGAATCTCAGCCGTTTGGGGCTGAAGTGCCGACCTGATCTGTGTGAAAGGGCATTTTCAGAGCATTAAAACATCAGCAGGCATGAGCCAGCTGTTAGGGAGCAGCTTTGAAAGCGTGAAGAGCCTCAACAAGTTCTCGCTCGTGGCTCTTTCTTTTGGCAAATCGATGCGTGTTGTTTGACTCAGCACCAAGTTTGACTTGTGTTTCCCCAGAAACTCTTGACCTCAGCAGGGCTCCTTAAAAGATACATTTTGCCCATTTGAAACATGGCTTTTTCCACCAAGATAAAGGGAAATCACCATTTACAAGGCAATGTTCAGGTGTATAATGTAAGGATCCCTGCTCAGGACTGGGACCAAGGGACAGCTTGGCAGGCACGGGAGCGTGGTTTCGGCAGAGTGGCCTCGCAGACAACTGAGATTGCACAGCTCGCAAGGAGTGTGTTGCTCCCAGCCCCTAGCTAATGAGACATGCGTGCCATGATTGATATGGCTGTGGGTCAAAAAAGGGTGCCCAAAAAGGAACCCTGGTAAATGAACCGAGGACTAAAACCTGTGGTCCCCTGGTGGGTTAATTTTGACCCATACCCATATATGAGTGGGGTTGAGCCATGCGTGCCATGGTTGACCATGTTTCCTTCCCTCCGGGCCATGGAAGCTCGACGGGGATATTTGGCCGACTAGTTTGCGCTCTGAATACTTGCTCTCCTGAATTAGTCCAGTATGTTCAGGGGAATCTCTCTTGTTTGGGGACACGTTTACGGGCTCCATGTAAGTTTCAGAGCAGTGCTCTTTGCGTGCTTTTTTGTTTTTAATTTTGACAGGTGCGTGATGTTCCCGAACGGCGAGGTGGATCCTTGGTCCACTCGCAGTGTGCGCACGGGTCGGGGGGGATTGGCCTTCTCGGGTTCGTCTCAACAGTGTGTTCTGTTCATGAACACTTTCCTCACATGAATCCTCTCGGCCTGGTGAAACAGAATGATTGATTTCCACTTTTTGCACCACAACCCCAGTTCCACTTTGCATCACAATCCGCTTTGCCTGGTTGCTTGCCCCAACTGGGCTTTGTTGCTGGGTTCAAGCTCTTGCGCATTCTGTACATGTTCAGGTGGTCTGATTGTTGGGATCTTCAAGTTCAACCTCAAACCGCAAAAGGGGAACGTCAAATTTGTGCTATGACCGCTTGGAGACTTTATGTTGAAGCTATCCTTCCTTGCAACCCAGATTCCTCTAACTCTGACCCCATGAATCATCCTCCTCGTGTACGAACTTGCAACTAACAAGGCGGGTGGCCCAACCCAAATTGTCCCGACGGAACCGCCGCAGCTTGAGGTACTTCAATCCCCTGGCAAGGATCTGCCGACCTTGTACGTGTCCGGGGTCCGCACCTCAACGTGCAAGGATCATTGGTTCTTAGCTCACCAGGAAGTTATGCCCAGAGGATTGTTTGAGGCTTACTCAACATATTCGGTAGCTTTCCATGGTCGATAGTGTGGCACTGCGCATATTGCTGCAAAGCATGTGATGCTGCAAACGGTGTGACTGTATGTCCTGCATCTCAGCTTGGCCCAAGTTCCAGGCAGTCAAGTTCCTGGTTGTGCAAGCCATGCCACACACAACCCTCAGCCACCCTCAAAAGGAAGGCGCTCATGATGCCACTTCCGAAAGTTCCGTCGAGTCCGGAGCTGGCAACATAGCAAGCCCCCACCAGAAGGCTTCCAAGGCTACAAAGCAGAGTGAATCACCCGGTAGGAAGAAGGAGGATCGCAAAGCAAGGAGGACCAATCGGTCAACCAGCCGTTCTTCTTCTTCTTCAAGGGTGCGTTCTCGGGGTCGCTCTCGAATGAATGTTCGAAATCCGCCGGGCACGAAGCGCCACTTGACCGTGTGCTGGTTTGGCCGGGACTGCAGTCGAAAGGAATGTTGGTTCAAGCATCCCGAGGGCCGGGAGGCAGACGAACGGCAAGGCAAGGCCGGCGGCAAAGGGATTGGGCTCCGCCGGGCTCGTACACCATCCCGCCGTATCCGAAGCCCGTCCCACTCGTCCCGCTCTCGGAACACATCGAGGTCACGGTCGCCATTGAGCGCCAAGAAGGCTGCACCCAAGCGCAGGGCCGTAGAGTCCCCCAAGGCAAGCGCCAAGGTTGCCAAGGACTTTGATAACAGGAAGGAAGCGAGGGAAAAGACCACAGGCCAGGCCATGGACTGTCAACCCTTGACCTTCCGGGAGTACATCATGCAACATGGGGAAGGGCTGGAACCACTTGAAGCGCTGGCGGCTTTTCAACGTTTCCTTGATGAGGCAGCTCAAAAGGAACTGGCTTTCTTGAAAGGCACTGGCTTGTTGTTTGACATGTACAATCCAGTGGCACAATTGCGTGCATACGACTCCCGCCTTCGCTGCAGTCAGCTGAATGCGCAGCAATTTGAGCAGGACATGCAGCACGGCTGCTACAAGGCCTTGTCGCTGCGTGCCAGCAGCAATCGGGCTGGAGCCGCTTGCTCGGTTGCTGGGCACATGCAGGCCCCCGAGTTCGCGTTTGACCCAGATGTGGGGTCGATGCTCATCAGCGGCCTGCCGCCTGCCGCCAGCGCTTGGGATGTCTTCGATGCCATCCAGGAATGCAGTGGCTTCGTGGCTGCCACTTGGGCATTGCCATCCTCGAAGAAGGGGATCAACCGGACCTTCAAGGCCCGCTTTGGGAGCGCCAAGCAGGCTACATCGGCATCCATGTTTGTGAGCAAGCAGTCGGACATGCTGCTATGTGCCAAAGGGCTGACCTCAGGAGCGCCAAGAGTGTCCACCCTCACCCCATCGCCAGAGCTCAGTGCTTCAGTGCTGCCTCCTGAGATGGCAAGCAAAGAGAGGCTTGAGAAAGACTTGGTGCTTTCGGCCAAAGTGATCCACCACTTGGATGACTTGCTTCGAATTCCGGAAGGAGTGACCTCTTCTGTGCTGAACTCTGAAGGCTCCACCGAGCAGAAGTTGGACCTGCAGGTGATCTACCTCCGCCGGGTGCACCACTTCTGCTTCTATGCTGGGGAATGGTTCCAAGATGAGTGGAGCCTGCGTGACTCTTGCGGGGTCGTTGCGGTGCGGGATCATTCACATGCCACCTTTGCGGAGACATCATGGGCCACTTCGCATGAAAAGCGCATCAATGACTTCTTGGCCACCGCTTCCTTGGCTCGCCCGCAGTTGGTGAAGTCCAGTGATGCTGAGGTCACCGAGCGCTTTTCAAGCGCTTGCGAAGAGCAGATCCTGCAAGTCTCGGCGGACAAGTTCCGCTGCAAGGTATGCAACAAATGCTTCAAGGGTCCTGCGTTTGTTCGCAAGCACATCCTTCGGGTTCACCTTGAGATGGCTGAGAGAGTCCGCGCGGAGCTCCATGACGAGATGGCCGAAAAGGCATTCTTGTCTGACTCTAAGCGGCCTGGCTCGTTCCTGCATGCCAACTCCAACTGAGCCAGGACGTCAACCTTTGCATTGGACGGTTTGCCTTGGGGAATGGCACGTTGTTCGGTACTCTGAGGAGTATTGATGCCACAACACAGATAATTCAATCCAAAAATCTCAGTGAATGGTTGGCAGGAAACAAAATACTATTCTGAATATGTATGTATATATTACATACTATACGGCATGCAACTATTTATTTATTTCTATGTATGATTATATGATTGCATTGTATATTTTTAGACATATATATATATATATATATACATACATGATTTTATTTGTCATAACATATATATATACATACATATATATATATACATATATATATATATATATATATATACATGTATCTGGGAGAGACACGGGGTGACTTACTAAATGTCCCGCAAAGAAGCAGGGGGGACTCACTATTTTTTCCATGTCCGCCAGGCTAACAGCGTATTTTGACCGTGGCTCCATACATTTCTGCAAGATTGACTTTGACGATCAAACTTGATGGAGTTGGAGTGGTTTTCAGCTTACAGCGCTCCACCAAGCAAAGCCCAAGAGGCATGGAGGCCAATGTGAGGCTTCGGCAAGGAGTTCTTTGTTTCCCGGATTTCGGTCGAGGCCTCGCATCACGCTTGGACATGGCCCTCCCGGAAAGGGGACCAGGCGCTTGGATGGCTTGGGGTGGGGGCGGAGGCGGTTTGAGGCTCTCGTCAGATTCGAGCGTGGCGTTTGTTGCAGCTTGTGCGTGCAGAAAGCAAATGCCTGAGGCGAGAAGTTGCGTGGAATTCATAGTTTTTTTCTTTCTCCTTTCTTTTCCCCCCTTTTTTATTTTTTCTTTTTCGTGTTTTGAACCTCCATGTTCGGGCCCAAAAGGTTAAACAAAGTTTGGGGGTTTGAAAAGCAGAATCCCCGACTCAGGGGCACTTGCTCGCCTCAAGGCCAAGTGTTGGATAGGACATGCAGCCATGCAGCCCGTGTCAGGAGTCAGTGATGGCGGCTCGCACCAAAATTCGGGAGCAGGCGCTGACCGGATTGAGAGGTTGAGAGGTTGAGAGGTTGAGAGGTTGAGAGGTTGAGAGGTTGAGAGGTTGAGCATTGCGTCTTCCTCTTTTTTTGAGGGTACCTTTTTTGGCTAGTTTGAAAGAGAGTTCAACGGAAGCAGCTCATTTTTTGGGGGTTACCTCGTTAGAGATACACCCCATCAGAAGCTGGTGGCACCTTCTCGCGGAAATGGGGCGATATAGAGAACCTCTCAGAGTCACCTGCCGGAGGTGGATGCGTTCTTTCAGATGGACTGCGATGAGGCTGGGCAGGCTGTGTGGTGAAGGCACTTGCGGCTTTGCCGCGCCAAAGCCGTTGCTGCCGCTGGATGTAGCAAGTTCGGAGAGCTTCACTTGAGAATCGAATCAGATTCATCGGTTAGTATTCTCTCAGCTCAGAGGCGAGGGCCCTTGGGCTCCTGGTTGGTTTGGCGCTGCATTTGCGCGGCCAGGATGCCCCACAAGGGCAGACGCCCCGGAGCCCCGTGCTGGCAGCCTAGAAAAAGCCGAGTCAGTGGTGACTCTCTTTCCAATCCCGGAAGGCAGGTGGACGTTTGGGACCTTTTCAGACTCATTATTTGTTTTTGTCTCCCAGCAAATAAGAGACAGGCACTTCCACAAAGAGGGTACTGGAGATAGATGCCACCCCGATTGGGTGGGTTGCTGATGGGAAGCTGCATATTTATTGTAGATATAGAATCAAATCAGGATTCTTTCCCCATGAGGGTTTCACCTCTTGCTGCAGTTGCTGCTTGGAGCAGTTGCAAGGCTGTCTCTCGGGTTGCTTCTTCAGGCATAGCCAATTAGAGCTGGGTCAAAGCGGGGTTGGTTTTTTTCTGAAGGGAGATGCTATCCCAAAGTGCTCAAAGGGCAACCCCCGTTTCAGGCCCCTTTAATGCGACCTTTGCTTCTCGAGATCTAGAGGGCCTGTTTTTGGAGGGTGTCATTTTGTGCCGCTAGTCAGGGACCCCCTGAAGGGTTCCAGCTTGACAAACTCTTCATGTGGGTGTCGTTTCGAGCATACTTTCTTTGAGGTTTGAAGTGAGATTTGATTGAAGAACCCGAGGAAGCCCCTCTTGGAGCCTCGGGGAAACCACGAATCCCTTCAACGGGTCGCTCATTTCCCCATGCCCTCTATGTTGACCGCTCCTGGCTCATGTGGGAAAATCAAGCAACTCCCCCGCCTTCCAAGTTGTTTTTTCTTCTTGTTTTCTTTTTTGATTATTGTTATTAAAATAAATAAATAAATTTGGTCCCCAGGCTTTTGATCTCGCTCATCGGCGTGGCAACACTGGGGATCGCCACCTGCGCCTTTGCCCCACGGGCTCGGCTGGTCCAATTCGGAACCCAAGAAACCGATTCTTTCCAGAAAACGAAGAGTGCGATGGTTGAGCCGAATGGGGGCTGCGTTGGTCGGAGCGTTTTCCTTTAACCTTTCGAGGAAACATGTTTGGGTGTGTTTCTCACTAACCAGCAAGGCACCACGCCGCTTTTGGTTCCTTTTAACATGCTGGACCATCCAATTCCTTACCAAGTCAGCGACCCAAGTTCTCCAGTGGAACCAGGGCTCACCGAACTTTTGCCTGCCGCACACTCTTTGATTGGGAAGGTGAGATGCAGGAGACCGCGGGTGGCATCCGCAAGGCGGGTTTCGCTCACACCTCGAGGTCCCTCAAAACCAATCCGCAAGATCCGTATGACAGACGGATTTACGTAGCTTCCCTTGCTGTAGCTGTGTCACTACGGAATACGGATTGGGATTTGGGATCTCCCCCTCATGTTAAGCAACCCACCTTCACTGGGGAGCATGGAGTTTTTAACGGTGCTTTTTTGGTTTTCAAGCGAAAACAAGGGACTCCACAATCTTGAGTGGTTCGCTGATTTAGATAAGTTCAGTTGGGATGGGGTTGTGACTGACCCCAGCCTCGCATGTTGAGTTGGTTCGACTTCTCGCCAGAGATTTCATGGAGAGGCGCTCCACATTTGCACGCAACAGGCGGTGTCAAGTTGAGGCCTGCAGGTGTCCGGCCGAAGAGTGCGATGTGGCAGGTTGAAGCAATAGGTTGGATCGCCAGTCCTAAATCAAGCGGCGAGCAGGAAGGTGGCGAGGCTTGGAGCCGGACAAATCTGACAGTTTGCCAACCACAAATTCCAGGCAGCCGCTGACGACGAGCTTGCAGCCTGCATAGTTCGAGCCTCGCAGAAAAATAACAGGGGCACGTGGAGCGTGGATTGTGGGGTGGGGCTTTGTGGCTGGTCATGCTGAAGATGGAGCCTTGATTTATGAGATCTGGGCAGAGCCCTTCATCTCACCCGGCTGCACTTGAGCCCTTCTTGCACCGCGCCACGATCCGACCGGCAGCCGCAGACGTTTGAATCAAATGCGGGGGCGCAGGCCAGGAATTCTCAACCCATCCGTGTCCATCCAATGACCAGCCCAAGCATTGGACGCGAGTCTTCACTTTTCACCGACCCCGCGGCTGTCGGTTTCGCCATGTATGGAGCTCCCTGGGAGGCTCAGGTTCCTTGGAGGCGAGGGAAAGCGGAGTGCTACCAGTTTGGCCAATCCGCCCTTCAGAACAAGTGATGGTGTTTATTTTGTTTTTCCATGCTTTTGATGCCCCTTGCAGTCGTCGCACGTTATCTTGAATCAGCCGTGTCACCTGTTTGAACATGCTCAGATCACGTTCCCAAGCTCGTTGGAGGGCCCATGTCTGTGCCTAGCATGTTGGACGGCATTTATTTTGAGCACACGCCAGTGAAGAAGGGTGGTGGCAGTTTGTATCTATGTAGTCTCTGAACGTCGTTGTCTTGTTCTGTTCCTGCTCCCGTAGTTGTGGCTCCTACTGTGTTTGCTGTTGGCCCGTTCTCTGCTCCTGTAGTTTGTTGTGCTGAGGCTGATGCTGCTTCTCCTGACATGTCGTAGTAGTTTGGCATGTGACTGCTGTTGCTGTGGTTGTAGTACTTACTGCTTACTGGAGCTCCCCTATGTTTAGGATCTCAGCTCCGCTACCACGTTAAAATCGGTGGCTACTTTGCTTCCAAGTGCAAGTGCTGTAGTGTTCAAACAAACTGTCAACCGATTGTAGTCTGCAGCAATCCACCTTTTACACATGCGATGTAGTGAGCTCAAGGCCTGCAGTACATGCAACACAAATGCAGGAAGTGAAGCATGTAGTTTGACACGGCCCCTCAGTTAAAAGGTCTTTGTCACGAAAGCTAGCTTTAGCTAGCTGAAGTTTCTCCTTGCGTAAGCAAGGTAAGGGGCTCAAATGCCGAAAGATTGATTTTTTCAATCATTTGAGCCGAAAAGATTGAAAAAACATCAATTATTTAGACCCCCCCCCCCCCCCCGGTCTCAGGCTCGATTCCTCCCTGGTCCATCCCCCCCCTTTCTGGGCAGTGGCTCAGTGTTCAGCAGTCTCGGTTTGTTCGTTTTGGACTTGGTGCTACGAATTTTTACATGTTCCACCGATTCAGCTTGTTCATTTGAGACCTCAGTCTTCTCGGTAAACCACCTCGCAAGAATCTGTGCACACGCAGCATGCAGAACCTAGAGGTGCTTTAAGACAGCTTCTGACGCCTCTCGTTGTTTTCATTTTTCAAGGTTTGCCACGCCACCATGTGCGTTTGCGTGTCGCATCCTACGAATCTTGCCGGGCCTCTCGTTGTACACAAGCTACCTATGAATCCACTCTGTCACCGACCCATCTCATGCAACAACTGCTAGCTTTCGTTCACCCGCTCCTCAAGTAGTACCTTTTCAACTGAAGTGCAAAACATGGATTGACAGTAGTGATGAAAACCATTGTTGTTCATCAATTCTACTGTAGTGACAAAAGTAGTAACCTGCACTCAGTAGTTCTCGCTGTTCAGGTTCCAGCTCGATGTAGTGCGCTGGACGGAAGTAGTGAGGCAGGCGCTTGTTGTTGTAGTAGAGCATGTGCTCAAAGATGTAGTCCGCAGTTCTGGGTGCGGTAGTCTTGGACCTTCTCTAGTCGACTGTCCAAGGTCGCAAAGTAGTGCGTGGTGAAAAAGGTTGTCGTGTAGTTTTGGTGCTCCTCGTAGTCGCTCATCGTCGATTTCGGGACATGACATGTGCTGGTTGTAGTCCCTGAGGAAGCGGTGTAGTAGTGCCTTGTGGTGTTGTGTGAGGTTTGTCATGGTGAGTAGTGTAAATCGGTAGTACTGGATACTCTTGCAGAGAATTGTAGTGATTGCCTTGTGTTGGTAGTCGTGGAGTTGGTCTCTGTTGTAGAGGTAGTGGAGTAGCTCAGGTAGTAGCAGTGGCATGTGGTAGTTCCAAAGATAGTTGTTCCTGAGGCTGTAGTTGTCGGTGAAGATGGTCATGTTGTAGTTCACCTTGTAGATGGTCTGTGGCAGTGGTGTAGTTGGGAGGTTGTAGTTCTGTTGTACCGACATCATGTAGGAAATGTAGTCTCTGGTGAAGTGGCTAAATTGTCCTGAAGTGAGGTACCTCAGGAGTAGTGGTTGTTGAATCTGCAGTTGGATGATGACGTAGTTGTTGTTGTCGCCGGTTGTAGTGTGAAGGGAAGTCGTATGGTAGTAGTGCACGTTGGCTGCTTCAGGTAGTGAAACGCTGAGCAGGGTGGAGTTGTAGTCGGGCATCCGAAGGTCTCCAGGGATGCAGTAGATGGGTTGTGTGTAATCTAGTCGTGCAAGTGGAGTTGCTTGTTGATGTGAAAGTAGTTGATACTCTTCGAGTGTGAGTGCAGTGAAAAACTGTGTGTAGGGTGTGTTGTCGGGCAGTGGTGGTGTAGTGGTTGTCTGGTGCTCAGTGATGTGTAGTTGGTCCATCACTGTGGTCGGGTTGTAGTAGACTGTGTTGCCAGGTGTAGGATGGTTGAAGTGGTAGTTGGAGTCGTTGTATGTTTGAGGTGGTGGAGTTTCATGGTCGCTGGAGTCCGTAGTGACAGCCACCTCCGGTGTAGACGCCCTGTCGGGTGTAGTCGCGTCTCCCTTCGTCGCATCTGCAGTAGATGGAGCGGCCATGGCTGCAGTGGAGTGCGAATGTAGTGAAACGGGGCAAAAACAAAATGAGCCTGAATAGTTGCTATCAGGCAGGCGGCGCGTGCAGACATGTAAAACAAACAACTGTAGTGTTGACTCAGCCGCCAAAAGTGCAAGTGCAAATACATGTAGTTATTGTTACTTACATACCAAAAGTGTCGTGCTACATGTAGCTACTTACATACATGAAATGTCCAAAGTCGTTGTTGTTGTTGTTGTTGTTGCTGTTGTTGTTGTTGTTGTTGTTGTTGTTGTTGTTGTTGTTGTTGTTGTTGTTGTTGTTGTTGTTGTTGTTGTGAAAGTAACTGCTGCGCTGGTCGTTCGTAGTGCTAAATGCGTATTCCAATGCTCTGGATGAGCCTGTGTCGCGTTTCTTTGCTGATGTATTTGGTAAACAAATCTGCGCTGTTGTGGAGTGTGTTGATCTTAAGGATTCTGATGATGTCATGCTTGATGAGGTCTTGTGTGTAGAGAAATTTAAGGTCGATGTGTTTTGCTCGTTTGCTAGCGCCTTGTCGTGTAGCAATGCTCTTGCCTGCTGTGGAGTCTGTGTGGATGCGTAGGTTTAGCTTGCTGCAAATGTTGGTTTCAAGTAGGAAGTTTCTGAGGTGTAGCCCCTCATTAACTCCTGTGCAAATGGTGTAGAGTTCAGACTCTGCTGAGCTGTTGTAGCTTGTGTTCTGCTGCCAAATGCAACTGTTGTTCCCAAAAAGATGATGTTGAAACCTGAAGTTGATTTCCTGGTAGTAGGGCATCCTGCCCAGTCGGCATCGACATGAACGTCGAGATCCAGGATGTTGTTGGTGTTTGCTCTGAGTGTTGTTGTTGGTTCTATGGTGAATTTGTAGTGCTTGGTGCCGTGCAAGTAGCGTAGTAGATGTTTGACTCTCTTTTGTGAAAGTTCTGTAGGTGCTGTGAGGTCTCGTGCTAGTTCTTTTGTGGAGTATGCAATGTCTGGTCGTGTGTATGCTAACCATTGAAGTTTGCTAACGTGGTCAAGTAGTGCTTCATCTTCTATTGTTGGTTTGTAGTGTGCAATTCCTGGAGTGTTCACTGAGTTGCAGTTGTTCATTCCAGACTCCTCGATCATGTTGTCGATGTAGGAGTCCTTTAGTCCAAGATTGCAGTAGTTGCCAAAGTGGTCGATGTTTCTTCCAAGAAATTGTTGTGGTTTGCCAGGTTCGAGGTAGCCGATGTGCTTGAGTAGGACCTGCTTCTGCCTCGAAGGTGGAGTCGACAGTAGTCTTGTCACCAAGCACCAAGAGGTCATCCACGTAGACCATGATGTAGCAGTCGCGAGTCGCATTGGTGTAGACGTTAGGTTCTGACTTTAGTCTTACAAAGCTGAGCTTTTGTAACACTTCAGCCAGGTAGTCCTGCCATGCTTTTGGTGAACTGCGTAGTCCATACATGGCTTTCTTTAGTCGCCAGATTTTGTCCTGTTGTGGACAAAGTTCTTTAGGTGGCCAAAGGTAGACGTCACGTTGTTTACCGTCGTGGTCTTTTGCGATGGGTGCGTGTAGAAATGCTGTAGAGACGTCACCTAGTCGCGCGATCCAGTTTGGTCGTGACATTTGTAGTGCGAGAAGTGTCCGGAGTGTCGTGAACATTGGTGTAGAGGCGTAGACGGAGTCTTCGTCCTCGATCTTCTCTGTGTAGCCTTTTGCGACGATTCGGCTTCGTACTCCTGGTCCTTTCTTTCTGTGTACCCATCTTGTAGGTGTCGCTTCTCTGATGACGTTGTCGTCGACGGTAGACGCATCTACTTCGTCGTAGACGTCATGTAGCTTCATTTGGTTTGACTCGTGTTTCATTCCTTCCAGTAGTTGTGTTTCGTCGTAACCTTCGTTGTCGAAGATTATGGGTTGGTCTTCTGAGGTGTCGTCGTTTGTGTAGGGGGTGATGGGAAGTGTCACTGCGTTGATTTTCTGTCGTAGTGGTGGTGGTTCTTTGGTTGCTTGCTCCGTTGATCTGATTGTAGTGTCCTTTGAGGTCTTCTGTGCTTTAGTTGGTTGCATTACTTCTTCCGGAGTTAAACGTCGTAGTGTTTGTCGAGGTGGTGCTGGTAGTGGTGGATGTTGTCGTCCGGTTGGTGAAGTAGCCATAGGACTATCCGGTAGTGGTCGTGAACTTGACGTCGATGTGGACGGAAGTCGTGGAGGTGGTGTAGTGCGTTGTTGTTTTGTTGCGGGTTCCGCAACGATGTCGTCCGTAGCGTTCGTTTGTTGTCCGAAATCTTGCGTGGACCTTCTTTTCTCTGACGGTTGTAGTTGCGTATCCAACAGTGTTGCGAACGATGGGTTGTAGGTGTTCCGTCGTGGTGCCCATGGTGTGCCGGAAACTTTGTTCAACAGTGCGAGGTCGTATTTGAAGTCCGGTTGTAGTCTCCGTACTGTTCGTACCTTTTGTACGCCTGATTCCGTTGCGACGTAGTTTTCTCCGGTTTCGGAAACTTTTCCGAGCCAGATGCATTTCTGCATCCGTAGGTCTTTCGGAAGTTTCTTGTGTTGTGGTGGAAGGTAAAGTAGTGTCTCGCCAAATTCGCAGATTGCTCGCTCGTAGTTTCTTCCCCAGCGGCGTTCAAAGCTTGTGTAGCCGTCTGAGTGAATGACGTAGCGATTTACCGTCCATGCTGCATGTCGTACTATCCAAGGTAGTAGACAGTGCTTTGTGGACATCGTCATGCTGTAGTTGCTTTCAACCTGAGCTTTGACGACGCGGATTTGTCCGAGAAGTGTTCTATGTAGTCGCTCAACGCTTCCTTGACTGTTGCTGCTGTAGGATGGTGAATGTCGTACAGTCATTGAGCCGACTTTAGATGCTGTTGCTTTTAGTAGTGCATTGAGTGTGTCTTCGTTGTCGCTTTGTAGTATGCCTTGTGTTCTTCCGCATTCAAAGATGAATGCTTGTAGGTTGTTGATCATGTAGTCCATCATTGATGGTTTGTCCGGAACCAATACCGCCATGCACAGTTGTGTAGTAACATCAACTGCTGTTAAGACTGGTATGGTCTTCGGATCTTGTTGTGATTTGATGTAGGCAAAATCCACTTGGATGATGGGTTGTCGTGAGTCGTTGTTTCTTGTAGTTGTCCTGGCGTCCTTTGCCTTGAACGCAAATTGGACACCAATTTCTGTATGGTAGGTGTGTCAAGTTGTGTTCTGCTATTTGTTGTGGAGTGGGCTGCTGCGGTTGTCGTAGTCCTCTTGCTCTGTGTGCTTCATGATGCTCGTGTTGTTGTTCCTCATCGTGGTTCTCCTGGATGTACTCGTAGTCTTTCTTCACGGTGAACCTTGTTGTTCCTTTCCATTGAAATGGTAGTGCTGCGTTGCCCATGACTGTCCAGTCATCTTTGCGTTGCGAAACTTCTCCAAAGTTGTTGTGAGTGATTGTAGTTCTGTGAGGTTCAAGTGTGCTGATTGGTGGATGTCCTGGTCCATCTGTTGGAGTGAATAGAGTTGTTCTAAGTGTTGTGTGGTGTCTTATCCAGTATTCACCTTGTCTTTCCCAGTAGTCTTGGTTGTCCTCCTGTGCTGTGAGTGGTCTGTGGATTGTCTCCTTTGGTTGTGTGGTGTCAAGATCTGTAGAAGGTGCTGCTTTAGGTCTCCATATCTTTTGTGGTGCTCGTAGTTGGATCTTTGATCTGGTTGGTGGTGTGTCCATTAGCCGTTGTGGTTGTGAGCTCTGCCTTGTTGGTGTGGTCTTTGATGTTGCTCTGCGTGTAGGTGTTATCTTTCTTCTGAATCTGGTTTCTCCAGTCCAGTTGTCACCTTCTAGTCTTCGTTGTAGTTCTTGCTTGGAAAGTTGTGTTGGGTTCTCTTGTAGTTGTTCTTGCTCTTGCCCTTGTCTGTTGATGATGGTTAGTCGCCAATCATCTAGTTCTCCTTCAGGTATTGGGCAACCGCTGTTGTGTGGTGTGAATAATGCTTTGCGTGGTCGTTTGTGTACTCTGATGGCGTAGTCACCATCAAGTTTCCAGTAGTCAGTGTTTCCACCAAGGATCTGTCGTAGTCCTTGGTCTGTGTGGGTGAGTGGTGCAATTTGTTCTTGTTGTTGTACTGTTTTCTCTGTAGGTTGAATCACAGCAATGGATTTTCCATTGTCTGTAGTCATTGGGTAGATGTCGAATCCTGTAGGGATGTCGATCTTCTCTGCTCGTAGGTAGAAAAGTCCTGAGTGTCTTATGAGGTGTGCTTGTTGTTGTCCATGTGTGATGGTGCAGTGTCGTGGAGTGAAGTCAAGTCCATATCCTCTATCAAGTAGTCTTGATGCACTGAGGATTGGATACTTCACATCACAAACGTAGTAGGGTATCATGATCCTGAAGTTGTCCTGCTTGTAGGGAACGTACTTGATGCCGTAGACAGGAATCTTCTTGTTTGTAACCGTGTAGAGTTGTGGAACTGATTCTCCACAAGGTCGTAGCGGTAGGTCTGGTGCGTAGTCCTTCGGGCAAACATGTGTAGATGCTCCTGAGTCGATCAACAGGTGGTGGTATGACTTGAAGTTGGAGTACATGATGTAGCGTGTGATAGTGTCCTCAATCTTCTTGTTCCTTTGTTGTTGTCTTGCTGCTGCTATGTCAAAGTGTGGCTGTGTGGTGTCTTCTTGTAGGAATTGTTGAAAGCTCTTGCTGTGGTCGTTCCATGATTTTGTGTGTGTTGTTCTCTTACCAAGTAGTGATTTGGATTTTTTCTTGTGTAGTCGTGAGTTTGCTTGTCTGGTGTGTCCAATGGTAAGGTGTGACTCGTTGATGCCTCCAATGTAGTTTGCTGTGTCCTCATAGCTGTTGTCATTCCAATCCCAGCTCGTAGTCGTTCCAGTTCTCCTCCATGTAGTTCACCTCGTGTTGTCCTTCTTCTCCTTCGTAGTACCAGTCCCAAGTGTCGTTCACATCCTGAGGTAGTTCTTCATTGTTGTCATGATCTGCTTGTTCTTGTTCTAGTGGATGTAGTTCTTCTCCTTCTCCTATGTGCCATACTGGCACTCTGCAGTCTTGTGCCCAGTGGCCAGGCTTGCCACATCGATGGCATGTTGTGTAGTTGTTGTTTCCTTTTCCTTTTGATTTGCTGTAGTTTCCTTGGCCTTTGTAGCCTTTGCTTGATCGTTATCCTTTGGATCCTGAGTAGCCTTTTCCTTTGCTCTTGTTGTATCCTCCTTTGTTGTAGTTTCCTTTGCCGCCTTTGTCGAATCCTTTGTAGTGCCCTTTACTCCTGTACTTGCCTTTGCTCTTGCTTCCTTTGTAGCTGCCTTTTTCCTTTTCCTTTGCCTTTGTAGTTTCTTCCTTTCCTCCATATGATGTCAACATCCATTGGTGCAGCTCCTCCATTGTAGTTTGTTCCTACTGCTGAATCTTGTAGTAGTCCAAGATGAGTGCTCTGATCTCGATGTAGTTCGTGATCTGTCCAGCTCGCAGTTGGAGGTGTTGCTGCAGTGCTCCTTTGGTTTTGTTGAGTAGTATTGCTATTTTGATTCCATCTGGCAGTGCTGTTCCATTGTCTTTCTCGTAGCGGTTGATGTCGTATTCCCATTGTAGAAATTGTTCTTCAAACTGCGCTTCGTTGAATGTAGGTTCCAGTAGTTTGGTAAGGTAGCCAACGCTTCTTGTTCCTACTGGTGGGCTGAACTGTTGTGTGGTAGTCGTAGTGTTTCACATCCGTTTGCGTTGTAGCGGTTTTGCCTTACTACTGTAGCTGCTGCTTCCTGACAGATGTTGATGAGGATGTAGTGTAGATCTCGTGAGAGGTCTACTGCTTTTGTTGCTTGTGTAGGGTTGCGTATGTGGGCTCTTATGTCTGTGTCCTCAATCTGTCGTGTAGCCACTTGTGCTAGTTGTAGCACCAGGTCGAAGTCTCGGTCTACGAGGCCGAGGTATGCTTGTAGCTTGAACAGCCAATCTTCATACTGGGAGTAGTCGCCAGTGAAGAAGGGTGGTGGCAGTTTGTATCTATGTAGTCTCTGAACGTCGTTGTCTTGTTCTGTTCCTGCTCCCGTAGTTGTGGCTCCTACTGTGTCTGCTGTTGGCCCGTTCTCTGCTCCTGTAGTTTGTTGTGCTGAGGCTGATGCTGCTTCTCCTGACATGTCGTAGTAGTTTGGCATGTGACTGCTGTTGCTGTGGTTGTAGTACTTACTGCTTACTGGAGCTCCCCTATGTTTAGGATCTCAGCTCCGCTACCACGTTAAAATCGGTGGTTACTTTGCTTCCAAGTGCAAGTGCTGTAGTGTTCAAGCAAACAGTCAACCGATTGTAGTCTGCAGCAATCCACCTTTTACACATGCGATGTAGTGAGCTCAAGGCCTGCAGTACATGCAACACAAATGCAGGAAGTGAAGCATGTAGTTTGACAAGAGAGAGAGAGCGAGAGAGAGAGAGAGAGAGAGAGAACAAAACGCATAGTTGCATGGTTTGCGCAGCAATTCCGACCCCTGCATGGTGCAAAAGCAATCACAGCAAGCACCTCAGACTACCCAAGTGAAAGCATAATTGCAGTCTTCATAAGATGCCACAAAGGCGATGTGATCTTCTTTGCCACTTTGGCCGTCGGTGTGACGGGCACGTGGCCGTTCCCTGACCCCCACCCCCCCAGCCCCATGCAGACTCTTGCAAGAACTCGATGGCAGGCGCGCTGGCTTGAAGCTGTGCCACCCAACACCCCCCATTTCTAGATAGATCTCCCTCTTGGACTCCTATTGCTGAAAAAGAAGGGATCCCCTTTTCCCTTTTGGGGGGCCATCGCCTCATTTCGGGTTTCCACGTTGCCAACCCCCGCGGGCGTGCCCTCGAAGCCCTCGAAGCCTTGCAGCGCGCCAGGCCCGAGCCCTGCCCCGTGCGCAAGGGGCCGGTGCCTGGGATGTGCATAGACCGGACATTTTGGCTGGACCATGTGAGCTATCCTGAGTTCACGGGCTCCAAAAAGCCGTGCTACCTTGCTGTTCTTTTTTTTGGTTGGGGGAGCAAATTTTGACCGAAGCTACCATGCGCGCATCTCACAGCACTGTTGGAGTTGGACAAGGGATTTTTTCTTCTTTTTTTTTTTGCTTCTGCGACTGATCTCAAAATGGGACCTCAATACACGAAACACCCACATGCAGGGCTCACGAAAGATGCAACCCTTCTTGGGGTTCCTTTTTGACGGGGTATAAACATGACGCCAGCGTACCACAGTGCCCTGTCATTAGTTGTGTTTCTTTTCCCGATGTTTTGACCCGAGCCACTGTGCACAGCGCCCAGCACAAAAACCATTGGCATTTGAGGTGCTGTCTTGAATTGGGGACCATGCCAACAAAAAAATGCCCTTCATGCCAACAAGTTCTGTATCCGAGGGGGTCTTTTTAGCATTAAACAAAAGGTGGCAAAAAGACCCCCCTGTCTGTATCGGATCCCAGAGATCCTACCAGGCACCATGGAACCCAAAGTCTCGGGCGCGCTGAGGGCTTCTTGCCGGCCTGGCAAGAGCTCCAGCTGCAGCAGCTTTGGGACGTGAAGGCGGTGGCTCAGGTCACTCCCCGGGAAGCCGGTGCTAAGCAACCTGGGCTCATACGCCAAAACGCGCACAAGGAGCAAGGGAACGTAGGAAGGTGGGGCGTAGATTGCCATTTTCTGTGGTTTGTGGATGTTTTAATTGTGTTTGAAAGTTGTTTTTTGGTTGCCATGTTCCGTGTGGGGCACGAATTCCTGCAGTTGGGATGGATGAAGCCTGGACGAAAGCTTAAATTTGTTCATCCACCGTGGCAAAGTAGCCATTGTGCATGTTGAGATCACAAGGGCGATTTGCCACAAGTAGGAGCCGCACGGGACGCAGAACGTGGCGAGCGGTGGGGGCGCTGGCACTGGGGGGCTGGTCTTCCCGGGTCAGCTGACAGACGAGAAGGAGAAGAGGAGAAGGCAACAGCAGGAGATGCAGAACGCGTTGGCCGAGCAGATCAGAGAGCTGCGGGGACTGCAATGGGTAGAAATGGCAGGGTTTTGGGTGGGTCTAGGATTGGTTTACAGTCGGTCTAAGATGGGGGTTTCGGGTTGGTTTGGTTTGGTTGTAGACGGGCCGAGTTATCACACAGGTGTGGTCATTGGGGATGATGGGATTGTCATCCAGCGTGACCTTCCAAGTGGTTTGCGTGAGATGGTAGTTTCGAAGGGAAACCAGAGGTCCAATGGGTGTGGCCCCTGTTTTGAGACATACACACACACACCCATATGAGCAACACCAAGCGACTGACAATATTATCGGCAGTCTACTGTTAGTTTGGGGACGACATGGGGGACAACCCATTCTTTTTGTTCTCTTGAGGAACCGATCGTAATGTTGTTTGCTTATATGGCCATCCGCCGAGGCAGCGGGCGCGCAAGGAGCAGCAGAGGAGAGGCGTGGAGGATTCGCCCGTGAAGCCCGCGGGAAATTCCACTGCCTCTCAGCCAGTGCCGGTGCAGAGCACCCGTCCAGAGGTGCAGGAGATGGCAAAGCAGCGTGACGGCGACGTGTTGATTTTGACGAGTGTGAACTTTAGATTACTCAACCTGGTGGATGAACAGTTTTTGCAACTCCAGAGCGCCTTCAGTGGGGGCATGTACCTGGTTTCGTGGGCGGTGCAACAGGAGGCTTAGTTGCTGGCAAGCATTTTGATTTCACAGACACTTGGTCTGGCAGGCAATCCTTCCATCTGAACTCCCTACACCTGGAATTCCCCCGGTACCCCACACCCTACTCGGTGCTGTTTGCGAGTTGATTCGGCTAAAGCTGGAAATGTAAAACCGAGATAAAATGAAAAGATAATCTGAAATCAAACGCTAGAACAAGAGAAAGAGAAAAAGAGAAAGAGTGAAAGAGAGAGAGAGAGAGAGAGAGAGAGAGAGAAAAAAAGAGAGAGCGAGAGAGAGAAAAAGAGATAGAGAGAGAGAGAGGGAGCATGTTCTGCCTCAGTTGCTGCGAAGGTGCACCTCATCGCCAACTGCCATGTGTGCCATGGTGAAAGCTTCTTGCATGGCTCGTGCTCCTATCAATAGTTACACAGTTACATTCAAGAGCTGGTGACCATGCCCATAAACCTCCTTCCAAGCGCGCAAAGTAAACATCTTGAAGTGGCCAATCAAAACCAACACCGGGTTGTTGAAGTTTAGTAGGAGACAGTCCCAAGTAAATCATATGCACAGGTGCGGCAAGAATCCCTTTTGGTTTTGTGACATGGTCTTAGGTAATTCGAGGGGCTAAACAAATCCTCCCAATACTCATGCCTCAATTTTGTTTTAGGCACCCCACCTCCGTTTCAGGGGATATGGCACACGGTGTTGGAAATCTCGCAGGATGAGCGGGAGCGCAAGCGCGTGCAGCAGCAGGAGGGGCAGCAGCGCCGAACATCCTGATTGGCGGTTCCACCTGCTTTCATTGGGGGTTGTGGCAAGGCCTTTAACGTTTGTATCCCTGTTGGTGGAAAGCTTACATCTTAAAAAGTCATGCAAGTGGGATCATGCCCGAAACAGTTTCTGGAACTTTACAGTTATATAATATGATATAATCATCTTTTAAACAACAATCAATGGTCTTCGCCATGTCATCTAATTCTCTTCTTCATATGTATATTGTATGTTTAGCAGTTGCAATCTTAGTATCTTTACTACCAACTGGTGCACAAGTCTTTGATTAGCTTTCTACATATCTCTCCAATCCATCTTTGTTACACAACTCTGGAGCATGACTGCTTTCGTTTTAGGATAGCTTGGCATGCATGAAGGAGGGTTTGATCTGATCTGCTCATGAGCGTGATGCAAAGCGCTTCCTTGGCTTGAAAGCTACTTCTCAAAATGGAGTTCACATGAAAGATACCCTTCCTCCAACAAACATGGCACCTGTGAGAGGGTACTTGGAAGATCAGTTTCCTTTAAAGGAACCCCCTGTGAGGTGCTACGTTAGTGGGAGAGAGGGTACCAAACAGATTCAAAGGAACTGAGCCCTCAGGAACCATCCAAACTTCGACTTGAGATGCCGATGAGAGTACGTGACATATGTCTGTGTGTATGTTATATGTTCTCTATTGTTGGTTTCCCATGAACCGCCAACAAGCTACGCCCTATTTGTTTGGGGTATCGCCCCAAAAGCAGGTGTCGCCCCAAATGAGCCAAAACAAACACCTGGGTAGATGAAGGTTAGTAAGGGGCAGTTCCAGCCGGAAATAGTTGCGGCCGCCTTTCTAATTCTTGAAGCATGGTTCACCATTTTTGTACCAGGTTTTGATTGTGACTCAGGTTACTTTCGCGGTGGGTTTTCTGTAAACCACCAGGTAGTCTTGAGGATTGTCACTTTGGCCATGGAGGCCTAAAGCCTAACATGGAGGATTGTGACTCAAATGGCTGGTCAAAACCAATGGTACCATTCTGGGGTAGGTGAATTCACCACCCATTGTAGTCTATTTCAGTGGGGGATTGGGATGTTCACTGGGGGTACGATTTGGATTTTGGCCCATGGCCAAATGGAGCTGCGGCTCGGCTTGCGCACGGCTTCGGGCCCTCTGGGCGCTGCTCCAGGAGCTGCAACGGGCCCTGGCGCTACAGGCGTGGGAGGGGAGTTGGCTTGGGCCTGGCCCGTTCTCAACATTTTTTTCTGGGTTTTCGTAGGTTTTTTTTTTTTTTAAAGGGTGGTGGCTGACATCATGTGCTCCGAACGGGGATTTGCGTGGGCTCCGTGTTTCTTGGAGGGTAGCCGAATGGAGGGGTGTTCTTTCCTGGTTGCGGAAAGCTGTTGGTGTTGTTTGGATGTTTGTTTTCGAGGGTCAGCGCACTGTTTCCCAGATTTGCAAACGACACTAAATGAGTCTGCCTGAGTACAAATGTACAGGCAGTCTATTATTTGTGTTGGGGTGGATGAGAAGCTGACTCACATTCCCCATAAAAGAAAAGAGAAATTCGTTGAATGATTAAGACGTGATTTTTTCGAGTTTTGACAGAGTGCTTTGTTGTCTACTATTTTCCGCAATTGCTTTGAAAGGCGCAGCGTTCCTTTGGACAACCAACAAGTCCAGTCACCGCTGGTGGCCGGGGCGCTTGAACTTGGAATGGTTTACGGTTTGACGTGCCTTTCTTTTTTATGGTGTGGTTGGTACATGTTTTGCCTCGGTGCCCGCGCTCTCGCCGAAAACGTTTGCAGGCGAAATGCCAAGCCGAGTGTTCGTTGCATTCCATGATGTGGGAGCGCATAGGACAAGCAAAGGCTCCGGGCCTCCCAGTTTGAGCAAGTCTTTCCAGACATTGTGTCAAGGGGTTTCCGGTTTTTCGTCATTTGTTTGTTTGAGTGAATCTTTTGATTATCTTTTTAGCAATTGGCTTGAGTGGTTCTCTTGGGCACCTCTTTCGAGCTGTTTGGCGTCCCCAGATCTTTTTTGTTGAACAAGGCTTCCCCTTTTTAGTTTATGGCAGGTAACTTCCGACACACTCACACACACACACACATGGCTGTGGTTCAAAACCAATGGTACCATTTCGGGGTAGGTGAATTCACCACCCATTTCAGGACCTATTTTAGTGGTTGGATTGAATCGGATGTTCACTGGGGGTACGATTTGGATTTTGGATTTTGAAAAGCCCATGGCCACATGGCACCTGGATGCCGTGATTATTCCCCCCATGGTCTTTCCACTTGGTAACTTCCTAGAGACACGCACACATTGACATAGCACATGGGTGCCTTGATTATTCTAAGACTCTAAGACCCATGGATTTTCCACTGGTTGTGCTTCCAGGTGGAGGAGGCGCGGCGCCGCAAGGAGCAGGCCCGGAGGCAGCAGGAGGAGGAGGACGCCCGCGAGGCGCGGAAGGAACGGAGGAACGGGGAATTGGGTCGAGGGGGCGAGGGGTCGAGGGGGCGGGGGGGTGTCCTTGGAATGGGTTTTCCTGCAAAATCAACCCAGAAAATGGGTATCATTCACACAAGATACGCCTGAATAGGCACTTCCGCAAAATATTGGGAGGGTTCCCTAATGTTCAGAAACACCCAACTATTGCCTTTGATCTCAGGAGGAGCGGCTTCGTCGCGAGATTGCGCAGGAGCAGCAAGAGAGGCACGCAGGGATCTCTACTTTCGTGCACACGCGACGAATGGGGCCGAAGGCGTAAAGACGGCGTTGCTTCACTTGAGCGCCGGATCGATCCACGGAAACAGTGAGGATCCCCTCCAGAACACTTCCTACTGCGGATGGACAGAATCCTGCACCACCAAAGAAACCCTGGAATGATGATTCCCCTGCAAATACCAACGAACAATGGTTTCAACCATGGTTCAAAGTGGTGCAGGATTTCGTCCATCCACAGTATGAAAAGCAGAAGGGGCTTTATTCATCCTGGCTTCCCACTACTTGAGAGCTTTGGCCTTGGGCTTTTCAGCTCAGCAGACTGGAGAGGGGATGCTAAGCAGCTTCTCAAATTCGCCTTGCCTTTGCTGCCTGGCAATTCTTTACATCTGGCACGTGTAGTACTATTTGGGTGTGTGACCACTAGGCACCTTTTCATTAGTGCATGTTGAAAGGTAACCAGCGTGAAGCTGTCGTAGACATTCCGTTCTTGCTGGCGACTTTGGCTTCCCATAAATATTGGACGTCTAGCATGCCAGCATACATTCTGTCCCCTAGAACATGAACACTGCGGGTTGCTGAAAGGTCAATGGGTGGCATGCTTTCACAGAAAGAGAGGAGGTGCCAGGTACTGTGTAAGTGCGGTATTTTGGTGCATCTCAAAATCGGGTACCCCCCGCTAGACAAAGGGGTAGAGTTCCAGTGACGTCCTTTCTAATCCCACCCCCCCTTCCCCCGAAGAGTGGTTTCCCCTTTGCACGGATCCCGAAAAGTTCGTCGCATTCGTGCGCCTAAGTGCTCCAGCTCTTCACCAAAAGGGCCCTTTTATGGGGCTGCCCAAGATGATGCTTTTCTTTCAAGAGTCGGGACATCTTTCCTCTAGGCCTTTTTGGGCATAAACCCTTTGCTTTGGGCTTAAACCCTTCGTTTTGGGCCTAAACCCTTCGTTTTGGGCTTAAACCCTTCGTTTTGGGCTTAAACCCTTCGTTTTGGAGGGAACCCACGGAGAATCGGTCAGCTCTACGGGTTGTGCGGGCATGGTCGCAGGCCAAGAGGAGCTGCCAAGCAGGCGCAAGAGGCTCAGGTTCACTGAGCGGTGTGCTGAGTCTTTTGAGTGGATACCGTAGGGGTCTAAAGGTTTGAAATGGGGCTGTGGGGTAAAACTGTAAAACCAAATCAAGTCGTGATCAAAAGAGAATCATGTTGGCTTGGAAGCAGGTTGGTTGCACATCTTGTTTGCACGACCAGACAGACTGGGCTATTTATATCATATGAGAACGTGTTTAAGCAGGGGCTTGAATCGCCCAACTTCGGTGGATACCCTCCCGCCAACAATGGCAGTGCACAGCCTCGCATTTGGAAGACTGATTTGCGCTTTGAAAGGGAGTCCTTCCACGTTCCCAGACCTGTGGTGGATTTCCATGGGAAAGGGCGGCACTTTGTTTGGGTGATTGATATCAGAGGAAACCCTTCCCAAAAAGGAAGAACGGTGCTTTTTTTGTCGGTCGGTTGTTTTTTGAACAGGAATCCCCTCCAAACAAAAAGGTCTGGGGAGTGGATAGCTAACTGTCTATGCAACGAGCTGGAGTCTTGCGACTCATTTGGACATCACATTCACTTCAAAGGTCCAACTGATTCCTGCAAACCAACATGGGACCCAAACAAAAGCATTCTTTGTAGAGTCTTCTCTGGTTTTGTGAAATCGAACAAATCTCATGTGCCTCCCGGTTGACATTAGACTGCTCCCTTGCTGAACCTGGAACTCCACAAAAACAATTCATTTGGAGAGGAATCTCCTTTTCCAGGATCTCCTTTTTGGGCTCCTTCAGTAAAAACGAGTGTAATGAATGCATTGCTAAACTTGAGGGACTTGGCCCGTGTACGACTCTTCGTTGCCGGGGATGGGCCAACTTTTGGGAAAGTGTGGCCACCGCTGTAAGTATATAGTAAGGGCATGGTTGAATATATATATATATATATATGTATATTTATATCATGTGTACACATACAGGTCAAAACCAGTGGCCAATACTCAATATTTGTTCCATCCACTATGTCTCCCTTGAAGGCACCTTTTGCAGCAGCAGTACTCGTTCGCTTACATCTTCGGACGCTTGTTGAATTGAGTTTTGAGTGACTGAGGCTGCTACCCAAGGACTATGCTTGCCCATTTCAAAATCACATTCTGGGAGTTACAAGTCTAACTTGGGCTTTTTGCTGATCCAAGATACAAGACTGTCAGTAGATATTTGGGGCACATCTTGGTTGTATGAATACATGTGTATACATACACACCTATTTACCTACATACCATGACGTTACATTCCCTTACCTCACAGTACATTCTACTTACTTTACACTTACTTTGCATTTACATGACATTTACTGTGCATTTACACTACATGTACATTACATTCACAGTGTATGTATATTACATTGCACTACATTGACATTGCGTCACAGAGCATTACATTTACATTTTGGACTTGCATGTGTATTTGTATGTGCATTACATTATACTGCAGTACATTTAACATTATGTTGGATTGGTTTTCATTGTATCATTATTGTTATTATTAGTAAGACATCATATTTCATTACATTACATTACATTACATTACATTGCATTGCATTACATTATATTACATTACATTGCATTACATTACATTACATTACATTGCATTACATTACATTACATTGCATTACATTACATTACATTGCATTACATTACATTACATTGTGTTTCACACAATAGACACATTTATATGCATTGGCACCATTGCATTACATTACATTGCATTACCGTACATTGCCTTACGTTACCTGACAATACCTTACAGTACCTTACATTACCTTACATTGTATAACATAACATTACATTACATTGCGTTACGTTACGTTACGCTACATTACATTACATATAATAGACACATTTCTATGCATTTGCTCACGCGCAGGACTATGTATACATATATATATATATACATATGTACATACCTACTTGCATATATATATATACATATAAATAACTGTATATATATATATATGTATGTATCTGCACATGTACATAGGTGCCGCATGTCCATGACCCAACTCGCTGGCCGCACACTCTTCATTCTCGCGCCATCCGTTGGCACAAGGTCCGAGGTGCGGGGCCCGGGGCCCAGCCGTGCGAGCGACGGATGTCTTGCCGCTCTTTTCTTCGTCAGCTGAGGGGATGAAACTTCGGGGTAACATCTGCTTTCACCCAACGGCATTTCTGAAGCCAAGCTGCTTTCACCCAACTGTATAGGAAGCCGACCATTCGGGGCGAAGGGGGGGGAACGGTGGAGATGGGCCAAGCATGTGGCAAACCAGGACTCTCACTTTGGGCGTCGAGTGGCCTTTGCACAGTGCCCCACCTGCAACGGAGGTTTCGAACGGAAGCCGACTTGCGATGTGGGCATTACTCATCATGTAATTTTCCAACAGGAGGGGCAGAAAATGAACTACTCATCACCGCGCTTGTTGTTTTGACCCTCCCGTTGCTGTCTTCAGCAAGCGAGATTTCTTGCAATGCTCGCTTGTCCGGAACATGCCTGACATTTCGCGGCACGGCTGATGTTTGGCGCAGTCACCGCTTGTCACCGCACACTCTCATTGAGCACACTCGCACTGCTCGCGCTACTTACAGAGGGGCACGCGCTGCGTGTCAGTGACTGATCCTGGCATGTGTTTTGCCAGCTTTCTCTCGTGTACTGTTTTGACCTTAGCAAGATTGATTGACCTCCACTCTTTACACCAATTGACTCAAACAACCATTGTGGGCAACCCGGGCTTGAATCATGTCCTGCTGCCCAAGCTGGCGATTTCAACATTTGCTTAGAGTAGCCTTTGTCTGGGGTTGTTATTCCGGCGGGAGCAGAGCAATCCCCAGGCTGTTCGTGTTTGTGGCCATTTACTGCAGCAAACCGAATGCCATGGGGTACTCTCACCAAATACATTACCAAAGGCCAAGCTCATTGGGAGCCATAATTCTTGTGGCTGTGGCTCATAGGGAAGACAGACATCAGGCACCTCCCGTCGGGACTGAGGCCAGCCGCGTGATCAACTTAGCTCGGCCGAAATGTACAGGCGCGCGTGCGTGGGGGGTTCGGGGTTTTCATTTGAAGGCCATGGGACATTCGGATTCATCAGCCATCCCCAATGGGACATTTGCATATACCGGGGAGTCTCTTCTGCATGCGGGTGCGTGACATAAGCAAGCGACAGAATTATCAGTCTGGGGATATGAGCCAGTTGCCTGTGACTTTCTGGTGCCCTTTTCAACCTTTTGAAGCCGAAAGGAAAGAGACACCATCTTGGGAGGTTTCTTCATTTAAAACATGCCCATTTCCGTTTGGGTTTTGTTGGATGCGCAGGGCCTTTTTGTTGGTTGACTTCACTGCGCGGGAGCATTCCGAAACGAAGCGTTCGCTTGACCCCAAGTTGCCATTTTCCTGCTATTTTGCCGCCTGGGGCAAGGAGATGAGTCTTGTTTTTGCAGTGAGGAATTCGTCCAAACATTGACCAGGCCATGAACCTAGGTGCTGCCCAAGGTGCTGTTGTAGGGAGCTGGCAATATGGGGAGATCAGCAAGAGTGCGATGGTTTTAGCTCCTCAAAAGCATTGCCTGGATGTCATTTTTCGATTATCTCATGCCAGGTAGACGAAACCCAGAGGCTTCCCCTTTGGCGGAAACCAACCACTCCTCAGTTTAAGTCGAGCCTGGGGCAATCAAAACTGGAAACCCGCCTGAAGGGTCAAGCAGTCGGCTGTTTCTTGCAGGCAGCCTTTAAGCCTTTGCACTTTTGTAAGGTCTCCTTCATGTTCCCGTGTAGAGTCATCAAACAGTTATCTTTTGGCAAACAAGTCGTTGTTCCACCAGCAAACGTTTTATACTTCTTTTTCTTGGCCCGCAAGTCTTCCCATTTTTCCTGGGGGTCAGGGTGTCTCCATCCGTGCGATTGAGAGAGCTAGGACGGGCGAGCGGCCGGGGCCCCGGTTCTGGGCCCCTGAAACTGAGCTGAAGCCTTGGTTCAAACCTTCGATGGAACGGGACGTATGAATTGTGGTCTATGGGCGTGGCTCAAAATTCGAGAGCTGGGGTTAGGCTTTTGTCTTTGGCTGCAGGTACCAAGGTGCCGTTTTGGTACCATGTTTTTGAGCCACCGCCATATGGACCATCGCGCGGAGTCTGGTGGAGGATATGCTGATGTGCTCATGATATTTGTACAAGATGGAACCGTTGACCATGCGCCGGCTTGTCTGATATCCTTTGCGGCGCATGGTTTGTCTGAATATCGGGTCATGGCCTACCGCGGTTGAATTCAGGCACGGCCCACAGTGGTTGGTTTTGGGGTTGGTGTCCCGCTGTTTTTCCCCGTGAAAAAACACCTCAACAGGGTGCCCTCAACAGAAAAGGCACGCCCATAATGTCCGACCATGTCCAGGTTGGAAGTTAGAAGTCCCGTTGTTCAGAGGGCTTTTGCCACTTGAGTTGCTGAATCTTGAGATCTCATCTTTAGGTTTCCAATCAAAAGCTTGGATGGCCTTGCATTTAACAGCCTATTTTCTTAGCCAAGGCCCCTGGCTCAGGTTGATGGAGGCGGATCCTTTATTGCCAGCCTTTGCCTGCGAATAGAATCTTGCGTGTAGCTACACGTGACGTGGTTCTGCATGCGGGATCCATTCTTTCAAGAACACTCATGCGCCGTATGCCGTAAGCGCGTATGCATCAATCGTATTGGCGATTGGCTGATGCCTGGGACAGAATCAAGCTGTTGTGCAGGGGGCTTGCTGGTGCGTTTGCTTGTCAGACATTGAACTTGCTTGCACATTTCCCAGCAACCCATGCCGGTCAGTCCGGGCATCATGCATTGTGTGAAGGGCCCTAGAATTAGAGCCACGGAGCCGACGACGATGCCTCTCTCTTTCGGCCGTCCTTTGTGAGTCCACTGACAGGCTTCCCAGATCACGCTAGAACATATAGCAACTCTTGGGGCCTGGTTCGCTGGGATGCTCTTGGGCAATCGGATATCGATGCGGGATTCGGGAACAAGTAGATAACTTCCAAGTCGGCCAAAGCGAGACGTTGATCTTTGCGGGGTTTAGCTTGCCTTTCTGCAGTGGGGCGGTTGAGCATCCCGCTGCACAAGTTATGACGAGCTTACTTGGTAAGATCAGCTCATCCATGACCAAGGTCCCTTCCTCATACATTCTCTATTTTCGACTTGAGAATTGCGCATTCCTTTCCTGCAGAGTCTTCATGGCGCCCCAAGAATCATCTCCTCTTTGGGGACCCCCTTCTTGGGCTCTATGTTCGCTTGGGAGTTTCGCCATTCGGTGGATGGCACTTGCAAAACGCGCCCAATTGCAGGCGGGACGAGGGTCGCTGGCCGGAGCCAGGCACTGGGGAGCCGTCAAATCCGGATAGCTTTTGGGGGGGTTCTTAAAACCGGGGTCAAAACATTAGGACAAAACCCACCGGCAAAGATGACTTTCCGCTGAAAGGTGAAAGTTCGCCACGTCCATGGAGGGACCAGGAATAATGACCCCTCCCCCCATTTGCAGCCAGCCGGATTGCAGGTCGGACCATGAAGAAGACGCGCGAGAGGCGCGGTGGTCAGGTTGGCCCGTGCTCGATGTGTAGCGGGCTGGCCGCCAGGTTGAGAGGTTTTAGGGGTCAGTATTGCAGGTCACGATAGGGACTGAACAACTGGAATGGGGTTGTGGGATACTGTAGAAACAAAACACTTCAGGATCATGGAGCCCTTGTTTTCTTAGCCCTCCATTTTCGCCATTGAGTGGTGGGCTCATGGCCATATGGTCTTCAGTCAGCAGCCAAGTCCCAGGGCCGCTTCACTCCGTCGAGCGAGCGCGTGAGGCTGCGGGAGGACTCTTGGCAGTCTGGCGCAGGCCAGCGCTGGGGTGCTTTCGGCCTGGGAGTTTCCGGGTTTCGACTTTGTTTTTGGAGGGAGGTACCCTTTACAATGAGGCAGCATCAAGAAAGGTGCCTTTTTCCCGCCATGGAAATGCAGTGGATCCAGTGGGCTGGGGGGATGCTGAGGGGCTTCGTGGGGGAGGGGGCGTCAGATGGTTCTCTCCAGGGTCGTTTGCATTTTGTTTTCTAGCTCAAGCGCCACAGGCTCAAGGACGCCGGACCCAAGCAGCCCGCGCCACTTGCTCAGAGCGAAGCCATGAGGCCGAAGCAGTGATCCGCGAGTCAGGCTACGCCCACAGCCAAATGGGGCCTTTGGAGTTCACCGGCAAGATTGGGGGCTGGGGCTCGACTTGAGCAGGCGGTCGGCCCTTCCGCAGCTGGACGGAGGCCTTTAAAGGTAGAGAACTTCCAGAAAACAGGGTTCTGTATTCTTTACCTGTTCATCGCAGCGCTGGCCCCGGCCATCACGTTCGGGAGCCGGTTTCTGGAGGGAACCAATGGCCAGTTTGGAGTTCTTGAGCAGATTATGTCATCTGCCATCAGCGGCGTTTTGTTTGCAACCTCCTCAGGGCGGCTAGGCGTACACGCTGGTGGTTTTCAGATGGCCGATGTTGTGGATTTGGAGTTCATGCCTTTTGACTTCTGGCTCTGCATGTGGTGTTCGCTCTTCGCAATCCTCGCGGCGATTTTTGACCTTTCCGCGATGAAGCACGTGACCATGTTCAGCGAGGACATTTTTGCTGGCCTGATGAGCCTGATCTTCATCATCGATGGCGTGACGTCCATCACCCGGAGCTTTACGAACAAGGAGATGACCTTGGCCAATGCTAGGTTTGAAGCCTTGTCGCCACATACTTGTCCTTTGGCTGATTTGGGACTCTTCTCGGTACCCGCGTACAACATCCAGAAGTTGCCCATCAGCCAAGTCCACATGTACACCTTTGTGTCGGTGTTCCCCTTCATGGCGTCCTTGGCTGTTGAAGGGCCATGGTTGTCATGTTCACTGCTGAAGAGAAGCTCTTGGACAGCCCTGCCGAGGAGGAAGCGGAGGAGGGGGTTGGTGTGCAGAGCCCTGATCTGCTGAACCTGGATGTGAGCCAGGTCCAGAGTGCTGGCAAGGAAGCGGAGGAACCCACTGCGGCTTGAGCTTCCAAGAGGGAAGGGATGTGTCCGAGGTGTAGCTACTGCTGTGAATATGTTCACTGCAGTTTTGATCCTTCGGGAGCTTGTCTGAGATTCTTTGACATTTTTATGTCCAGGTTGCATGAGCTGTTAACCACCTTTGAGAGCGCGAACCATTTTCGAGCGCCGCTCAATCCAGAGCAGATGCCAGCTTAAAGCTCATGGTTGGCGCTCTGGCGGTCTTTGATGTTTGATCAAAGACAAGTGCAGTCACTATGTGACACATCAAAACCAGCGAGCTAGCGCCATCATGCGTCGCAGCCCGTGTCTTGCATGTGCGGAAACTGTCCGCGTGCGACGCCTGCGGGATAGACTCGCAAGCTCATACCGAAAACAATGGGCTGGGGTGCCTTCCGTGACTGGGTTGTGACCTCAGTTGCTGTGTGTTTCATAGGTGGTCAACAGTTGCTTTCGTACCTGGCTTCGAGGGGGAATTCAAGGTTTCGGTGCAACACCATGCTGCAGTTTCAGTTTGACCTCCATTGGCAGGCATGCGGAAGACCCGCGAACGGTGCGGGTGCCAAAGCAGGGGACGGGGCAGGGATGAGCCTTGAACAGCGGGGGAGGGGGCGGGGGTGGTGGCATGGTGTCTTTTGCATGTGTTTGTTCCAATGCACTGCCAAGTGCTTTTGAACGGACATGAATGAGTGGACTGTTGCTTCCCAGCAGGTTTCGTGTTTTTTTGGAACATGGAAAGTCGCAGTCGAAGAACGCTTGTCATACTAAATTTGAGACTCCAAAAGCTACGATTTTCGAGCTAGGCATTTCTCTCAGCAAGCCTCTGCCTGTTCAGCGGCCCTTGTCGGTTACGGCTACCTCACTGGCCTGGGACCAATAGCATGACAATTCCATGTCCGTACCAGGTTTCTTTTTCCCGGCCTAAGAAGCTGCTCCAGATACAAGTGTCGGCAAGCATAAGGATCAGTCTTCGCAAGGACCGCCATTCTCCGAGAGCCCAGCGCGTTGAATGTCAAAAAGGCAAGGCCACTATTGTTTGACGAGCCGTCGTTATTTTGGTACGGACCCTAGCATAGTTTGCTTACACAGCAAAGGGCACTAAAAGCGTGCACTTGGTTTGTGTGTTTGTAAGCAACGATTGTCGGCATCCGTAAAGGCCACTGTTTGTGTCTATTTGCGCGTCTTGTTTTAACTTATTTTGTTGATATGAGTTTGTCTGTCATTTTTTGTTGGTTTTAAGTTGTTGATATGAGTTAGATAGATATATATATATATATATTAATCATCTGGCTATGTTCGCTTCTCGGGTTCTCGTTCAGGGCTTCAAGCGGCTCCGCAGCGACTCAGGATGCGGGAGTCCCGACGACGGCGGCCGCGGACCCGAGATGGCCGGGGCCACGAGTGGGGCGTCCCCTTCGACCGCATGACCTGTTTCAAAGAAGCCGCTGGGTTGGGTGTTTTTGAGAGGGTGTCCCAGCATGACCCCCCTTTTCGAAACAATCCCAATCGCCCCATTTTTTCTAAGAACCTCAAACATCCAATCGTGATTATGGGAAGATGGCTGGCAATCGAAGAAGCTTGTGGGGAAGATTTTTGATCAGGGGTGTCAACCTTGAGAGGGAATCCTTCACTGTTCGGGGGAACACACCCGGTCGATCAATCCTGTGTCAACATTAGGTTGTCTTGGACAACTTTTTGTGTGGATGCATTTGGTACAGCATCACAATGTCTGAACAATTATACGCCTTGGTCCAACATCTTTTTACTTCGGCTTGGGGGGGATGGCCTGAAGTGGAGGGCATAACTCTTCCAGCCTCTTTGAAGTAGCCGTACCGTGAAGTTGGGGGCGGCCTGGGGCCACGCTGCTCGATGTAGCGAAAACCCTTGCCGGAGTTGGACGTTGTTTTCAAACTCCCTTTGCAATTTGGGAAGGGTGTTTTCCATATCGCTGTCTTTCTTCAAGGGGTTCAACAGATCGGGAAGGCTGCCAAGAGTGGCGTTGTCTGAGTCAAGGGGTTCAACAGATTGGGAAGGCTGCCAAGAGTGGCGTTGTCTGAGTCAAGGGGTTCAACAGATTGGGAAGGCTGCCAAGAGTGGCGTTGTCTGAGTCAAGGGGTTCAACAGATTGGGAAGGCTGCCAAGAGTGGCGTTGTCTGAGTCAAGGGGTTCAACAGATTGGGAAGGCTGCCAAGAGTGGCGTTGTCTGAGTCAAGGGGTTCAACAGATTGGGAAGGCTGCCAAGAGTGGCGTTGTCTGAGTCAAGGGGTTCAACAGATTGGGAAGGCTGCCAAGAGTGGCGTTGTCTGAGTCAAGGGTTCAACAGATTGGGAAGGCTGCCAAGAGTGGCGTTGTCTGAGTCAAGGGGTTCAACAGATTGGGAAGGCTGCCAAGAGTGGCGCTTGTCTGAGTCAAGGGGTTCAACAGATTGGGAAGGCTGCCAAGAGTGGCGTTGTCTGAGTCAAGGGGTTCAACAGATTGGGAAGGCTGCCAAGAGTGGCGTTGTCTGAGTCAAGGGGTTCAACAGATTGGGAAGGCTGCCAAGAGTGGCGTTGTCTGAGTCAAGGGGTTCAACAGATTGGGAAGGCTGCCAAGAGTGGCGTTGTCTGAGTCAAGGGGTTCAACAGATTGGGAAGGCTGCCAAGAGTGGCGTTGTCTGAGTCAAGGGGTTCAACAGATTGGGAAGGCTGCCAAGAGTGGCGTTGTCTGAGTCAAGGGTTCAACAGATTGGGAAGGCTGCCAAGAGTGGCGTTGTCTGAGTCATGGTTCAACAGATTGGGAAGGCTGCCAAGATGGCGTTGCCTGAGTCAAGGGGTTCAACAGATTGGGAAGGCTGCTGGCAGGGCGCTGTCTGAGTCAAGGGGTTCAACAGATTGGGAAGGCTGCCAAGAGTGGCGTTTTGTCTGGAGTCAAGGGGCCCAACAGGATTGGGAAGGCTGCCAAGAGTGGCGTTGTCTGAGTCAAGGTTCAACAGAAAGGCTGCCAAGAGTGGCATTGTCTGAGTCAAGGGGTTCAACAGATTGGGAAGGCTGCCAAGAGTGGCGTTGTCTGAGTCAAGGGGTTCAACAGATTGGGAAGGCTGCCAAGAGTGGCGTTGTCTGAGCCAAGGGGTTCAACAGATTGGGAAGGCTGCCAAGAGTGGCGTTGTCTGAGTCAAGGGGTTCAACAGATTGGGAAGGCTGCCAAGAGTGGCGTTGTCTGAGTCAAGGGGTTCAACAGATTGGGAAGGCTGCCAAGAGTGGCGTTGTCTGAGTCAAGGGGTTCAACAGATTGGGAAGGCTGCCAAGAGTGGCGCTTGTCTGAGTCAAGGGGTTCAACAGATTGGGAAGGCTGCCAAGAGTGGCGTTGTCTGAGTCAAGGGGTTCAACAGATTGGGAAGGCTGCCAAGAGTGGCGTTGTCTGGAGTCAAGGGGTTCAACAGATTGGGAAGGCTGCCAAGAGTGGCGTTGTTCGAGTCAAGGGGTTCAACAGATTGGGGCTGCCAAGAGTGGCGTTGTCTGAGTCAAGGGGTTCAACAGATTGGGAAGGCTGCCAAGAGTGGCGTTGTCTGAGTCAAGGGGTTCAACAGATTGGGAAGGCTGCCAAGAGTGGCGTTGTCTGAGTCAAGGGGTTCAACAGATTGGGAAGGCTGCCAAGAGTGGCGTTGTCTGAGTCAAGGGGTTCAACAGATTGGGAAGGCTGCCAAGAGTGGCGTTGTCTGAGTCAAGGGGTCTGAACAGATTGGGGAAGGCTGCCAAGAGGAAGCATCTGAGTCAAGGGGTTCAACAGATTGGGAAGGCTGCCAAGAGTGGCGTTGTCTGAGTCAATGGGTTCAACAGATTGGGAAGGCTGCCACAAGAGGCGTTGTCTGAGTCAAGGGGTTCAACAGATTGGGAAGGCTGCCAAGAGTGGCGCTTGTCTGAGCTGGTTGGACCCAACAGATTAAAGGCTGCCAAGAGTGGCGCTTGTCTGAGTCAAGGGGTTCAACAGATTGGGAAGGCTGCCAAGAGTGGCGTGTCTGAGTCAAGGGGTTCAACGGATTGGGAAGGCTGTCTTGCAAGAATGGCCTGGAGCTAAGGGGTTCAACAGATTGGGAAGGCTGCCAAGAGTGGCGTTGTCTGAGTCAAGGGGTTCAACAGATTAGAAGGCTGCCAAGAGTGGCGTTGTCTGAGTCATGGGTTCAAATAGATTGGGAAGGCTGCCAAGAGTGGCGTTGTCTGAGTCAAGGGGTTCAACAGATTGGGAAGGCTGCCAAGAGTATGCTATCTGAGTCAAGGGGTTCAACAGATTGGGAAGGCTGCCAAGAGTGGCGTTGTCTGAGTCAAACGATTGGGAAGGCTGCCAAGAGTGGCGTTGTCTGAGTCAAGGGGTTCAACAGATTGGGAAGGCTGCCAAGAGTGGCGTTGTCTGAGTCAAGGGGTTCAACAGATTGGGAAGGCTGCCAAGAGTGGCGTTGTCTGAGTCAAGGGGTTCAACAGATTGGGAAGGCTGCCAAGAGTGGCGTTGTCTGAGTCAAGGGGTTCAACAGATTGGGAAGGCTGCCAAGAGTGGCGTTGTCTGAGTCAAGGGGTTCAACAGATTGGGAAGGCTGCCAAGAGTGGCGTTGTCTGAGTCAAGGGGTTCAACAGATTGGGAAGGCTGCCAAGAGTGGCGTTGTCTGAGCCAAGGGGTTCAACAGATTGGGAAGGCTGCCAAGAGTGGCGTTGTCTGAGTCAAGGGGTTCAACAGATTGGGAAGGCTGCCAAGAGTGGCGTTGTCTGAGTCAGGGGGTTCAACAGATTGGGAAGGCTGCCAAGAGTGGCGTTGTCTGAGTCAAGGGGTTCAACAGATTGGGAAGGCTGCCAAGAGTGGCGTTGTCTGAGTCAAGGGGTTCAACAGATTGGGAAGGCTGCCAAGAGTGGCGTTGTCTGAGTCAAGGGGTTCAACAGATTGGGAAGGCTGCCAAGAGTGGCGTTGTCTGAGTCAAGGGGATTGGGAAGGCTGCCAAGTGGTTGTCTGAGTCAAGGGGTTCAACATTGGGAAGGCTGCCAAGAGTGGCTGTCTGAGTCAAGGGGTGAGTCAAGGGGTTCAACAGATTGGGAAGGCTGCCAAGAGTGGCGTTGTCTGAGTCAAGGGGTTCAACAGATTGGGAAGGCTGCCAAGAGTGGCGTTGTCTGAGTCAAGGGGTTCAACAGATTGGGAAGGCTGCCAAGAGTGGCGTTGTCTGAGTCAAGGGGTTCAACAGATTGGGAAGGCTGCCAAGAGTGGCGTTGTCTGAGTCAAGGGGTTCAACAGATTGGGAAGGCTGCCAAGAGTGGCGTTGTCTGAGTCAAGGGGTTCAACAGATTGGGAAGGCTGCCAAGAGTGGCGTTGTCTGAGTCAAGGGGTTCAACAGATTGGGAAGGCTGCCAAGAGTGGCGTTGTCTGAGTCAAGGGGTTCAACAGATTGGGAAGGCTGCCAAGAGTGGCGTTGTCTGAGTCAAGGGGTTCAACAGATTGGGAAGGCTGCCAAGGGGGTTCAAGATTGCGTTGTCTGGCGTTGTCTGAGTCAAGGGGTTCAACAGATTGGGAAGGCTGCCAAGAGTGGCGTTGTCTGAGTCAAGGGGTTCAACAGATTGGGAAGGCTGCCAAGAGTGGCGTTGTCTGAGTCAAGGGGTTCAACAGATTGGGAAGGCTGCCAAGAGTGGCGTTGTCTGAGTCAAGGGGTTCAACAGATTGGGAAGGCTGCCAAGAGTGGCGTTGTCTGAGTCAAGGGGTTCAACAGATTGGGAAGGCTGCCAAGAGTGGCGTTGTCTGAGTCAAGGGGTTCAACAGCGAAAGTGAGCGAATTGGACCCAAGTTGGACGCCCCAGTTCGGGTAAACGGGGACAAGGCATCCCATTTCCAGGGTCCCTGTTTGAACATTGGAGACGCATATGATGTGTCGGCCTGGTCACATTGCAGCAAGCAATGCTCATTTGGGGCTCCGGACGCACGGCTCGGATTGTCCTCGGTGAGAACAACCCGAAAACAGAAGGTCCTCAAGGGCAGCGCATTTAATTCGATGTGACGTTAGTTGGGATTTAAGTCAGAAGCCGGCCGCCCATCCGAACCCCATGATGATCAAAGCGCACTTCACGCTTCGCGCAGCCTGCATGATGTGCTTCTTCCTAAAAACTGTGTGACCTTTAACCTCCCTTTTTTGTGCTACTGAAAAGGCCGTTGGTGTCGACTCCTCCGTAGGGGGGCGGAATAGAAAGTGCTGGTGTCGCATACTTTCTTCTACGTCCAGGCGCAGCGCTTTCGCCGAACCTGCAGGACATGTCGCCCGGGCGCCCGGTTCCAGTGCCAACACACCCCTGTCCGGACGACACTCGGCTCGGTGGGTTTGGCATTGTGGATGGAACATGTGGACACTTGGATCCTTGTTGGATGTCGCTCTTGGGGTATATTTGCTGGTCAAACGCTGGATGCTTGGAGTTCAGCAAGGTGTTTACGCTGTTTTCCTCCAGTGTCCGGTGGTGACATGCCGACGGCAAGCTCGTGGAAGGCTTCGTTGCCGGCGAGGGTGGGATCTCCCTGCAGTCGCAAGAGCTGTTCTATCCCCGTGAGGAATTACGAGCGACATCCTCAAAGTTACTCTTCACATGGCGGTTTAAAGGAACCCACGAACCCACCCTGCCAACACCTCAAAATGCCATGACACTTTGATGGACTCAGTTTTGCCACATGTGACTCGGCCCTTGTAGCTAAAGTAGCATGTCAGCATTCTGGCTTTCAGCTTCAGCCTTTCAGTGAATTGAAGCTATGTCGTCTCGAGCGCTTTCGCTGGCTGCTGCTGCACCCTGGCCTATGCCTACATACAGGCGGCCTTCACGGCGTCCCTGTGCCTTAGCACAACCAGTTGAACATGTGTGCTTTTCCCACTCAGTTTGACAGAAGCCTCAACTTGTTTGACTTTGCTTTCCCACCAACCTGGTAAATCTTTAACCTTTCATCTTGATCCTTCATTTTTTCCCTGGCGCGTTTCCTGCTGACTTGTAACAAGTCAAAGTTTTTGGTCGGCGCGTGCGCCCGGGATTATTCCCAAGCCAGGCGGAGGCTGTTGAGCCAACTATTCGTTGAAACCATGGTTTGGCAAGGAGCCGCGGCACAAGTTGTCGCTGGGAAGCGAAATTTACATGATAGGGATTTTGATGTTGGGGATGGTTGGAGGCTGATTACCAGGCTCGGGCGACATTGTTTAAGCCATGAAACCCTGGTCCGGAAGCCAAACGAAAGCTGCTCAAAGAGTTTGCCTCAGCCCATGATTTGGGCACGAGTTTATAGCTCAGAGGAGCGCTGCAGTGGCTACGAGTGCACCCAAGATGAGCAGGACGCCATGGGGGTCTTGTATTTCTCGCAGGAAATTAACACTTTGTGCAGGGTCCCACAAAGCACAAAGGCTACACGTCGGCCAGGTAAATTTCCTCACCCTTATCGGCAGCAGATGTAGAGGATCCTCCTGTAGCACATGTGGGTTTGGGATGTATCCTTCACCAAACCCTTGTTTGGTTGCCGTTGACAGATTGTCCTTTTTGCGGGGTGATGCTTAAAAGGGACAGCTGCAAGATACACTCTAGTTCCTTATACCGTAAGGCTTGAGGATATCCTTAATATGGGTATGTCACAATAGGGGAATCCCCAAAAATGGTGGCTTTCCCGTTGGTTTCCTGCTAAACCAACCTGAAAAGGGTACCGAACCTCTCAAAACACGCCCCCACGTATCCACCTGCCCCAAGTATTGGATGGAGATGAACCTCTTGATAATCAACCAACGTTGGATCAATTTAGCTCTGGCCCAAACTATCGCTTACGACGGATAAGTTTAGACCACCAACGTAAGGAATCCTAGGGATCGGAGCCGTGACCACGACTCACATTTTGTTCAAATTCTGACAATGTCTCGTCAAATGGGGGGAACCCACAAATGAGTGATTCCCTTTGTTTCCCTTAGAGCCCCAAAAGAACGCCTCAACATTTCACATATACCTTTTGACCCTTTACCCCAGATAGTTGGAGCCCAAAAGCTTTCCGCGCGTGTACAGTCTGTGAATTGTCCCAAATTTCGAACACGTTGGAAAAAGTTCATACGGCTTTGATGCTCATTCCGCCTTCGAGTTACTTGTCTCTCAGAACAAGCAGGTGACTCCCCTTTGAGTGGGTTGATGCTTTCTGCCGTGGAAAGGTGTAACAGATCCGTTCATATTTACGCACTGCCATCATGCGTGTGCATGGTGTCCAACGTGATCGTGTCTACGTTTCAGAACGTGCCTTCTTGGGGTTCGTTCCTTCTTGGACATCTTGCCTCCCTTCCAAGTTTCTTGATTAGTCCATATCCAGGTTCTGAGTCCACCCAACATAGCAAAAGGTGAATCCGATCCGAGTACACCACGTGGAGTGATGACATTGGGCAGACGACTGTCGAAGCATGTTACCATGTTTCTCACACAGATATCTCAGATACATACGAGCACACCAAGCACATATGCGGCATGCGGCTGCAGGGCAGGGGCTCCGGGCCGGGGTCACCCCATATATATTGGTGGTATCTAACCACAGAATCGTGCGTAGTTTTGCTAATATCCGCCGCGGAAGCGCTGAGAGCACTGCTGCTCAGAAGCACGAAATCGATCAACACCAGCATCACCGGTGGTCAAGACAGCAACTGAATGTGTCCCATCGCTTTTGTCAGGACAACACCTTTACCCTGACTAAATTTTGACTGGTCTGTGGACTAGGGGCGGCGACACCTCCAACATCACCAATGTTTGAGCCAAGAAAACGTTTTCCCTTGACTAAATGTAGATGTCGTTTGGTCCGTAGGCTGAATTGGTGCACGCCGCCAGCACCATTGCGTTTTCTTGTCAAACACAGCCTTTCCGCAGGGAGCCTCGTAAGGAGCCTTTCTGATTTTTTTGAAGCGTACCAGCCCTAAAAACTAAATGGGGCTGTGCAATTGCAGAAAGCAATTCGACCTTTTCGGCTTTGGGGGGCTGACGCACTTCAACCACCGCAAAGCAACTGAGGGAAAACTACAAAAATACAACTCCGCGAAACCAAGCAAGCAAACACCAGCCAACAGTTTTTCTTCGGTTTATCTCTTTATCAGCCATAGAAGCAAACGCAATTTGGTGTTTTTTGTCTTGTTTTTGGGCTGATAGTCTCCGAAAACAAGCCCAAACAGAGGCAAACAATTACAAGGCAACAAACACGTTTTGCTTGTCAGAACCCAACCTTTTCCTCACACAGTTGTTTTTTGGTTTTCGGTTTAGTGTTATGGATGTTCTTTTTGCTTTCTGTGCTTCATCGTCTCATTGGCTAAAGTCACAGTGATGTTTCACATAGTTGTAGGAACATTTGTAAACACTAAGGTTTTTGCAAGCTTTTGAGATGTAGCACATCCGAATCGGAATCAGTTTTGGTTTAGCGTCGTTGATATGCCAAAAACCTGAACAAAGTGTTTTTGACATTTTGCTTGAGGCACAGCAAACAATTTGGGGGGAGCCTTGCTATGTATAAACATGTACATGACACACATACATACACACATACACATCCACGCGCATACACATACACATGCACATACACATACGTACATGCCCACATGCATCCATGCATACATGATATATGCGTCAAGGGTGGTGTAGCATCCAGCAGCAAAAACCAACGGAAAGGCATCTTCCGGAGCCTTAGGACGCCATGGGCAACCTTTGCAACGCGCTGGGCATCTTCGCCTTCGGCTGGGCCACGGTGATCCTGGGCATCGTGGGGGCGTCCTTGGGCTGCAAAGTCAACATGAACGACGAGGCGAAGCCGAACGCCTTTTCATGGGAATTCAGTTGATGAATTGGGTCCATTTCAGCAAGACATCGTCAATTTGCACTTTTATTGGTGGACAAAACGGTTTTCCCGGGCCAGGATTAACTTATTGTTGTTTCTTTTCGGGAATTCCCCTTCGGAGTCATTCCGGCAACAGCAAGATACAAAGCGCCAAACTGGGAACTACCTGTTTGATGGCGAGCCCAGGAGTCAAACGGAGCTCAGGAGTCAAACGAGCTCAAGGTGATGTTGCTGGGTCCTTTGCTCCGGGATCCACACCATTTGTCGTTTTAAACATCACCCGTCGAGCCAAATTAAAGTGAGTTTCCTGCCGGCAAGCCAGGCAAGTATTGTGGCTCTATCCCTATAAATCTGCCAGACTCTATTTCAATCTGGGCCGACATTAGCTCACCAGCTCCGCCATCCAGACGTAAGACGAGCCATTTGACTAAGGATCTGTGCCTCGCCCATTTTGTTGCATTCCAGTGGTGGCACGGATCTAGCAGCAGATGCCGTCTTCCAGTCTCACCCACGAGACGAGCTGACCTAGTTCCTAACCCTCATTGTTCTTTGTGGTACTGGGATCTGCCAGCTGCTCGGGGTCCACTTTGGTAAGTTGCCAGCACGGAGGCGAAGGCCGGGCGCCGGCGGTGGTGGTGGGGGCGACGGTGCTGCAATGAGAGCTGGAGGGCGGGCTGCCTGAACGAGCTTGGCCTCGAAGTCCTTTTGTTTGGTCCAGGCTCTGGCTGTGCCCTTCCTGCCTTTTTGGCCAACCTGCCCAAAAAGGGCATGGCGATGCTCTCCTTTGGATGCCGGGCGCAGGCCCGTGCATCCACTGTCACTGACCACAACGAGGCAGCAGTGTGCATCAATTCATAAACTGTGGCTTGTGCTGTCATTTGAAACGATGTGCTTTGCAGTTGCTAAATGCATGCAGCGGCGCAAAACAGAAATCGCGACGGCATACAGGGCTGTTTTTCAGCCCCGTAGGGGGCTGGCTGGTTTCCCACAATGACCTTAATAGAGCAAGAAACCAGAAATCCATACTAGGGGAACACATATCTGAGTGCGTCTCCAAGTAAGGGAAGTTCAACATTGGCAGGTTTCCTGTGGCTTCCCCTTGGTTTGCCTTTGACACAGCCCAAACATGGGGTCCTCATCCTCACATCTGAAAGCTCCTGGCGATGGCGGGCGTACTTCTTTGTTTCCTCAGCCAAGACGAAGTTCAGATTCTTCATGTAACGTTGCAGACACACATGTTTTTTAAGATGAAAATCTGTTCACCAGGGTCGGGCACAAGCATTTAATCGCTTGAGGTGGTTGAAGATAGGCAGGTTTAATGGACTTGCTCAAGCGGACCCTCAGGTTTCATTCAAGGCAGGGTCATCCATGGCTAAGCCAAGAAAGCATCAAAGATGTGGAGAAGATTGTGCCCAATGAGGCCCAGCAAGCGGAGGGGCATGGCGTTGTCTTGCCCTTGTGTTGGGGCATTGCTGAAGCAAGGGTCACCTCCCCCACTATTTTCAGGGGTTCACAGTAGCGGGATACACATGATCAGCCAAAATGGCCACCATATGACCATACCGTGGATCAAGGGTGACGTGCTACCGCACATGTCCTGCAGGCCAGTGCCCTCCACAGTGCGGTGGCCCGGGTAGTCTGGGAGACTGGGTGCTGATTTTTTGGAGGGAAAAAGGGGCACAAAATATGCACCGACGAACCTGACTTGGTCTTGGCTTGTCTAAGGGTATGATACGGCTGGTGTAAGTCTAGGAGGCATGGGAGAGTCATTCCCGGTACTTCCAGTAGATCCCTGGCAGGAGGTAAGTAGGACATGGTGGATTGGGTGAATGGAGGGTGTTTCTCCAAGTGATCCGCATCCGAGAAATGGGACACCCCATCTCTCAACATCAACCAGGGGTTCCGCTTAATCCTGCAGAGTCTAACGGTTAAAAACCACCGGTTCTTCCAGAGGCAACTGGAAGCCCTGGGATTATTTACAGCAAATCCTCCAAATGATAGCCAACCCCAATGGTAGAACCTAGGCTTCCTAGCTCCTTGCCCAGTCCATTTGCCAAGGCTATGCCTGATTTCGGGGTCGAACTCCAAGATTTCAAACAGGCATCACCAGGCTTCGTCCTTTTACAACACCCACTGCCAAACAACTATCTCACACACGCAGGTCTGGGATCCCTCCGTCAGCCTCCTTTAATTTAATGTGCAACTCACTAACTTAGTTGGGGGATGATATGGGTGGCCCGCCCAAAGGGTTACAAACCACGCAATTCTCCCAAATATTCTCAAATTTGCCCGGACCTCCGACTTTTCTTTTCCCCCGCCGCCCCACCGGGTCTCATTTTGCATCGCACAGGTGTCCTCTGAAAACCGGACCTTGGCCTTTGGGGGACCCCGGGCTGTTCGACCCCGGTCCTGCGATTTTCTGACGTTTCTCGCGAGGCCGGACCCGCGGACACGGGGAACACCTGGCTGGGCACCGCGAGATCGCCCAAGGGCCGGAAGCGGCACCCGCCGGGCGCGTCCCGCGAAGGCGCGACCGCGGGGGCCGCGGGGGGTTGGGGACCTCGGAAAGCGCGTTGATGCGTCTTGGTGTCGCCCGACCTAGGTGTGGCTCAAAATCAAAAAGCTAGTGTTACGCAGGTTTTAGTCTTTGGTTCTATTTACCAAGGTGCCATTTTGGTACAATTGTTTGAGCTACACCCACCTGAGTTTTTTTGGATGCTGGATTCCATTTGGGTTTGGGGCTTCCATTTGTCAGCCTGCCGGAACGGCCGGACTTGTGAAGAAGCCCAGACAGAACCCAAGGGAGCCCGAGCCGAACTTTCCAGGGAGAAGCACCCAAAGCAAGCAGCCCCAAAGTGCCAAAGTCGGGGGATGGCTCTTGAGCCCCTTTCTGCCCTGCTTCTTTTGGCACACCACAAGGGGCAAGGCCTGAAAGGCACAGGGCTTGCACAAAAGATAGAACCTTTTGACCGGAGAGTTTCTATCTTTCCGCGACGCCAAAACCTGCGGAGGGTTGATCCTGTTTTCGCACGAGTACTGAATTAAGTAGCGGCAATACTAAATTGGCCCAACCCACCAACCAGCCAACCAGCCAACCTACCAACCTACCAACCTACCAACCTACCAACCAACCTACCTAAACCCACAGAACACGACACGGGTGGCGTAGGGTCCGTGAGGCGAGCTTGGCTTCCAGGGCTTTGTGGAGCAGCAGCGGGCGGGCTCAGAGAGACGCACTCAGTGGAGGGGTCCCCCGGACTTTCCGGGGGAAGACCACCATTCAACGAGCGCATTTGTTTCCGCTTTTTTATTTTGACCGGTTTAAGGGCAAACACAGGCTTTTCCCGCTTTGTTTGACCGTTTTAACGGCAATCAGATGCTTTTCCCGCATTGTTTGACAGTTTTAACGGCAAACACATGGTATTTCCAGCATTTGTTGACAGTTTTAATGGCAAACACATGTTTTTCCCGCTTTGTTTGACCATGTTAACGGCAAACACATGGTTTTGTTCGGCCTTTTTTTGTAAATCCACTCAGGAATGAGCTAAAAGGGGGTACCGGATGTTTGAAGGGGCCCAAAAGCTGTCCATGTTGGGGAGTTCCTCTCAAACAGAGACACAACTAGCTGGTGTTGGTGTTCAGATCAAACCTTTGCCTTGCCCCTGACTCTTGCTGCAGGGGCACGGCCAGCTTGAAGCTTCCAGTTAGTGTTTGTTGGCCATCAATTGGCAAGAGGGCGTTGATGACCCGTTCTCTCTAACCTTCAACTTGGCGTGAGAGCAGTTCTCAAGCAGAGCTAAAGTAAGGCCAGTGAATCCCAAAGTGAACAACAAGTTACTTCAAGCTTCTGTGTTAAAAGAACAATAGGAGGATCCGCAAAAATGGCTTCGCTTGTTTCTTGTGGCTTCCCTTTAAACCAAGCTGAAGGGCACCCTCAAACACACACACACACACAGTGCATTCTCACGAAGCCAGCTTTCTCCGGCTTCGAGGCGTTTGCTGGCGAGCGAAATGCAGCGCCAGGCCGGGGGGAGGAAGGATCAATATGGGACTGTCTCTAAGTGCTTAGACCTGTTGCTTCCTTTTCTGCAACTGGGGACCCTTTTGGAATCAACTACCGAAAAAGAGGATCTGGTGCAAGGCGCAAAAACTGCCGAGAAAAATGGGTGCCCTTTTGTTCTTATGGAGATCCGCTAAAGGTTTGTTACCAAGATTGGTTGTGATGAATTCGTTGGTTTCATTTGTTTTGTCCAACAAGATGCCCAATGGACTGAATGGTCAGCATTTTGGCCCGGCGACGAATTCTTTTGGATGGGGATGTCGTCACCTTGAACCATAGCGTTGGATCAGCCTGTGGATGGGGAAGCCTTTGAATGGGGAATGTAGACAACCATAGTAAGAGTCCCTACAGCCACGGCCATGGCCTAAGGAGCTTTGAGAGTGGCACATATGACCATGAGTAGTTTTGACTGGCAGGTGTTGCGGGCCACCCACACCCGAACCTATTTCAATAACAGGATCGAAATGGCACCTGCGTCCTGTCTAGTCCTATGATCTAGGGCCCCCTTTACCAATCGACTCTACAATTTCCGCATTTGTTGTTCTTAGAACATGTCAGCATTGTCTGCGTTTAATTTGGCCTGTCCGGTGAACCACGCCCCAAACTCACAAGGAGGACCTCCAATGATCTGTTGGTTTTGTTCTTTACGATCTCATTATATAAAGCGTCGTTGGTGTGGATTACGTTTGAGAGGTTTGCCATCAGCCACAGCATACATGTAAGAGGTTTGTGCACCCAGCCGTTTTGATTTTTGGAGGCACGGGCTTCGGTGTTGTTTTTGCGGTTTCAAGTTTCAGCCGGGGTTTTCTGGGTATTGCTGTGCCTTTTGAGGCTTGGCAGATGTTTTGTTGTTTAAACTCCAAATGGAAAATCCAGGCGAATCAAGGGACAGTAAGAGATCTCATGTTTTGGGTTCCACGTTCGCAGAGACAAACGCGGGACATTGCCTCACTTTGCTTGCGAGCTTGGTTGGACATTCGCTACTTTGACCATGACGATATCTCACGAATCAAGCGGAAACCACAAGGGTCAAACAAATGCATTTGGCCTTTTTGGTTTTCCTTGTCAATACAATTTGCTAAGATCAACCCAGAATCCGAGCACCCGATCATTGGGGCGCCTTCTGCATTTGATGTTTCACGTGGCTGGGTGTCAAAGTACAGGAACCCTTCCAGCATAATTTCATGCGGGAGTTATGATTTACCATGCGGAGCAGTCCAGGACAATTGTACCTGGTTAGGATTCAAATTGCCACATCCAGATAATTCTGAAAAAAAAGAAAACATGGGCCCTGCATTGTGCGCTTCACTCCAGCGGAAGCTTCCATTCACGCTTGGGCTGTGCCTTGCACCCGTTGCTCGTTTCGCCCGTTGCATGGCGCTCCTGTCCAACGGCGCCCTTGGTCCATTCACGATGCCACTAAGCGCGAAGTTACGGCCACCGGAAGCCCAGTTGTCTCCCTGCTTAGGAAGAAGGGCATGAGCCCCATGCAAGCACCCCGAAGTTGGCTGACAAAGGTCCGTGCCCATGTTCCGTGCTGAGAACGGCCGAGCATTGACGCCTTTTGGTGTGAACAGAATGAGGGAAAGCGGACACTTCAAGTCAATTTTTGCAGGCCCGAACCCAATACCATAAAGAAGGCAAGGGTCCACCTTGCCGAGGGGCTAAAGGGTTGAAGGGGGGAGGGGGGGGGGGGTTGGGTTTGGGGAGTGGGTGGGGGTTGGGGTGGTACGGGCGCGACCGGAGGTGTCCGAGCTCCGGCACCAGCGTGACGAGGCGAGGGAGCAGGCGCTGAAGGCTGGGAGAAAAACTGGGGCTGGGGTGGGGTGGGGGTGGGGTGGGGAGGGGGGAGTGGGGTGGGGGTGGGGTGGGGAGGGGGGAGTGGGGTGGGGTGGGGTGGGGTGGGGTGGGGTGGGGTGGGGTGGGGTGGGGTGGGGTGGGGTGGGGTGGGGTGGGGTGGGGTGGGGTGGGGTGGGGGGGGTGGCTTTGGACACTCTTTGGCACAGCTCGAATCTATCATCCTAAGGATCCCTTCCAGAACACAGTGGCCCATAGCCTAACATGCAAAGCGAGACAAGTGCGGGCAAAGCTTGACCTTTGCAGCGAGCTGGTGTTTGTGACCACTTCCCCTGGCTTCGGGATCGAGTTCTCCAGGCCAAAGGTAAGGCGTTCAAAGGGATCAACCGCTCATATTCCGGCGGTCCGATTTCGTGGGTCGTCTTTGTTGCTACTAGGCTCTGGGGTCCTTGACCGATCTGCCATTGAAAGTGGCAAGGGTGAGGGTGGACTTAAAGACTGGTACGCTTGAGAGCAACTTGACGGACCATCTCAGTTTCTCTTTGCTCAACAATCATGTGAGATTCTGTTCAAATATGCTGTAGGTACGGTCAATATGGGAGCGACTTGTGGGAACTCTCCAGATTCCCCACACAAAACATGTCCAGCAGGCTAGCAGAAAACAAATGTCTGCGGCTCAATGTGAATAGGGAACTTTTGCAAGAGCAATGAGTTTCAAGCCACTTCTGTTTGTTTTCCTTGGCAAGAGGGTTTATGAGTTCGATAGACTTCACATCCCCATTCCCCACTTTGAGAAGCTCGGCTGGGCATCGTTGCAGGTCAAAGAGGATGCCATCAACGACCGAGCCAAACACCTGCAGGTTGGGCCGGGAGTCGAGATTTCACCGAGCTCCCGAATACCGATGATTGCCTGACAGCAAGTAAGCAGAATCCTGCAATGTACCACAACGGTGAGGTGAGATGCGGTGAGGTGAGTGGAGTGGAGTTGAGTGAGAGGGAGGCACCATGCAGATTTGTGGCGGGCGACAAAGCAGCTCAACGTGCAGCCAACGAGCGAAGCTTCAAGAGTGATAGAATGGGGGGACTCCCCCCCGACTCAGGACACCTTTCAGTTGGTCTCACTTCGCCAGTTTGTGATCTTTTAAATTGTTTGAAAAGATCATTTTGGTGTTCAATAAGTCGGAACTTTTGACCAATCCACGCAGAAAGTGAGTAGTCACAAGTAGGTGCCGTTTCCTGAGGTTGTCCCAAGCCCAATTGCTACCCTTTCAACCACAAGAATGATCGTGCGAGCATGGCCAAAGCCTGCCCTTAAGGCCATCCTTGCCACTATCTGAGCCTAAACAAATCCTAGTGTGCTTCGAGCATGTCAGGCGACTCTGCACTCGCAACATACTCTGGCTTTGCAACAAGTCGAAACTCGCATCATCATAGTGGACAAACTTGGAATATCACAAACCAACTTGGCGCAACACTATCGAAGCCCTAAACCTAAACCTAAACCTAAACCCTAAACCGGAACCCTGGGCAGGACACAGGTGATTCGGGGGTGATGGCAACCCTCGGAGGCTGTGGGTATCTTTTAGAACAAACCTGCTGACCAAGCATCGGATCTGCTTCGCATGGTCGGAAGCTGGCCTGCGGCGCGGGTAGGAGCTGCAGCAGTGCCTCTTGGACCAGCTGCAGGCCGGCGACGGAGAACTCGCACGGCCGCAATGGAACGGGCCATGGAACGGGGCGATGAGGCCACCAAGGGCCACGCCTCGGAGGTTTCGCCGCCATTTTCACGCAGGAAGGCTTTAAACGCCCTTTCCCATCGCCAATGGCCTTGTGTGGCTAGAGAGGGCCAAGGCCAGATGAGCCTGCATGACCAAGAATATGCTTCCCCCAAACAGCAAATGCCCACCCAAACTCCCCAACGCCGAGAGAGCAGAGGGAGCACAAATTCTTAGCGTGCAAGTGCAAGGCTCTTCCCCCCCCTCTCCCAACAGGAGTGTAGGAATGAGAAAGCCACTCTGAGCTAGAGTTCAATCAGGCCCTAGTGATTTCCCTAGTTCCTCCACCATCCTGGAAAGGATATTTTGGGCAGCAATGCAAAATGAACGTTTGTATCGGTGGTTCAAGTGCGACCAACTGTTTTACCTGCTCAACTGGGTGCTGCATGCTGCATTTGCCTATGCAGAGCCACGTGCACAGGGTAACGGAACTGTCTTCTTCTTGTGCCCCAAAAGGAGTCTACGACACGTCTTTTTTTGTATGTGTTTTTTTCTGGTGGGGGGAAGCAACCATCCCTTAGCCTATGTCATCATTGGGAGGTGAAACGCTATGGAACCCTGACCTCACAGCGGCTGTGTCTCAAGCAAGGGGGAAAGCACGCGCCTCAGATCTGGTCTTGCGTTTTTGTTTTTTGTTTTTTGAAACGTTTCGTCGGGTAGAGGGGCGTCTTGATTTGGGGGGTTTATCATTGAATCAAGACGGGGTCCTTTCGCCAAACCTGGCTGATGTGGCTGGCAGTGGCCAAGAAAAGGAGACCCTGTTATATGGGTCTGTCAATGTGGTGAAAACAGTACTGCTCGAAATGTTAGCATCATGTTGTGTCAAGGGAAAGCAAGGATGGGCATGATGCGGCATGATCCCAAGAAGATCCTGCACATTTGAGGAACACTGAATGGCAGTGATCTCCATCCTGGCCGGAACAACCAATACAAACGAAGCCATCCAACAAGTGGGATCATCTGGTAAGATGAAGCTGTCAAGGTTTGTCAGTTCTTTTTTAGCTGTCAATGTCGCCAGTTTTGTCTTTGAAAGGCCCGCGCGTTTTTTTCTTTGCTTGGTTCCATCAAAGTCATCAGACAGCAAGTCTTCGAGGCCCCATCTAAGCCTCCGGGGCGGCCTGGCATCTGGATGAATCGATTTTCCGTGCAGCTGAGCCTGGCTTGCAACCATGGTACAAGATAGGGGAGCGGCGAAATCATGAGCATGGCGGGGGGGGGGGGGGTGGCAGGGAAGATTACGTACAATGTGCCGCCGCGCGCCTTCAAGAGCAGAACGGCTCATTGTTGCACATGGACTCTTTTGGTGCAATCCCAAGAGTAGAAAGGAATGTCTTGGCATGCCCCACCCTGAAAGAACCAGCTAGTTTGTAGTAATAGGAAAAAGGGGTGAGGGGTGATGAAGACCAGATGAACATCCTCTCTTTGGTTGTGAGAGAGTGTGATAAAAGCACACGGTATACCTTCGTGAAGTAGTATTAATAGAAACAAATAATGATGTCCTCCTATCTATCACTTCCATATTTTTTCTAAATTAAACGTTTGCTAGCTCACCAAGATAGAGCATGGAAATGGAAAGAGGAAAATGTTAACCAAATGATTAAAGCCACAGTAACAGATAACAGAGTTAGAGAAGATCGAATGTCAGTGAGGAAGAAGTAAATAGTAAACAAATGCTGGTCAAACAAACATAAAAGGAAAGAACAATCAGAGAGATATAAAAAAGGGTCTGGAGACGTAGCCTGTCCGTGAGACGTCACTTAAGCAATAATAACAGTTAAGCGTCTCTTCATTCATCACTCTATTTGGACAGGCAATATTCTGATGAGAAAACTATTAACTTCCTTCGGTCACTTCTAGCGCTGAACATGATTTTATTAATGAAGATTGATTCAGTAGGATTTGACAAGTATTAGCTTGGGAGGCAAAAGGAAACCCCTTAAAAGAGAAGGTGAGAAATAAACCCCAATCGATACAAATTAGTTAACATTACTCAAGAGATTCTAGTAAATAAATAGCCTTTTGTAAATAGTGTTCCGTCCTTCTCCAGCAACTTTGAACTATTAATATCCTTTTCATTCTCACCTAAAACTCAAGAATATTGCACATATCTAAGGATAAAATAGGAAGTGAGTGAGAGATGTTGCAAGGAAATTTTAATAGAACAAAAGCAGAAAGAAGATACAAATAAATAAGCTCCATGAGTAAAGTAAAGACCAACAGCCTCTTCAGAGTCAAGCAAACTATCTATGGTTATAATTTGTGTTTATTCTTCATCATGCACTAATATCTTCTCCAATATATTTGTGTAAATGGGATGAAGTGGTCACGGGGTGAATTTAAAGGCAATAATTACAGAATCTTTGTAATCTCATAGCTTACTGCGTTTTATTATCTTATTGCGTTTTCTATCCTATCCACCATTGTCCACTCTAGGTTTTTCACTGTGTTGGAGAGGGTTCTTGATGGACAAGAATAATTTGTCTCCCAATAAACCATTTCATTTATTAACATTCTTTATTACTTTCATGTTCTTGGTTCTGTCATTTGCCTATTGATTTATTTATTTATGTATCTATTATGTTTCTTCATAGGCCTTTTTCGTAATTCTTACTAATCCTGATAGCCGCGAAAGACGGGAGAGCAGAAGGAGTGTTAGCCAGTTCCTCTTCTTCATATTTGTTATTACCCCCCGGTTTTTTCCCCCCATCCAGATGCCTCCAACGTTTACAATGCGAGAGAGAGAAAGAGAGATTGGGAAGATAGATAAACAAGTAGAAAGGTTGCAAAGTGAACAAGTACATGAGAATGCAACCAGCAGATGAGAGACTATGAACCTATTCTTGGTAATGATTAACTTTCTGTTCCAACCATCGTGATTTTCTTTACATCGCCAATTTTTTCAACCTCACACCCAGAAGCATTTCTATACTTCTCAGATAATATTGTAAATGGAAGACAACAAAGATAGACATTCAAGCAATAAATGGGATGGTAAACCGAAAGGCAATGATCTTAATAACGACATGTCCATCCACAAATGTTTCCTGGATGAAGTGGAAGAGATAGAAAGGGAAGGATACAAGCTCTTGGGACCACAAACCAACCTCTCTTCCTCCGTGACTTGGACAAGGAAGGACGTCAACGATGAGAAGAACCCAGTCCTTACACCATCCTATGATCTAAAACTCTATTATTGTCCTTTCATTTCCAGAAGATTATTAGCAAAAGAGAGAGACCGCTAGCATTTGCTTTTAAAAAGGTTTTAAGGATTCTGTAGTCAAATCTTTATGGGTTGAAGATGTTGGTGGGTGACATACATGGGAAAATCAGGATGCGATCGGAGGAAAAGAAAGAATCACGTTACTTCTGTTCACCCTCTCCTATCTTCTCTTCTTCTTCTTCTTCCCAAGCACCACACGGCATAAGATTAACAGCAGCCTATGCTTGAGGAAGAAGTCAAGAGAGGCTTCTCACTTCCCATTTTCAATCTTCAATTTCATCAAAAGGAAAGAAAGAAGTGATAGAAAGACATGGTAAGTGCCCATCCAATTCGTTATCTTCAATTAGTATTGATGGGCGCTTACCTCCTTGCCAGACGCTTTACTTCTTCATTTCCAAAACACGGCAATGTAAAAGACAAGGCAAGGAAAATGACAAGCGTTGGCTGGGCCGGGAAAGGAAAGGTCATCTTCTTCCATCTGTGTTTTTACAGAAAGAAGCGGGTTGTGGAAAGTGGCTTTCTTTTTCTACAAAAAACCAAAAATAAAGCCAATATCCCCTTCCTTCGTCCCACTTTTAGACTGTTCCATCGTGAGTCTTTCGTAGTGACAGAACTCCAGAACGTAGTGGGGAAGGGAAAGGTAAAGATGGAACGGTTGATCTCCTTCCTATCTTCTCCCCACTAGCGATACAGTTGGAGAAGAAGGAACGGGGGGGCTAGCTTCTCCCTCCTTCCTTCACCCCTCGATTTCTGGCATTCTTCAACGGTTGAAAAGGGAAACAGAAGAAGGGGAAGGATGAAAGGTCCAAAAGATAGTAAAACACAAGCAAAATAATATGAGGAAGACCTACTCATAATCTTTTTTCCTTTCGGTGAGCCCCAGCGACGACCGGACAGCAAAAAGCATTCACAAAGAAAGATAGCGTAATGAATCTCAACAAGGGAAGAATAAAATAGAAAAGAACGAGGAATGTAAGTATGGTTTTAAGATTAGAAGCATGTATTAGCACGTAATAAATTAGATAGCTTCTGTAAGCACCACCCATAATTATCTTTAGCTTTGTCATAACTGTCTCGCGCCCTTGTTATGTTGTTAGCTTGTATAAAACAGGATTTTGAAAAGAAAGGGAGGATATTACGTTTTCTACCGTAATTATTACTGCCTGCAAATGCTTTCGTCACTTCTTGCCCATCCATAAATGCAAATAAAGGATGAGGATGGATGGACAAGAGGAAACAGGCAATGATTTGGAAGAGGCCCCAAAAACAAGCTGGAAAGGGATAGTGAGGGAAGCTTCAATCATCATATTCTCCAAGTCTCACGGACAGGCTATCTGGTGTATTCTGCGTGATGTCTGGGCGGAAGATTTTCTTAATCATTCTTTGTTCTTTCACACCTTTCCCTTTCCCTTACCTTCATCGATTGGTCTAACCTGGTATGCGATAAAATCTCTGAGATACAAATGAATCCATCCCACAATCCCAGTAGCCTTTCCATGTCTTTCTATTTGTACGGTTTTCTCCATCTCTTTCTCCATCAGGTATGTGTGGTATGAAAGTTATCCAAAAGAAGCGTGTTACAGAAGATGTCCTCTCTCCTTTACCTATCTTATGTTTATTTCTTTATCCCTGTCTTTTCCATCCTAGTTTATTGAGTTGATTGTAGGAAGAAATGGTCAGGGGAGAGAGTGAAAGATAAAGAAAGGAGTATGAATTCGAGATCCTAAAGAAAAACAAACACATGGAAATAACAGAAAAGAGAGATTCCAAATGAAAAGATAATATGCTTTCCTCCCCATTTCCTTACCAAACTTCAACCGATTCAAAATGAAACAAACTTGACCCAAAAAAAGCCGTTAAGGGAAGGACGGTGATCAAGTTTTATCAAGTTTACAATGTTCACACCTTTACTTGTAATTTGTGTAATTCTGGACCGACTTTTTACAAACTAGCTTGTGCAATTTGCAACCCCCGAGCAATGTTTGTTCAAATCCAGCTTGTAATTCTAAATCGGATGTTTGCTGACATTGAAACGTACTCTGGGGAGTTTGCTTTCCGGGGAGATTTGGCTGGAGTTACATTACAAGTCATACACATTTTGCAGAATAGTTTCTGAACTATGCCAAATTCCAACAAATATGGTTAACAATTAAGCATTTCACAAATTTCGCAAGTACATGTGTAAAAAGTGAAATTTCCCAGATTTTACAAATGAATTTGCAAAATTTGTGAAATATAAAAAAATCTGGCCCAAAATTGCAAATTTTACAAATTTTACAAATTAATTTGTAAAATTTGTAAAATATCAAACAAATCTGGCCCAAAATTACAAATTTTACAAATTCTAGTCTGAGAAATTAGCTTCCAGGGGAATTTGGTAGGAATTAAATTGCAATTTTTACAAATTTTGCAGATTTTACAAATTAATTTGTAAAATTTGTAAAATTTGTAATTTTGGGCCGGATTTTTTTGATATTTTACAAATTTTACACATTAATTTGTAAAATTTGTAAAATTTGTAACATTTGTAATTTAATTCCTACCAAAATCCCCTGGAAGCTAATTTCTCAGACTCGAATTTGTAAAATTTGTATAATTTGTAATTTCGGGCCAGACTTTTTTGAAATTTTTCAAATTTTACAAATTAATTTGTAAAATTTGTAAAATTTGTAATTTTGGGCCGGATTTTTTGATATTTTACACATTTTACAAATTAATTTGTAAAATTTGTAAAATTTGTAAAATTTGTAAAATTTGTAACATTTGTAATTTAATTCCTACCAAATTCCCCTGGAAGCTAATTTCTCAGACTCGAATTTGTAAAATTTGTAAAATTTGTAATTTCGGGCCAGACTTTTTTTGATATTTTACAAATTTTACAAATTAATTTGTAAAATTTGTAAAATTTGTAATTTTGGGCCGGAGTTTTTTTGATATTTTACAAATTTTACAAATTAATTTATAAAATTTGTAAAAAATGTAAAATTTGTAAAATTTGTAATTTAAATCCTACCAAATTCCCCTGGAAGCTAATTTCTCAGACTCGAATTTGTAAAAATTGTAATTTTGGAAAATATGTTTTTTACTTAACAAATTTTACAAATTAATTTATAATATTCGCAATTTCATTCCTACCAAATTCCACTGGAAGCCAATTTCTCAGACTAAGGTTTGCAATTTTTACGAAATCAATTCCTACAAGATCTGCCTGAAAGCCAGCCCTCAGTGTGATGTTGATGCCCAGACCTCTCCCCGGCACATTATACATACTCTTCCCTCTTACGGGGGGGGGGGGGGTTCAGTCCAGAGCATAGCAACAGAAGGTTAGTGCCTGTTTGAGCTCATTTGGCCCCTGGGTTCTTTCGCAAAGTTCCTTTGGAGTTCGGAGTGCGCCAGGCGACAGGTGAGGCGAAGTTGCAGGAAGCGGGACAACAGAAGTCCACCAGACTGGAGGCGGGAGGGCTCAGCCAGGTTGGCAGCCGGGAAATGGGAGCCTAAGAGAAATCGCCTGGTTCACTGCTGGGGGAGGGGGAAAAGGATTAGGGAATCCTTCAGTTGTCGGGGAAGCCTGCCTGATTAGTCCACCAGGTTGATCAAAGAGCCACCCAGCCAGCCAAACGGAGTGCCTAAGCAGCAAACATGCTTGATGTAGCCTTGTCGCAGTTTGTTTTAGTCTCTTGTGAATCACTCAGGATGTATCGGATCATTCAATGCCTTTCCGCGCCGGACTGAAAGGCCTGCATAAAGTCACACATCATGTGCCATGATCAAGCAACTTTGGCTGTCCGATTTCTTGATTGCTTTGCTTTCAAAAGACCCGTTCCTAGTTCTGACATCCTGAGTTGGAGGCCGAAAATTGTCTTGTGCCCCGCCAACCTTCAGGCGAGCTCTAGGCCAGAGATGAAGGATCGGTGGGTGGGGGGGGGGGGCAGGGGTCTTGCCGCCAGTGAGGGAGAAGTGGCAGATTCTCCAAAGGGGTTCGTTGACCGGATCTGGCCATTTAGTTTTTCGGGCTGGCAACATTCCTTTCAGGAAGCTTCGACATAGGACCGTGGACTGTTTTTTTTTGTTTTTGGCGTGGGAGCAGCAATTCGTCAAGGGGTTCCCTGGGCCGATTGCACAGAGGGCGCATAAGTAGGGACATGATTCCGCAAAGGCATTTCCGGAGATTTCCGCAGCGTTGTGATTGTTTTCGGATGTTTGAGGCCGGAGCTTACGACTTGGGCGGTTCTTGTTGCGCCAAGGGATCTTGTTGGGGCCTGGCGAAAAAAAGCGTGCAGGCTGCCCAAAAGTTGCGGGAGGTCCCGGACCCGGACCCGCAGGCGCTGGGGGAGGATCTGTGGGAAGGGGTGGATCTGCCCTTAGCCCAAAGTCGCAACTCCCGTTTTGGACGAGACGAGGAAACCACCGCTGCCGCCGTCGCCGCCGTCACCGCCACCGCCACCGCCACCGCCACTGCCACCACCACAAACCACCACCATCCATCACCTTCCACCACCTTCCGCCACTTCCCACCTACCAGCAGCTACCACCCACCACCTACCGCTCACCCACCCATCACCCACCATCACCCACCATCACCCACCATCACCCACCATCACCCACCATCACCCACCATCACCCACCATCACCCACCATCACCCACCATCACCCACCATCACCCACCATCACCACCCACCGTCACCCACCGTCACCCACCATCACCCACCACACCTCTTTATCTTTCAGAGCTGGCGGGCTGGTGATTTTCTTTGCAGTAGCTCCGCGTGATATGTGTCCTTTTGTTACAGACTTTGGTCGTGGTCTTGATTTCCTTTTGGCGTTTCTTTTGAACAAGTTGAAATACAGGTAGCCTCCCACCAACTAACATGGCGCGCACAACCCCCTTTCCAGAAGAAAATAGTCTTTCCACGGGGTCTGTGCACTTCATGGGAGGGTACCTTTCAAGACAGCTACATGCCAGGATGTTTGGGAGCACTCCATGGTCTCGGATAGCCGCCTCGTGGCGTCCCCTGGCTGCAGCTCTTCTGTCGAGCGAGCCGTGCAGCTCTTCTTTATGTCCCGCAAGGACGCCAAAAGGGGGATGGCTATGTTTGAGTTCCGACTTGATTCAGCGCCCAGCAAAGTTATCAAAGGAAGCTTAACAGGACCTTTCCCCATCACTGGAACTAGTTGAGCCGTGCTTTCCTCTATATGTGCTGCGGGGTGAAAGAGCTAAGCGAAAGCTGGAAAACGCCAGAACTGAGGAAAAGAAGCAGGCAGAAAACGTGGCCTTTTGCCAGAGTTCGGCTCTGCCGCATGTGAGCAAGCCACCTCATCCGTGACGCCTGACGTCGACCTTCAAGAACTCATGACTGAGGGTTTTTCGCAATTGTCACGTATGCCTGCACGTGTCAGTCTGCGCAGCCATGAAACGGTGCCCCTTCGTGTGGTTATAGTCATTTTACTTTTTTCGATTGCATTTTTCAGTTTGTTGGGAGACTCTGAAATGGGTTGGACTAGTGACGGTGGGCTTTCGGCTTGGTATGTTTTTTGGGCTCCGTTTGGGTGGCCCAAGGGGTTGAGGTCGTTGGCTTACGGTGTGTCAAGTGGACGCTATCTCTTTGATATGTGATGGCAAATCCTCTTGCCCTATGAACAAGCAGGCTTCTCAACTAATATCTTGTCCGCCCCAGGCCGCTGAATGAACGGGGCTCATCTCCACAACAACTTCAAGATTCAATTGTGAATTCATGCTTGCGAAATTGCAAATTGTTGCAATGCGGCAATGACATGAGTACTCTGATCGATAGTACGCGAGTTCCTTCTATAGAACATTGCATTCAGATGATTTTGGTTCCTGGCAAAGGGAAGGATCCCATATGGACGAGGACTGAAGCGGAAACTTTGCGGAATTTCCATCTACTTGTATGACCTTTTTAATATGTTTTCCACAGGCAATATGTTCAAGAGGGGTACCAGCAAGCAGACCTGATTGAGGCCCTGGTCCCCTGCAGACCTGATTGAGGCCCTACTAAGGCATTGGCAATGCCCAGGGAACTCTCTTGACAGTGACAAAGTAGCCATTGAGAACCACGTTGGAATCACAGAAAGGGGCACATGTCCCACAACCATGCATGTGTCCGTGTGTGTGTGTGTGTGTGTGTTCTTCTTTCCTTGTGGTGGTTTTTGATGAAACAAACTTGGAACCAGGGTTCCCCTCCCATGAAATCCTTGCCTTTGGGAGCCCCCAAGCCAAGCGGTCTGCCGCTTTTCCCGAGGATGGATGCGGCGCTCACGGCGCTGTTCCGGCGCGCGGAGGACTTGGCGTCCAGAAGCGCGGGCCTTGGGAGGTCCGATGTGTGGGATCCAACGTCCGATCCCACGGAGGTTTTCCCAACTAGGTCCAGTGCCCTTCTCTCCCCTTTTTGGGTTGGGAGGGTTCCCCTACTAAAACAGCCTACAGAAAAAAGGGCGCCCTTGTCATTGTTCCACCTGGGCCACACCCCCGTAAAGACGCGTGCCGCACTTTCGTTTGTTGTTAAAATGGCTTGCGCCCTTGCCGGATTAATCTCAGCTAGGGGCTACCAGTTTCACCATCCAATAGGGAACGCACGGCAGAGCTGAGGTGGCGCCAATCAAGTTTCACAGCCTATTGCCCGGAGCCTCTGCTCTGGGCGCGTTCGCATGTTGCTGGGACTCTACAACAACTTGTATAGCAATCAAGGTGCTGCTCAGCACTCCAGTTCGCAAACATGTGGAGTGTGGTCGAACTGATTGCGCTGACGGCCTCAGCAGACTGAAGAAATGTCTTTCTTGTTGGTTCCCCTCAACTCAAGGACACAATAAAGCGACTCTTTTTTTCGTGCAGAGCACTGGAGGTTGGGGCCTAATGGCAAGTTCCGCTGAGCCCAGGTTTCACCGGGGCTTTCGTCTCACCGCGGGCGTCTCAGAAGTCCATGGGCCCTAGCGAGAGACGCATCGTACGTGGCTTTCCCAAGGCCTGGAACCAGACGAAACGACCAGAATCCTTTTGCGGACGGCCCAAGAGCAACCTTTTGCAGAGGGCATCCTTTTGCATCTGAAGGCGCGAAGCCAAGCCTGGAGCACAGCGCCCTGCCAGTGGAGCGCCGCGCTCAGAGCCGACGCCGCGGCCCGGCCCGCGGGATGGATGCGGGAGGGTACGTCTGGCCATGTCTTAGGGAGCAGCAAATTGAGCTGCCAGCTCCAGTTGTTTCTGCTGATTTTTCCTGAGAAGTCTGCGGGTTGTCGCAGCTAGGCTCCTGAGCTCGGAGCTTCGCGCCGTGTCGAAAGACCCGAGCCCGGAACCCCCTGTTCCCCCCCCTCCCCCCCTCCACCCCCAGTTTTCAAGGTAGAGGTAGCGAGGGATGCTGAGGGCAAGTGGATCTGGGTGTCCTCAGCTCTTCCCGGCCCCGTTAAACCTCCTTTCAGCGTCTGGCACGGCATTTTTGTGGGCTGATGGGTTCTGCTGCGTTCGGAGTTTTTGGGTTGCTTCAGCAGGGCTCCTTAAAAGATCTCCATTTTGCAACCATTTGAAACATGGCTTTTTCAACACCAAAATAAAGGGGAAACCACCATGCACAAGTTGCAGTGTAAGAATCCCTGTGCAGGACTTCCAGGACTCCGGTGTGGGTGCCGCCGGCCACCTGGCAGGCGGTTTCATGGGACAACCCGGGCGCCCGGCTGGGCTGGATTGGATTGGGATTTTTTGGTTGCAGGAAGAACACCTAAGGCGAGGTATGAACGTTTTACACGGTACATAGACAGCAACAAGTGGCGCAAACAAAAAGAAGGCACACCTTTGAACAGGGCCTGACTCCCATGAAGTGTTCGCACCTTGCACAGCATGGAACCTGCCGAGCTGCTTGGTTCTTGGAGGGTTCTTGAAAGCAAAACAACGGAGATATATTCGATGGCTGTTTTGAGTCCCCGTGGCCGTTTTTAGAGGACTTTCCTGGCTTTGGGGCACTTTCCGAGATGTGGTAACATTTTGCACCTTCCTTTAGCGGGAAGGTCTCGAGCTCTTGATTCCCCATACCCACCGGACGACCGCCGGAACTCCAGAACGCGTGTGTCGCAGGATCAGAGCCCTCAGACGAGGCGCAGCAGGGTCTGGGCTTTTCTGGCTGTTGATTTGGCTTGCTGTTGCTTCTGACGGGGGACGAATGCTGAAATCGCTTTAATCAATCAGCTTGATGGGCGGCTTCCCAAAAGTGAAGGTTGGCTGTACAATCAGGGACTTCCCCATCACAACAAGCACTTTCCCGCTTTGGTTTACACAGCGTGGCCGAGGGTACAAGCGAGCGTCCGCTCGTTCACTTCGTTGGCGCCCGCATCGAAAGGGCCAGCGAGCCTGGCTCCACCTTGGGGGGCGCTCAAGGCGGGGGATGTGGGGGCAGGTCTTTGATTGGCATCTGGCTTGTTTGAGGAGACAAAAGAAACACAGTGGTGGCTGTCATCAACCCGCCAACTCTTCCACGGATCCAAGAACAACTAGAGCCAGCAGGGTTCAAGTCCTGCAACCTCCCACAGGCAAGGAGCTGTGGGCGCGCTGCCGTTGCGCCATGACTCCTGTACTTGTCCCACGAAACAAACACCCAACGCCACAAGATACATGCGCCAAATTATGTTAGTCTGAGTTTGGACAGATCGCTTCTGATCGCCACATGTGATCAGACCTGTGTGTTGTGAAATTATTGTGACTCTGGTTTGGTTGTGCAGAGCGACCGCCCTTCCGGTTTTCGGATGCAAACGCCGCGACACAGAATTGTCAAGTTGGTTTTGAAGAGAACGGACAATATCATTTTGCATGCCGTGTTGAATTCAAACTCCAAAGCAACACCAAAAAAACTCATGCCCTACAAAAAGGAGACGGTGCAGCATTGGCTCTCAGCTCGAGAGCAATCTTTGGGCACACATTCCAAGAGGTTTGTTTCAAGCGAGCTCACCGTGATGAAGGCCGTCAACTTGGGGTCATTTGTTTTAGGTCCTGGAACCATTGTAGATTTCACGAACATTCTCCTGTCAAAGGGAGAGCGGCACCATAGGGCATTGGTTTTGAGGCTTCGAATTTGGCCAAACGAGCAGCCCTAAGAAGGGCGGTTTGTATTTGGTTTCCTTTTAAAGCCACCTCTCAATGGATATTTAAATGACCGGCGCCATAAGATTGAGCGGGGGAAACATGTGCAAAGAGGTGCGCCCAAGCACGTTTGTAGCATTTGCCATGAAGGGAATTAAATCAAGGTGCCTTCTTCGCAGACATGACTCATTTCGGGTTTCATTTCATGTGTAACGAACTTATGAACTGGTCCACTTCCTCCCCCAGTTTGTGAGCTTCACTTTCTCTTGAAGAAGGATCAAATTTTTGGTGTTACATCCAAAGTCCGAGCTTTGCCCGACCAATGTCCGCCCCGGAAGTCGCTCCGACCACCGCTGTTTTTTCTTTTCTTCTTTTTTCGTTTGTTTTTTCTTTCTTTCTTTCTTTTTTTTTTGTGGTATCCCCCCCCCCCCCCCGCTTTTTTTTTTTTTCTCGACGGCGTTTTTCGCCGGTCTTTTTAGCGTCCAGGCGCCTCGCCCCTGCGGCTCACAGAGCAGCTGGATAAGGCGGCTTTGCGAGAAAGCGAGTTCTCGGTGGCTCGAAGTCCGATGCCTGGCCACGGCTTTACATAATAAAAATATGGCAAACAAACAGCGGTTCCTCTTTTTCTTCGTTATATGAAGCCATGAAGCTTCGTTGTTTCTTTCTCCAAGGATTCAAAGGCGAACGGTTTCCTTTTTGGCTTCTGCTTTGAGCGAACCAATTTTCTATCGTTGTGAAAGGGCAATCGGGGCAAACTTGAAGAGACATGGTAGACTTGACAGGGAACTTGTCTGCCTTGTTGTTTCAATTCTTGTTTGCCACTGGCTGGAACATGCATCTGAGGCAGGCACTCTGGGTCGGTTCAAGGTCAAGTGAGTGGGTTTGGGCATGGAGCTGCTTTGTCGCATTCTCAACACGCCGAATGATCTCCAGGGACGATGGGGTTCATTGCATGGAGATTGGACAACTAGAACAAGCTGCTCTTCTGAAGGGAAGAGCATGAGCATGATGATGGATGAGGAAGCGCGTTGTCATGCCTGAGCTTTTCTTGTGACAATCCACATTTGCTGCTTCTGCAAGCATGTCGCAAAAAGCAAGGGCCACTTTTTGAGGGTCTGGCCCACATCACCGTTTTTGCACTCGATGTTCCGGTAAGCCATTTGGGTGCTTAGCGCCTTTCAGGTTTCTCTGAGCCAAAGGATCCCAACCCTCACCGGGGCCACCTGTGTTTTTTGCGACCTCTCCCCCTGGCGCCCACGGATTTGGCTGGGGAACAAACAAGTGGTCCCAAAAATGGCACCTTGCTAAATGGAACCGAAGACTGAAACCCGCGTAACCCCAGCTCTATAAATTTTGAGCCGTACCCATTTTTCGGAGCGCTTTGCGGGAGGACCCGTTTTAGTGGTCTACCAATGGCAGGAGAAGGTGGCGGCCTTCCGAAAGGCGTTGGACACCGCGGATGGCCTGGGGCTCCAAGCGTTGCCGAGAAAACGCATGGCCCAACTTCCGCGTTTGGGGGCGGACAGTGGCAGAGGTGGCTTTCTCTTTTTGGTCCTTTTGAAACCAGGCTGGTCTTGTTTCTTGTGACGACTGGGTCCTTGGAGCACCGCGTGTTCTTCTGGTGTTTTGAGTCTTTTCTTGCCCAGTTGCAGGGCCTTAACCAAGTTGAACGGCGAGGCCTCCCGGCGGATTTGCCGAGGCCTCCCGGCGGATTTGCGGCTAGATCTCTGCGCCTTGCGTGGCACTCATCTGCGATGATCCATAGAGTTGTGGGTCGAAGATTGGTACCCAAAATGGAGCCCAGGTAAATTGAGACATGGACTAAAACCTGTGGGCCCCTGGTGGCTTAATTTTGACCCACGCCCAAATGAACCACTGACAACATCTCTGGCAGTCTACTGCTTGCGGGAGGGGGGGGTGGGATTTTTTGGGGCACCCGCAGAACCAGGTGGACCGAACCGCAGGCTCTAACCCGAAATGAGGGAGGGATCCGATGAGGGGGGGTGTTGCAGTGCGGGCTTTCGCAGAGGCCCGTGAAGGTCTGCAAGCCACAAAGCGCTCAAAGCTCCAAAGCGTCCAACATTTTTGCATTTTCCATTCTCAGGAGCGTTCAACCCATGTCACTCAGAGAAAAGCGTTAGGACTCAGCCCAGGTGGTTGGAAACTGGTCTTCCCTTTGTTCACTTTCTTTTCAGAAAGCTTCTGAGGCTGGAGGAGTCCTCCCCCAGCGAAGGCTCGGTCCCAGGGCGCTTAGGGGCATCCGTAGCGATCGGGGCTAAAGCGAGCTCCACCCATGATGAAGGCCCCTTGGACGGGTGTGGGTGAAAATTAGACCACCAGGATATGGACCGCAGGTTTTAGTCCATGTTTCCATTTACCAGGGCAACCCATTTTGGGTACCTTTTTTTGACCCACAGCCATTTCTTGTTTCTCGCCCTCCCGACTTGGAGGCCAGATTCATAGAAACCATAAAATCTTTGAGCTGCCGCATGAGTTTGACTCCAAGAGGCGAACCTCCAACTTTTTTTTTCTCCGGTTTTACCTTCCTTTTTTTCTTCCCCTGTGATGCAACCCGCAAAAGGGCAGCCCAAGGGAGACGCACCCACATATGTGAGCAAGTTGCTATGAGTCTTTTGCCTGAGCCATGCGAAGTTGTACTGTATGATACTGTATGATGATCATTGCGTTTTTTTCACGAAATGGTATTCTTGACCCCCAAATCGTGGATTTGACAATGCATGCGTCTGATACTTGGTTGCAGATGAGCCTCTTGGAGGTGAGATTTGATATTTTAGCTGCGCCGGTCGACTGCCAGCTGTTCAGTGGTACCCTCTAAATCCCTTGTTTGTGTGGGTGGCTTCGCCACAAGAAGGGTTCTGGCCTACACAAAGGGGTTCTCTTTTTCTGCTCGGATCACAGAACAACTGGGGATTGGTGGGCGCTGAGGGGCTGAAGTAGATCCAGTTGCCAGCATTTCACACACACACACACGCACACACCGGAAAGAACTGTGTGCCCCTCAAACACAATCTCCAATTGTATTGTCCGACAGGTTCATACCCCAGTTCAGAAGCAGTTATGCGATTGGGGCACGTCCCCAGGGCACTAACAGGTGTTTCCCTTGAGCAAAGAGCCCGACTCCCATGTTAGCTTGGCAGCACTCCTGCAGGCGCCACGCAGGCCTTGGCGTCAAAAGGCGGGAGGAAATGCGCAAGCAGCGCTGTCCAACCCAAAGTGAGCCGAGTTGACATGGTGTTGCCCAAGATGCATGACGCGTGAAACGCAGCGGGACGTCATCAGTTGAGATGGCCGTATCTAAGAGCCCAGGAGTTCTTTTGGAAGGCCGTTTCAAGGAAGAAGAGTCATTGGTTTGGGGCTGAATGGCATATATTTCTACCGCATGGACCTTCCCAACCCGGGCAAAGCCCGGCGCCCCGCCCGTCATGACCCGAGAGTGAGCTTCATGGCTCAGCAACGACGACAGGCAGAAGGAAACCACTTTTGGTTCTTTTCAAGATGGGGCTCTTCTTTTGATTATTTCACAGGCAAACCTTAGAATGGCAACCCCAGCGGGTCAGGATTTTCATGCAAAAAGAGGACCGCGACCCAGGAAATCAAAGGCATGCACTCCCCGTTCAAGTCCCTTTTAAGGTGTTGCGACTGCTTCTTCATGCGGGCCAAAGTTTCAAAACGCCCAAGCGGCAGGCCGACCGAGCTGCCCACCGCCAGCGCCGGGCAAGCCAGGCGCGGTGAGCAGTTTTGACCACGATGGCTTTGCCTCATGGTTTGCCTATGGACCCACGGCCAAATGTCTATTTCAACACGGGATACCTTTTGGACAAGACCTACTCGCAGCTCGCATCACCATGAGCTTTTGGCGGTGCCAATGTGGGCAACCGCCACGTAAATGCCCACCTGGGGGTCCAACCGATTTAGTTGAATGATCCCGTCTCGGTGCTCGGGACGGGCTGGGCCTGGCTTTCGCCAGAGTCCCTCGAACTGTTTGTTTCGTTCCGGAGGAAGGAACCCGGGCCTTCCCAGCTGCGGCTTGGCGTCGCTGCTGAGTGAGTTTTTGCACACTTGGGCGAACACGCACCGAAGCAATGGAGCAGGTGCGGATGTGCTGGTGCTTTGTATGGTCCTGTGCAACGCCTAAGCAAACGAAAGCTGGGTCTTGGACAGTATTGGGCTTTCGGTGTAATAAGCATTACTCAGTGCGGTTCTTCCCTTTGACAACTGCTTGAAAGCGCTTTTGCAACAACCCTTGAACAGAATTTGGCAATATTGGAACGCTGAGCAATCGCGACATCTTTCCTCTCTGCCTGCACTTCCATAGTGATGTGGGCAAGGCATCGCCGTCGAGCAGTAGTTCACTTTGATGCTGGCCTGGGATTAGTAGGCATCAGCTGGAAGCACGGAGCAGCCAAACGGATTTACTAACCCGCTACCCATCCTAGCCCCTTTTGCTAGCAGTGTATCCTCCAATTCAGCTGGGTGGAATCACAACAACACATGTGGATATGTAACCCGTCCAACTGGTTGCTTTCGCCTCCCCCCCCCCCCATGGCCAGCTTTCTTGTTTTCCTCAGCAACAACCAGGGGTCTCAGCCATTCCTGTGTTTTCTGGGGCAAGTTCCAGTCAAACTACTCCTTGGGCTCTTCTCATTCCCCTGCAAAATCATAGAGGACGCTCTTCTTGATTTGTTGGGTTCCGTGTTCCGGCGCGACTCCTTGGGCTTGTCATTTCTCCAGTTGAACGTCTGCGGCTTCCTCAGGCACCGATGCCTCGCCCTTCGGCGCTCCGCGGCCCCAGCGCCCGCGCCCGCGGGCCCTGCGGGCGCCCTCGGCCGCACTGGAAATTTGGCCGGGCGGGCGGCTGGCGACGGAGCTCGCCCATCCGGGCGAAAGTGAGCCCGCCCAAAATTGACGGTTTATTTACTTTGGGATTTCTTGTTGCTAGTCGGGAGTCATGGCAATTTGCCGGGTCCTTGTTTACAGGCGCTTGCATGCAGGTTCGTGACGGTTCCTTGTTTGCAGTCTGTTAGCTACGCCGACCTGCCATCTATGCATGCTTGGCACTAGCTCTTACTGGTTTCCTTGAAATTGGTGACCAGTTGTCAATGGGGTGCATTGAGGTGGGTGGGAGGGCAGATGGCAAAAGACAGCCGAGACATGTACATACTGACGTACACTCTCACCGACTAACATGGAGCCCACCAAAGCGTCCTTTATAGAGGGAAAGTTTCTTCCAGCACCCCTCGATCAGGTTCAATGTCAGTGGGTGTGATCCAAAGATGCGTCGAGGGGAACGTCCAACAAGCTTTCCGAGGCCACCCTGGCGATTTGGGGGGGGGGGGGTTCATCCAATTTCGCTTCGCATGGTTGAGAAGATTTTCTCAGGCACAAAGCAGCGTGCCGGCTGTACCGGAGAGGAGCAAATCCATGAACAAGAAAGCTATTCGCCCCTTTTTGCGGGGCTCGAAACAGCGACACTTCCAAAAGACCCCTTTTTTAGGAAGGATGGCACGGAATGGTAGTGTGCGCCAAAAGCGCTCCCCATTCTCGAGAGATTTGAGGAATGTCTCACATTTGGCTGACTATTCATTGAAATTCCATGGCGAGTCCTGTCGAAGCTTTGCGCATCAATCACGTCGCAGGACATGCTTGGAGGCGCGAGTCTTTGCTCAAGGGCGTTGGCCCGGGGTCGCTTTGCTGCCAAAGACGAAGACGTCGGCCAAACACGGAGGCTGATATATCTACCCCCACAAGCATGGAAGTTTCCCTTCCGTGGGGACTGGAAAAAGAGATCGGGGACCCCTTGTCCTCCTCCCCCAAAGGCCGCTAGGTTGCGATCACCCCGCTTCTCTCCAGCTGTTGACCAGCGGTCTGGGCCTGTTTGCAAGAATGATCGACCCCTACAAACAGTTCCTTTTTATACCCGTGCCGCTGGTTCGCATGTCCTCGTCATGGTGTGTGCTTGCAGGGTCAAGGCCTGCCAACTCCTTGGAGGGACCACCTTTGCGGAACGTGTGGGACAAAACTGCGAATGCGCTTGGTTCCTTTTGGGCCGCTGGCTTGAGTCTTGTTCCCTCTACGAAGCTTGGTTTTCCACGTATTGACGGCTCATGGTTATTTTCCCCAAGGCTTAGTTCAAGGGTCACTTCCGGCTTGCAGTCAATTAGATCGCTTGGCAGGAGAGGCGCGCTCAGAGCGCGCCACGCTCTGAGGCGCCTATCGCGGGTGGTTGAGGAGTGGTTGAGCTTGAGGGGTTGAGGGGTTGAGGTTTCTTGAGCGAGAAGGAGTCCAGTGGGAATCTTTTTTGGAAAATCTGGATTGTTCCAAGGCAAATCCTAGTCCTTCCCTAGTGTGACTCTGGGGTCCCCTTTGTAGTGGTTACCAGCCAGGGTATGGCTATGCGCTTGTTTGATTTGACACGATGGCAGACAAAGACTGGTAAAGGACTGGCGGTGGAAGCGCGCAAGATTGGAGAGAGCCGGTTGTTAAGTGAATGCATGACTGTCTGGCTGTATGCTTGAAACAAATCATGTGCCATGGATGGCTAGGTTACATGTTACCAGCCAGGAGTTGTGGCACAGTCCCGAAACGCGAAAAGGCGGCCTTTCCTGAAAGACCGCAAGCCGGCGGTTGCCTGTGGCTCGTGTCTGTGGAAAGGGACACAAGGCTCAGAGGCATTTGGTCTGTGCGTGTGCGCAGAGGGTGCGACTGTCTTAAGCCTTGCAGGCGCAGCCGTCGCATTCGCAAGCCAAGCAGTCTCACATAAGTGAGAAGAACCGATTGGCCGCAGTGCAAGAGATCTCTGCCCTTGTGGATGTCCGAACCATGGCAAGTAGGGAACAGTGGCACCCTGTAATTTACTCCAATGTATCAGGGTTTTGTGAGTGGATGTGGTTCCCCAGTCCACTGATTTGTGTCGTAGGTAACCAGCGAAACCGGCCGAAGTGATATCTTCCAACCTTCCCCTCCCAGTGGCTTCAAGGGTTTTGCCACATCCCCCAAACATTTTGGAGAAGCCTCCGGATGGAAACCGGTTTCAGGCACCCAGGCGGTTCACTTCAGGGACAAGCTGAAGCCGAGCCCTGAGCCATCCGAGCCATGGCCGGGGTCTATGAGTCCGGCGATGAGGCGGGAGACGGGCCCCAGCACTGGGGGGGGTCCCAGGAGTCCCAAGGTCGAGTTTGCCCCAGATGGATGCCATGGCAAAACATATCGAGTCAGACAAATGTGTGTGTGGGTCAAAGTAGGTACCCAAAATGGAACCTTAAGTGAAAACATAGACTAAAACCCGCAGTCCGCTGGTGACCCATACTCATGTGTGATTTCTCCGGCCTGGAGCCTTGCCGGAACGGACCATGGTTTGAGGGCGCGGCTCGACGGATGCCGCTGTTGCTGAGAGGGTGGCTTCCAAGGCCCAGGGTTGGGCAATCTTTTGTACACAATTGGACCTTGATCCCCTTTTACGGCAAGCCAAAAGGAGTTGCTTCACTTTGCCAGGAAGAGTCGGAGGCTTTGTTGCGCACGGAGTGCGGGGCTGAAGCTGCGCCTGCGCCTTTTGCAACCATTGGCCATCGGCACAAGCTCAAAAGTGGTCGGACCTCCACTGCAAATTGCCTTTGACCTTAAGGACTCTACCAGAAACCCAAAAGAACTGAGCCATGTGCGGTTCGGTGAAGATAAGGCACACCTATTTTTCTTTGCCACCATGCCAAAGAAACCAGGGAACCGTGCCAAGTGAGAAAAGGCGCAAAAGAAGGGACACTGGACTCACAAAGTTTTCCAGAAGCTAGGGCGTTGTCTGGTTTTCCCCATGTCCATGGACTGAAAAACAATTGAACCTGGCACTGTGCCTGGCTGCCACCGTGTTTCAGCCCAGCACCCCTTGGCTGAGGCCTTCTCCGGACCGACCTGCTCTGGGCTTGGGGGGGGGGAATGTTTTTGTCTTGGTCGTTCTTTGGTTCGATTGAAACACCTTTGACCTTTTGCAATCTGTAGTTGTCGCTTGGGGAGGTACAGAAAATGTTTGTTTCCCCACGCACTGGCAACACATCGACTTTTTAATTGGGTTCAAGACCTCCAGTAGCCTGTAGGTTTACGACTTTGGACCGTTGGACCAATGCCACTGGTTGCGCAGCTGTCACGCAACTTCTTGGCGAGTTCGCTTGTCATGATTTACCCTTAAGATATGTTGGAGTTTCTCAAACTGCGGTCCCTGGAATGGTCGGCTTCTCGTTTGTTGCAGCTTCCCTTTGCGCGACCAACCAAAAGGAAGTCTGTTTTGAGAAGCACTCGCATGGTCCCGTGGCACGCGCTTGAAGGGGGGCGGTCCGGTCAGCCCAGGGCCGTGAGGCCGGGCACCACCTCTTCGCGATGACTCCCAGGGAGGCGAGGCTAAATAGGGGGGTGTTACCTGGGAGTGGAGCACTGGCGCCGCGGTTTGGGAACAAACGGCGGCCAAGCATGAGGTCGTGTTGCCGCGCCCGGCTCATGGACTTGAAACCCTTTAAGGAAAGATAAGTGAGCAATACTGCTCACTGGATGCATTTTTTTCCCTGCCAGATGACGCGCTGGGAACAGGATGTTGGTTTTGAGAGACGGGACTGGAGCGCAAAAAGCCATTTCAGATACCTTGCAGCATACCCCGTTCCTGGGTATGCTTCAAAGGTATGTTGGACGGTTTCTTGGATTTGACGCGAAAGGTTCGAGGGCTGCTGCAAGAAGAGCAGGTGGGGCTGCCAGGGCGGGTGATGGGCCTGGCGGGCTCAAGCCAGCTTGCCAGATGGCACGAAACTGGAATCTATTTTGAACATCATGTTACATGTAAATTTCTCAGGCTTGCTAAATATTGACCAACATAAAGCAGGGTATTTTGGGTTGAGGGGCAAAAGCTGAGGATAAGAACCATAGACACGTTCAACCTCTATTGTAGGCATGGGTTTCAAACTAGCATGTCTCGGAGAAGCACAGAGCGACACCCATTTTATGCCTTCGAGTTGTGGTCCTCATGTTATTCAACTTGTTGTCAGCGGCTTTCCTTTATTTAATCCCCAGACTTATGTTCAGTGGTTGACTTCTCCAGAAACTCTTCGGAGCCTCCTTTTGGGCTGCGTGCGTTTTCTTTGGGCAAAACACCACCCATGACCTCAGCAAACGATGTAGCAAACTCTCAAGCATCTTGAAGGGGTACCTTTACTTGGGGATTCCTTATTCCCGCTTTGGTTTCAGTGGTGATTTGCCCTAAAGGGCGAAATTCTTTTGTTGAGACGCCAAAAGCCATGGACGCCACCCGAAAGCATGCCGTGGGTTTTGCTTCCTCGGCAGCATCCGAAGCAACGGCGACGGATGCCAGGCGCAGCTGGAGCTATGGGAGCGGCAGGAAGAGGTCCGAGAGCGGCCGCCAGAGGTGCGCCGATTCCGCGGCCGCGGGGGGGGGGGGGAGAGGGTGGAGGGCGGCAGAAGGAGGTGGGGGGTGGGGGGGGAGCTAAGTTCCCCCCGCCCAACAAAGAACGGGTGTGTTTCAGGCCCAAGAAACGTATTCAGCCCTTTTGTTGGAGCCTTTGGAGGCATCACCCATCTTTTTGTGTGTGGATGGTTTGGTGGTGAAAAGCCTTGAGATGAGGAAAGCAAGACCTTCGCCACCACTAATGGAGAGGTTTGGGGATGGCAATGAGGCTCTGAAAGTCGGTGGCAACCTCGGGTTGCAAGAAAAGCCAATGCGCCTGGACCAAGGAATAGTCCCAAGTTTCTGCAAACCCTATGAGTAAGCTGAGAGATGAATCCTCCAATGGGTTGCAACGGCATTCGATTGTCGGCCAGGAGAAGCTGGTGATCGATCCCTGCCTAGGTCGGGGTGAAGTGCTGTGCGCCAAAGCGCGCTTCGCGCTGGTCATCTTGCAGCGGAGCTCAGGGAACTTGCCTTTGCTTTGTGGGCTGAGAAAGAAGCCGGTTGGGGGTCGAGAGAACAGGAACAGGTTTGCAAATTTAGCACGGCCCGCGCGCATGTGCCATTGAACCTCATTGCCGAGTTCCTTTCTCACAGCATCAAGCTTGGCCAAAATGCACACGGTTCCCCAGCATTTGGCAAGGCGGGTGCTTCGCGCAGGCGCCACTTGAACCCCGAAAGAGGCTTTAGGTGCGTTTCGGATCCGAAGAGATGCGAGCACATGTTGGTACGGTACAGTGCGTGATTTACCCCAACCTTGTATCAATCCATGTGAATGCCTTTCTCAAATCCCATGTCAATCCCCCTATGTCATTCCCATGTCATTCCCACGTCATTCCCATGTCATTCCCATGTCACTTCATGCCCATCCCACGTCACATTCCCCTGCCAAGCCCATTTTTTAAATTTACCCCATGTCAATCACACAATCACATAGCAATCCCTATGTCAAGTATCATGTATGTCACCTCAACTCCCAAGTCAAACCGCATGTCAACATCCATGGTAGATGCCTTTTGTGCAGGCCCATGCCAATCTCATGCCAAGCCCCATGTGAATTCCAAGATTTTTTTGCCGTGGCTGGACAAAATTCATTTTGGACCTTTCAGAATCCCTGGGAATGATGCGATTCCCCTGTACATTCCAACAAACAATGGTTTCAACCACGGTTTCAAAGTGGTGCGAAGGGATTTCACAACCATCCACAGTATGTCACTTCCATTGGAATCCCATTGCAATCCCACTTCAATCGCCATTTCAGTCCCACATCGAGTCCCATCCCATGTCGAGCCTGTATCTTTTTCGTAGTCTCCATTGCATGTCTCTCCGTTGCAATCATTTTGCATTTCAGGGTTTGTAAAATATGGGCCAAACACAAGAAGTAGATGTTGCGCGTTGGGGTGCAAGGGATGAGTCGAGCTAGTCGCGTCGGGCCTTTCTGAGGTCCGGCTTCGCCTTTGTTCTCCTCATCGGGCGGCTGGGCCACAACTGGCCGGGTCCTTGGACCTGCGAGCGGCCGAGACCGCTTGCCCTGTGAAGTGATGCAGTCCGGCCATTTGAAGCGCTGCCTCCATCAGATTGGAAGGAAATTAAAACTGCAAGGGGAGAGTAATGGTCAGGTGTCTTAAGAGAAGAGTTTTTGCTTGGCAGGCGAGCCTCAATTTAGACTGCTTGGACCACCTCGCTTTCGCCATCAGGGTGGTTCTTCGAGTAGATATAAACATGTCCTCATTAGGGTTTAACCCCCGAAATCCCATGTTTGTTTGGAACATATACACCCATCTTGGCTGGGGGGTTTTTCCATGCTGGTTTCTGCCTGCTTTAATGGAGTGGATCTAAACTTCCACCCCCCCCCCCCCCCGCCCCCCCAGCCAGTCCGAAGGCTGGAGCTGCGCCTCAAGTCCTACGGGGAGATTCCGCCCCTGGAGGCCGCCGTGATGATTGGCGCCCGGAAGACCCAGCAGGTTGCGAGAAGGGGTTTGAGGGGTTTGAGGGGTTTGAGGGGTTTGAGGGGTTGAGGTATTTCAGGGATGCTCCTTTAGTAGCTTTCAACAGATGACCAAGCGCCCTCTGGGCAGAAAATTGGTTTGGCGTGTGCAAATTAACGATACTGGCCTTGCCATTTTGGCCAACACGGCACTGTTGAAATGGAGGCCGGCCTCGCCTTGTTTCCAGCAGATCAAGACTCCAAAGAAGCTTGAGGCTTGCAAAGGGTGGAATGGAGACTGCAGACGCTGTGAGCACAGAGTCTGCACATGAGATGGGGGCATCCATCACTGCATATGCTTGATAACGAGGATCAGCTGAAGCCAGAATAATGCCACGGTATGATGAGCAAGAAAGCTTGATGAGTGATTTCTTTTGTAAGTGCTTTTTTTGAAGGTACCGTGAGCGACAAAATGCGCGCATGCAAATTGCGGCGCCGTACAGAATTCCAACAGTCCATGGTTTGAACACATTACACCAAGTTGGTGGACACACTTCCTCACGTAAAGGATGTCCACCAAAGGTTTGTCAGCTGGAGTTCATCCCAACTTCGTCAACCAGGCGACATGTGCTTGTTTGTTTTGTCTCAACGTGAATGTACGCCCCACAATGCCAGCAAATGCCAAACATGCCCGCCTCGCAGTGCTGGGCGGGCACCCTTAGCGTGAAGTTTGGTTTCCTTCCCTGCAACATGGGCCAAACAGGTGGTTCCCAAGAAGGCATCACCCTTGTGGATCAGCTGGCCCATCGGGTTTGAGGGGGATGAACTCAAGAGTCCCCACCTTCACCGTGCATAGCTTCTAGAGAAACAACGCTGAGCCTTGTACCAGTGGAAGAATGCGCTGATTCATTTTGGCGCCCATGCCAGGTTTCACATGTCTCTCACCAATAGCTGTGAGACACACACACACACACACACTTTTAGACAGACATTGGGTTCACAATCACACCTTCTTGGCGTCCCGAAAAGGTAGGAACTCAGGACACCGATCCGGCTCGCTCAGGTCCTGATGCCTGCGGCGCTCGTGGGCTTCCTGTGCGCCGGGAAGCCCGATTCAAATCGACCAACTGCCGTCGGAACGGTGCCGGCGAGAGCCACACGGGGCCGTGTATGCCATGCCCGAGGAATGCCACGGGTTTGGGTTTAGGTGCATTTGCTGACGGCTTCTAGTGGTGTCACGGACAGACCATGGCCGTTTAACTGAACTCCCCTTGGAAATGACCTGGGGGAAGGGAGACATGAGAAGTTGGCCGGTTTGCCTAGATTGCTAGATTGATCCTCCAACCCGGCCATCATTTGGGCGTTTGGGTAGCCACGGAATCCCCCCGCCCCCGTGCGAAATAGCAATTCATTCGACCTACTCTAGTCTAAGGGTCTAAATGATTAGAGCAAGGCTCTGCGGAACTATTTTCACCCAATTACGGCATGGTGATAGAACAATAATGCGTTTAATACTCTAGTCCTATGTATGTATAATATATATATATATGTATACACGCATATATATATATATACACAGATAGACAGATGCGTGGCCAAGGGGTGGACGTGTCTTGGACCCTCTTCCCGTTCACGGGCTTTACTGGGCCCCTCAAAGTGAACATAGGTTCTCCAATTTTGTTTGGGAGTGGTTTCCCTTCATTATAAGCCGCATTCAAAGGGAAGTTTGGAGGGCCTTTAAAGCCACGTGTGTTCCTTTTCAACCTTCGAACCACTTGGCCCCCAGTGAGCATCCCAATCCCCGCTAAAATAGACTGAAATGGGTGGTGCACCTACCAACCAAAATGGGATCCCAAAACGGTTTTGACAACCACACCCACTTTAAACCGCTCGTTTTGCGGATGTGGACCCGCCATTTTTTTTTTGGGAAGCGCCTCAGGTCCTGGAGCACACAGAGTGGCGCTATGTGCGGACGGTCTTCCCCTCCGGGCGGCTGCCGTCGGGAGCCCGGTGCCGGCTTTCGGTTTGTGCTGCAACTGGTAGGATCGACAGAGCTTCATGTGGAGCCCTGAATGTTTTTTTAGTGGACTGACCCGAAAAGGGTTGATCTGCAGTTGAAACACCTATACCTCTCTCACAAACTTTGAAACGGAAGTGGCTTGGAGGGAACCGTGGCAGAATCCCAGTTGTTGAGTGGCACCCTCTAGTTCCTTGTTTGTTTCGTGGGTTCCCCCCAAGAAAGTCCGCCCAAAATGAGAGAGATGCTTCCCGTTTCTAGCAGGGTCACTGGGCATCCGGAAACCGTGCTGAGCCGCATTTGAACGCGCCGCTTACCCGTCGGGCTGGCAAGCCTTTAGAACCTTTTGTTGGCGATATTCTTGTCATCTCAATCAAGGCCAAGACAGTGTTTGCTGCCAGAAACAACTCAGCAGGTCAGATGACTCAAAGGGCTTCTCCCTTTGAAAACGCTACCAACAAGTAGGGAGCTTGTTTGCTTTCTATGGAAATCCAGTGGAGGTCTGGGGTGAGTATGCTAGCATTTCATGTGATGAGCATGAATCGAATGATCGCGTATGTGAGTGTGTATTGCTTTGTTGCGAGAAGCAATGCCAACCTTCAATAAACAGCGTCCGTGTAGCCCACTAATGTGGCTGTGGGTCAAAACCAGTGGGATCCCATTTTGGGATAGGTGCACCACCCATTTTAGAACCTATTTTAGCGGGGACTGGGATGTTCACGGGGGGTAACCGGGATTTTGACCCTTGGCCATGTCAGCGTCGCAACGGCAGGTACACTCCGCTGCTCCACGATCTCGTCTCGAGGCTGCGGCGAAGGTGAGCGAGTCGCGCCTCCGGCCGGAGCCGGGCTCCGGCCGCGGCGGTCGGTGGGTTTGGAGGGCGCCCGGGTTGGGACTTTCTGGCAAAGACACGCAGAAAGACGGGATGGGCGGCTTTTTTGCTAGCCCAAACATGGGGAAAGGTTGCCCAACACTTGCAAAGGGACCCCTTTGCCAAGGGGAATGTTCCATCTTCCCTCAGAGTTGCCTTTTTTCTTCCAAAAGGGAAAATGCGGCTAAAATCAAAGCGCCCACGCTTCTCCTTTTCAGGTTTTTCTCGAAGTGGCCCAACTGATTCTTGATGGGGGCGGAATCAAAATGTCCTAACCTGGCACAGTCGGATTGGCTTGGCGGTTCCTTCCATGGCTGGTCTTTGGTCCAGAGAAAGCCCGAATAGGAGCCTTGGGAAGTTTGTGGATTTCCATTGAACCTGCAGAAAGGTTAGATTACTGGTTTGAGGGGAGCAATTAAAGCAGGTTCTATGTGCAATGCATTGCTGCCACGTCTCTTCAGAAATGCATTTTCTTTTTTTGAACAAGCCTTGATAGCTCTGAACACATGAGGAACTGGCAGGATTGCTGGAGTGCATTGTTGCTTTTGGGCGGCCATGCTCAAGGCAACCCGCGGAATCCCTTTTCAGCAAACTAGTCTCAGACCACTGGCCGCTCGGGACGAATCCTTTTTCCCCACAGCAAATCCGCTGAACAAATGCAGCCCCATTTTGTTCAGTCAGTGCAGTCAGACGAACCACTCTTGGGCTGCCGCTTGGCATGCTGGGGGAATTTATTTTGGGGTGAAGCTTCTCCCTCCCACTAACTTTAGATGACAGAAGATTCCAATCAGAGGGAATGTTACTTTGTGCGAGGGTATCACCTTTTGAATCACACCCTTAGAGTTGGAGACTTTTGGAGGTGGAAAAAAACACATATCCCTCCAATCCATTTTGTAGCAAGGGACCAACGAAACGCTAGTCTTCTGGACCAAAGGCTTCAGCCCTGCCGTTCCATCCGTTTCCCTGGCCACGAGTGGCGTCCTGCCACGAGTCTCACCGAAAGAAAAAGCCCGCTGAGCTTGGCCAGCGGAAAAGCCGTGGTGAGAAGGTGTGGTTGGAACATGTTCAACTCCCTCCCCCCTTGTCCAAAACGTGGGAAACACCACGGGTAGAAGACTGGGTTGGTTTCCTTTGGTTTCCCGAAAAGCCAGGTGCCAAAATTCTTCCATGGTGAGAGCAACCCTGGCTTGCGGGGGGCCGGCTTCTGTGATACCAAGGTTTGCACACCCCATGACCTTGTTCTCGTGTTTGTTTCGCGATGCTTCTTTTGCAATCACTCGGGGCTGACGGGGAGCTGAGGATTGAAGCTTTGTCTGCTGAGAATATGATGATATGATGACCCCCTCGCCCCAATACAAAAGAGGTCTATGGGAAGTGAACTCGGCCCCTTTGCAATCGATGCCTAGCTGACAATGACAGCCAGCACAACAAGGACACCACTTAAGTAGGCTGTAAGTCAGAGGATTGAGGGTCATACGGGCCCCTTCCAGTGAGAGCCGGTCAAAATATGTGGTGCCGGTAAAGGACATGGGCAAATCGATGAGTCGCGCGGTCTTCGTGGCGAACTTTGTGAACCCCAACGTCCCTTCCAAAGGGACATAGACTAATAGACCGCACACTTGCGATGGTGTCAGGTGGGGGCTGAAGAGGTCGGCGCCCGAAGACTGAAGCAGAGTCAGCTGCAATGCTTCAAGTTCGGCTGAGGTGAACTCGGGCGCCCCGTGCGAAGGTTTGATTGGAGGTCTCAAAGGGGTGGGCGAACAGAGAGTTGACGCGGCTGGGCGAGCCCGGAGGGCGGGACTGGTCAGCTGGAAAAGCAAAAGGTAGAGGTCCGATTTGGAAAGAAAAGCTGAGGCAAACCTTTCTTTCAAGGCAAAAGGCTCCAATTGGTCAACAGGCTGGGACAACTTGCAAAATGAATGGCTCCAAATCTATTGTTGTCAATCACGTTTACCCCGTCCTTTGGGCTGCTATTGGATCCCAACAAATTCCATACCCAGGCGCTATGGATTCGCTGGGCAGATTTCCTTTCTCGTTTTCTTGGTTGTTTTCCCCGATGCCACGTTTGCATGTTGGACCCCTTTTTTACCCTCAGAAGTTTTGTCGGCCCCCGTTTCACCCGAGTCTTCCCAAAGCTTCGCGCCGAAGCCCAGGTCTGGCGCCGAAGCGGGGCCGGGGCCCTGATCGATGGCTCCCATGATGGCAGGTGGTGTGTTCCTATAGGGAAGGAAGTAGGCCCCTTCCAAGATGGACTTGCCTTTCCCTGAAAAAAGTCGGGTTTGGGTTGGGATTGATTAATTTGAGGCGTCAGAATTTCAGAATTTCTAGGGTCTCTCTTGGGAAAAATCGTGGACGAGCTTCACTAAAACCAACTGGATGGACGCCTATTTTGCGCATGTTACAAAACCAAAGGCATCTGTTTGGACTTCACGTGGAATTTCAAAGGACATATAGTGGCCAAGACTTTAATATGGTTGGCTTGGCAGCTTGGCACAACCCCCCCATGTACATCATTGTTACCAAAGGGTCCCTCATTGAAAATAGTACACAAATGAGATCAAGGGGGGTGGATTTTCCCAGATTCAAGCAGATTGGGCTGCGACCCCGAAGCTTCTGCAGTCTGGAGTCTGCAGTTTGGAGTCTGGAGTTTGCACTCTGGAGCCTGGAGTTTGCAGTCTGGAGTCTGCAGTCTGGAGTTTGCAGTCTGAAGTCTGCAGTCTGGAGTCTGCAGTCTGGAGTTTGGAGTTCGCAGTCCGGAGTCTGCAGTTTGGAGTCTGCAGTCTGGAGTCTGCAGTCTGGAGTCTGCAGCCTGGAGTCTGCAGTCTGGAGTCTGCAGTCTGGAGTCTGGAGTTTGCAGTCTGGAGTCTGCAGTTTGGAGTCTGCAGTCTGGAGTCTGCAGTCTGGAGGCAGTAGCCCTGTGTTCTGCCGCCTTCACAGTGGGAATGGGGTTCAGTGAAGGGGGTGATGTTTGAACGGGGAGAAAAGGGAACGCTGTATGGTTCTGGGCAAATTACAACAGACTTTCCTGAAGGTAAAACGAGCTTACCCATGAAGGTCCCTTATGTGGGGATTGCTTACTACCAGTTTGCGATTTTGTGTAGTAAGTTGCCCAGATGGTTGCTCACCCGAATCCGCTTCCTCATTGTCTCTGGTCAAAGCGTCAAGGCAACCGCGTCGCCTGAATGTGCGAGTAGGGTCGGGCTAAATGTTGTTTGAATCACCAGCCCTTTGATTTATCAAATGGTGCTGAATCCTCTTTCAAGGAATCAAAAAAGTGTCTTTTTGTTTTACAACATGTTTAAACCAGGGGTTGGCCAACCCAAGTTCTGCCACAAGAAAGGTCTTTTGCATTTGATCCTGGCGCATTGTTGCATCTCTCACCAAAAGGGGACCCACTGGTGATTGGTTTGTCCAAGGTTGGCATTTCCAGAATTGTTTTCATCATATGGAGATGCAGCCTGCAGGCCCTCACGGCGGCGGCCGCCGGCATCATCGGCCGGGCAGGCCGGGAACATGTGAGCAGCACCCAATCCCCGTGTTGGCCATTCTAGTAGAGCGCTTCTGGTTTTTGGCTTAGTGGGGATTGTTCCTTGACTCGTAAGGCCTCAATAACCCGTAGTTATGGCCAAATGTTGCTAAGTTTGGCACGGCCTCAAAATGCTCGATGGGTGGGTAACAGCATGGTTTGTTGTTTTTAATGGTTGGAACACCCTCACTGGACATATCCTCATGTAAATCATGCCCACCAAGGTCCCGCTCATCTGTCATGCCCATTTGGGGAACCTCGCTCTATATACAGACTCACCCTGAGAGATCTCATGAAATACTTCTTGGCCAGACAAGGGCGGGGGTGTTTTTTTTGCCAGTTGGTAGCGCTGGCCGGGCTTTGCCAGGGCTGCGATTGGCTGGTTCCAGCTGTTTGGAACATGTCCAATCACAATGATACCCGTGAAACGGCTGCGCCAAGCCTGTAAAAGATGGATCAAATCACAAGGGCAAAAACAGCTTTTGCTAGGGTCTTTACTCTGTTTGAAATGGATCCTGACCTTGTCATATTCTGGGGCTGGGGTGAAGCTCGCCATGCTTGATATTGCCGTGTTGCCCAACACATTTTTTCCCGGAGTGTCCTGCACACCATCTCCGGAAGGGTTCTCGGCTTTGGCCTTCTATCTGCGTTGCCCTTCGGTGAACCAGCGCGATTGTCGAAACAAAGTTCGATGGAGGTAGGCATGCCAATGCTGACTTGAAGGACCCGGCACAGAGCGAGGACAAAGCCTGGTGGTTTTGAGAAGCACTTGCAAGAGGGGACCCCAACAAATGCGCACTTGGACATAAGCAAGTGGACAGGACATGATAGCTGTGGCACACAAGCGCCTAGTTCAGCACTCACTGCCACTGCGTTGCAGCGACGTGTTCGTGCTTTCTCTCCTCAAGCAGTGCTTGCTTGCCCGGCCTTGCCAGGTTCCCACCAGACCTGAAGGGCCCGGGGCCCAAAGGGAAGGGATGAAGATGGTTGGGCAAGCCTCGGAAGTCGTTTCTGCCAGGTCTCGATGTGCCTGCTGTTCAATGCCTTGCACTTGCAAGGGGTCGTTGTTAGCATGTAGCTTGTCACTGGAGATCCTGTTCTAGTTTCACAGCACCCCCTGCATTGATCAGCCATTCAGGGTTTCTGCAGATGGGATACGGGCTCCATTCAAAGCAGCCGGCAGCCCTATGCCCAGACCTTTCGATATCTCTTGGTGGCCACATAAAAATGAGCTTTGCTTTAGGATGATTAAATGGGGACATCTACTTGAAGCCCTCTTTCTCGGGCCGCGCGGATCGCTTTGAGGTCCTTCCGCTTCCACGGACACTTTCCGTGGAAGCCGCATGCGCGCTTGTCGCTTGTTGAAAAGTCCACGAAGCGGCGGGCGCTGGATAGGGGTCATCTCCGGTCAGGGATGGCAGGGTTGGGTACGTGGAAAAACTCGTCCGTTTTGGGCTTGTTTATGAAGTGATGTAAAGCGGACTGGCATTGCAGGCGGCTTTTTGTTTTGCCCGAGGTTGGGACTTTGGCTGGCAAGCAAGCTGAGTTTGGACCTTGTTGACAAAGAGATGGCACTTGGCAGAAGCACGTGAATTTCGCAGCATGGGCACCTTGGAAGAAGCAGTCTTCCCACGATGGAGCTGTGCCATGCATCACGGCCTGCTGGGCACATGAAAGTGACATACTCAAATCGTGGCTTAAAGGGAAATCGTCCCAAACGGAAACTGGGAAAACCCCACTCCAAGTGCCCAAGAGATACTTTCCTCCAGCTGGTTGAACCGGCCGAGATCGCTTGGGCACTGTTCGGTGTACTCTACTGCACAGATTCATGGGCAAGTGGCTTGCCCAGCAGAATTGCAGGTCTCAAGTTTGCAGATGCAGCACATGTACTGTGTCATTGGACATGACTGGAATCGCCAAATTAGCAACTGGCGGCAACGCATCGTGCATTCCTTCCTTTGCATACATGTCGGCAGCCTTCCGCACCAAATCTGTTTGTACTCCAGGTGGTTCACGTGCAGAAGCTTCTGGCAATCTCAAACACTCCCAGATCCAACCCCCGCGCTGTTCCTGGCGTGTTTGAGTCTTTTGCCTTCTGGATTCGGCAAGCAAAAAGCATGTGCCGGGGCTGCCTAGAACGAAGAGTGTTTGCCGGCATCACGCGAAGGAAGTTTTGTTCCAAAGTGGCCATTCAAAACCCAGAGGGGAAGTCTAAGGACCCCTGACCCTATCGGTGCATCGTGCGCCCGGACCGCCGCGCATGCGCCGGGCACTGCGCAAACTGGGGCCCGCTCTGGGAGCTGTCCCGGCGGGATTTGCCTGGATGGATCGAGCGGATCGGAATGGAACAGCAGGCGGATGGGGAACACATGGGTTGCTGAGGGTCACGAGGATAGTTGGGATTATGAGGATAGGGATGCGGGGTGAACATAATCATCTCAATCAGGTTGAGAACCAACATGATGATGTGGGTGAAGCAATGGGATAACGTTGAGGCTGGTGGTGATGACGATCACGATTACAGTTATGATGATCGATAATGATAGTGCACCCACAATCCGAGGCATCCAATCATGCCTGGTTAATCTTGCTTGAAAGTCGTGCGATGTGAAGCCGTTCAAGCAGGCAGCCGCAACAAAAGCTCTTTTTGGCTGGAAACTGCAGGCTCAATAGCCCTGCTTCAGCTTTCGTGTTCGCATGGCCACCACCGGAGGTCTAGGATTTGCAATGGTTTTGTGTGTATGTGTGTACGTGTATGTGTATGTGCGTGGATGTGTGTGATAGACCTTCTTGCTGGTACCGTCACTTTCAGCTGCACGATCTGCTTTTCCTTGCGGCTTGGATGCGGGTTTTGTGGTTCCACCCCTGCAGGAAAGTGCTATCAGGGTGCTCAAAGAAGGGGCCAGCAGGTAAACTGTAAAGCCACACACATCCACAGAAAGCGCATCCAAGCGCTTGCTGGAGTTCAAAGCAAGCTGGCTTTGTGAGGGGACGGTTCGGCCTGGTCGCCCAAATGCAGCCTTGTCTCAGGCCCATACAGCCACAACGGCTACTGCAACCAGTGCGCACCCAAGGTTGTGGCCTGGCAGATTTGGGGCGTATGTTGGGTTGACTCAAATCCATCGACCGACCTTCCATGGGGCCACCCGACGCCTCGGGGAACACAAGGAGGGCAAGGTTGCGGTGGGGCGGGGGGTAAGAAGAAGCTGATAGCAAGTGGTCACGCGGCAATGTAATGTATATGTTTATACATAGAAGTCTTGTAGTTAAAGCCAAGGGGCAACGCGAGATTTGTGCATTCGCATAGATGCTGCGATTTGTTGTGAAGATTGCCTTTTGTATGATGGCTTCTGTGATACCAATGCTAATGCTACATTTAAAGCCGCCGAAGCCAAGGGGCAGAAGTTTTGTATGAAGAAGTCTGGAGTGCGCTTCTCTCCGCCTTTCGTCTCTTTTCTTGTCTCTTTTTTATTGTTCCTATTTTTTGTTTCTTTGTCTCCTTTTCTCCTTTTCTCATTTTCTCTCTTTTTCTCCTTTTCCGTGTTTCTCTTTGTTCTCTGTTTGTCTCTTTCTCTGTTTCTCTCTCTCTCTCTCGCTCCACCCACAAATGTGAACAACATTCAAAAAGCACCGCGTTTAGGGTCGACCTCACAATGCCTCAGAGAGTTTACCGTTTAACGATTACGAAACGGGCGCATCTCTGCACCCCCGCTGCGGGCGAGCTTTTCTAACTCCAGCCATTCCCAAGTTCTTGCGATATCATAATTTGTCTCGCTTTTCATGCACAATAACTGCACACACCAACATCTATCTACATATGTATATACATTGATCCCTATATATTCCCGAGAAATCACAGCTCAAATACTACGGACAATCCTAAACTTAATTTGACCACGCTCTATACATATACACATATGTCAGAAAGTGCACCTTGTGGTTGTGCTGGTGCCTATTTGCTTTGTCAAAATCAGAGGCTGATCAGAGGCTTCTGGACGAAGTCCATGCTGCTATGCTCATTTGAGGCTGAGTCGAAATTTCTAGGAGTCCATGGTCAAATTCGCGGCGTATGGAGTTCCCACAAAAGCCAGGGGCTCTCCTTTTTTTTCATGACCATAAAAGGTGACAGCATCTCTTGACTCTGGCTCATATGTGCTGCCTCACAGTCCGAACGCTTCGGCCGCTTGCGACTCCACGGCCATTCAGAGCAAAGTGAGGGTTTGGCTGGGCTTTGGCTGTTTTTCTTTGCGGAAGTAAGATGGGCGGTCAATTGTATTGGTGTGGCTCAAATTCAGAACCCAAAAGACCACAGATGGTTGTGTTGTCTGCAAACTGGGGGTTGTGGGCGTACTGTTTTTGAGCCGGAGCGATATTTCCCGCTTAAGGCAGATTAAACATCATGTGCGTGACCAATTTCAGGGGGTGCGTTTACGTTTCCTCCTGGAAGGGTGACGTTTAATGGGGGACATACATAGGTGGAGCCCTGATGAACCCAAGCAAGGACGGTCAATCACTCATCACTCATGATAAGGAGCTTTGTCCGTGACAGGTGCCAGCCTTGATTCTACAGGTACTGTTCCCGTCTCTCGCTGAGGCACTTGCCGAGACACACATCTTCCCAGGGCATTGCGAGAAGCCAACGTGGCGCGGCGGAGTTTCAGTCCTTGAAGTTCTTTCAGGACCTTGTGGATTCCGTTTAAAGCACCATTTGGGATGTTGTTGTAGAGGGTTTGACCCACCAGAAAAAGAATAATAATAAGAACAAACAAACTCCATGTCGGAGGGCAACCAACCTGGGTCACGTTGGTCTCAGCCCGGCTCAGGTTTGAAGAGTTCACCTCCTTCGAGACCTACATCTTCGACTGCGATGGGGTGATCTGGGGCATCTCGGACGAGGACTCCAAGACCTCGGTGGCCACGGTCAACTACCTGCTGAAGCTGAGCCTTGGCGCCCGAACAGCGCGCCGCCTTTTCCCTCCAAATATGGGAGCAGAGAGGCTCCCTGAAGAGAAGATACTTCCAACAGGTGTGTGTGTGTGTGTGTGTGTTTGTTTCTGTGTATGCACTTTCATGCTTTGTTGGTGGGAGGGTGGCCTTTTCACATCTTGCGCAGTTTTTTTTTCTTTTCCCGGCACTCACCAGCAAGACACTTCACTTTTCGCAGGGGGTCAACGACCAACCCAGGAGCAAGCGGGTGATGTTTGTCACCAACAATTCCAACAAGACTCGGGCGCAGTTCGTCCAGCAGACGCGGCCTCAGAGGGTTGCACCGGATCGTGGCCAACTTCGCCCCAGTTCCAGGGCTTCATTGTCCATTCTTTTCAACCATCGTTCCTTTCACAAACCGATCGCTGTTTCCCCTGGGGTTCTGATGGTTTTCTGGAAAGAAGGATCCCTGGAAAGAATGGGGAAGTGTCCACTAGATCAGTCCCATCTCATTGAATGATCCTCTCGCGTGATGAACCTCCGACTGCTTGGGCCAGTCGGTCACAGCCGTCTTTTGCCTACTGTAATTTAAAACAGTTTTCAACATTTGCCAAACTCAAAATGCTATATGGCATGCGCACAGTCACCAACTTTCGTCTCTAGATCAAGTTCTGCCACCTTGCTTCGGATTGAGCAGCAGTGGCTCCGAAGACAGGTATGTCTGCCCAAGCTTCGAATTTGGTTCAAACAAATAAATCAGCTGATAGAGCTTCCTGAATTCAAGGCCAATTGGCTCAAGCCTTTAGGGCAGCAAGACTGGCTCCATACCTTCCAGCGCTACTGCCTTGCTGACCCTGCAACCGCCGACATGGTCCAATTCTCGCGTAGCCACGCTATTTGGCCGGTCCCCAACCATGCATTCTTCGCGGAATGGTTGAACACACCATCATGACGGATTGACCGTGTTGGGCTAGGCACAGGCGGAGGCTGCTGTCGTCGAGCAGGAACCTGACGCGAGGCCATCAGAGGCTGTAACGCGAGCGGCGAAGCTGAATCCTCACTCAGACTCGCTGCTCATCACGCCAGTGTTGATGCCGCCTGCATACAGCAGCGGAAGACACCTAATAGCGCAGTCTCCATCCATTCCAGCAGTGAGCGGCCTGCACAGCAGAGCTGCGCAGGGACCGGCATGTGCTTTGCACGTGTTTGTTGAATTAATGCCACTCGGCGCGCTCATTTGCCATGTCAGGAAAGTTGGCCCACCTTTTGACACGCTTCATGTCGGTACCCGTGAGCATCAATTAAATCTGCCCAATGGTTTTGCAATTCATACGCGGGCCCGCCGAGCATCTCTCATGGCCATTTGAATGTCGGCAAGCTGCATCTCGGAACCACAACTAAGTTCAACTAAGCGCAAATGCGACAAAAGCCGTAGTGCCTGTGCAGGCATGCCGGGCAATAGCTGAGGTGCAATCTGCAAAGCACGACCCGCCTGAGCGACGTTCAGAGAAGGAAGTTCAGACGTTCTGCGCGTGTGGCTAGCAAGGCCGCCCCAACCTCTTTGCTTGTATCTCGGCTGCGGGTGCACATGCGCGCAGTTTGCAAGCCGAGAAGTAACATGCAACCTTCCAGTCAATCCTTCAATCCTTGCTCCAAAGCAGCTGTGTGAGTAGCAACGTGGACGAAGCCGAATGCCGTGCAGCAGCTTGCAGACCCATGAGGCGTTTGATGCGAAGCGCAAGCTGGCAAAACGGCAGCCACAGCAACTGCAATCCTTGACGCGCACCCTACAGATTAGCCCGTATGATCAAGCCAGCCATGCGCAAGCCGTTGCGCAACTAGGAGGCACGCAGCACGGCGAGTGCGCAGTCTCAGTTGCAAGCTTGAATGTTCGGGGAGTGGGACACAAGGGCACAGCGCGGGCATTGATTCAACATTAGCATAGCCAACAGTTGATGGCAGGTCTTTCCTCATCATTAGAAGCGGTGTGCCCATGTGCTCCGCAAACCAGCGCAAAGCGTAAAGGTTCCCTTCCCGCGTGATTGGCGCATGCAAATACCAATGTGTTTTCGCAGAGCAAATCGTACATGCTGCCCCCAAGCTTCCCTTCAACGGCAGGACGGGTGCTGCAGCGTCTTTCGATGCAACAGCGTGTCTGGATGTCTGCGCAGCGTCAAATTCTCAGAGCGACTGGAGCCAGAGGATGAAAGCGGAGGCATGATGGTCCAAACAGGACAGCCACGATCCGTTCCACATGCTTAGCTGACATGATAAAAACTGCAAGCTTCTAGCAGGCGCTCGACGTTTCAGCTACCTTCCTTCGAATCGAGCAACTGCCCCGAAGTCTGCTACATAGCAAAAGCTATGCACCTGGACGTCAAATGAGAGCCGATAGAGCTTTACATTTGACGCACGCGCTTCGGCAAATGCATGGTTGCTTGTATGAAGCAACACGCTGGCATGTCAGGAGTCACTGGTTTCAAGCAAAGGCTTAGGGATCTCAGCGTCGACACTCACAAATGGTGCTTGCCAGCTCAAAAGCGAGTTTTTCTTCATTGATGTCTTTGGGATGTTTCAAGATATAGTTGGCATCTCGGTTCAGTTGACAAATTGAGCGAGACTGCCCTGGCCTGGCTGAGGTTGGAGGGCAAGGGGGTGAACTTTGGAAGCAGAAGCAAGGAGCAGAAGCTGAGCATGATGGTGAGCCGCGGCCTCGATGTTGCAACACGGGTCGTTTAGAACCCACAGCAAGGATTTGCGGGGGATGGTCCCAACCTAGACCTTACGCGGCACAGCCTTCACCTCCCCTTGAGTTTTTTGTGTGTTTTTTTTTGCGAGTCACGTCGGAAAAGTCAGACCTCCAGGGGGCGGCTTGATTTAGTGCCAAAGAAAGGTGAGGGGTTGTTCAAGCGACTTCTGGGGCAGGGCTGGGTGAGTAACCAATAGAGGATTGTCTAAAATCAACAGAACCGTCTGTTTCACCATTTGTGCGCGGTTTTGAGCAATGCTCTATGCCCGACCTGGATGCAGAAACCAAGGCCTGGGCAGTTCGGAGTTCACTTGGGGAACCTCAAACAGTTGACGGGCGTGCATCCGGGGACGTCAGGTGCCTCCTACACGACCGCTGCCTACCTCAAAGACTCCGAGCTTCAGCATCCCTTCATCATTACCTCCGACACCGGAGTGTGCCTGGGCGTTGATTCGACAGACCTACTTGACTGTCCCCCCCCGGAGGCTGACAGGCAAGTTGTGCTTCCTGTGTAAGACGTGATGTATGGGGAAAACGCACAGTGGCTGCTCTGACTTCTCTTCAGGTGTGCGTCTGAAAAGAGCTTCAAAAAGAATAACTGCTTGAATTTCCATAGCCGGGCTGTGAGTCGACCTTTCAACCTTTTGGCTTATTTTTGCTTCAGCATTTGGAGGATTTCTAGTCATGGCCACGACAAAAAGTTGACCTTGTGTTTCCGGGTCCTTTGAGCAAGTGAGATTCGCCTTGGAGCCAAGTGCAGGAGACTGGGGCCGTGGACAAAAATCAAAGCTGTTGTTCTGGGCAGGCATCAGGACCTATACCCAGCAGAAAGGTGCGGGCAAACCCCTTCGATCAGCACCTGAAGGTTCAGAGATCCTTTGAGGTGTTCCTTCGATTTCCACACCGCAGCTGGGGCTCTCTCTCTCTCTCTCTCTCTCTCTCTCTCTCTCTCTCGCTCTCTCCCTCTCACCAGAGGGGCATCCTGGATGGACCGACAGGTCCTCATGCCCGGGAATCGGCAAGGCTTACTTAAAAATCCACTCAAACACGTTCTTGCAAGGAATAGAAGGACAAGCTTGGTTCCAATGACAACAAATAATCCAACCCCCTGTTTACGGCATGGTTTTAACCACATATTGCCGAAGGCAGCCTCCTTTGGTTCCCCAATCTTTCTGGGGGCCGAATTGGGTCTGGTTGTTTCTTCACACATTTTGCCACCTCGATCAGACTCCAGGTTGGAGGAGTGCCGCATGCTTGGGATCACCAACTACTTCGCGACCATCGATGACAACGGGAAGCCAGGCCGAGATGAGCTTTGGACGCGGAACCCTAGGCTTTTTGGGGAATTCTCATTGGAGTGAGGCGTGTTCCAGGCGAATTTTTGCGAATCTTGAGCTTCATGCGAGAACGGTGAACATCTACCGTTGTCTACAGCAATTCATAAAGGGCATGCCATGGGTCACTCACGGGTCTGCTCACCAACAGTTGGCAGACTGCCGCTCAGATAGGTTTGGTGCAAAAGTTCCTGGTTGCGCTATGGTCCGTTTGGAGTTTGGGACATGCGGGACGAGCTCTAAAACTCAACCACGAGAACTCAGGGGACTCACAACTTGTTGCAAGGCCTTGACTAGTTCACTGGTCTCATTTAAGAGGATCCCTTCCGGTTCATTCCCGAAACCATTTTTAGCGGCAACAAACCAGTTCTGACTTCTCTTGGCCAATTTTGTCAGGAAGCGAGGGCTAGTTTTTGGAGCCGTGGGAATGAGGGTCTTGGCCACACGGCTTGCTGACAGCAAGCAGGTTCCCTTAAAGGATACGCTCGGGCCAACAAGCGGTATCTGGAAGTTGCCATTAAGGGAATGTGAACTTTATCCAAGCACGATCTGTGGTTTCAAACGACACTAGTAAATTGTACGACCTTCTTTTTGCTCTTTCCCAGAATGGTTGTTAGGACCGTGTAAATATTTAGGCCCTCACAGGGGTCACATGACTTTCATTTCACCGGCAACGTCTGATTCCGCAGCCGCGGCCTTCGAAAAAATGGACATGGGCTCTGCGGCGGACGTGATCAAGCAGCGCCCAGACGTGGACGCCATTGTGGCATCTGGGACTGTGAAGCTGTGTTAAATTTCTCAGACAACCTATAGTAACCCTACATGAAGCCAAACGGACATACGGAACCCCCCTAACTTGCTGGTTAGTAGGGCTTTGAAATTTTGGGGGCCTCTCAATGGATGAGTCCGGGTCATTCCAACTCACTCCCTCATTTCCTGAGAACCAGCACAAGGACCCCTGTTGACCTTTTGGGCTAGGCTTCCCTGTTGGTTGGTTTGAAGTCAAGGTTCCGAAAGGTTGGTCCAGGACAGTTGCAAAAGAGGAGCCATAATTTGTGACTTTCCTGCAGTTATAGCCCGGGTTCTAAATGACAACAGCTGAAAGCTTGGTGTCTTTGCCCAAACCGGCTCTGGAGTAGTTCGGAGCGGTTGTGGGTTAGGGTTTTGGAGGGGCTAGATACCGCTTTGTCTTTGTGCGTTTTCCCTACAGGAAACACCCTTTTTGTGGCGGGGATAAGTGTCCAGCTGAAAGCTTCGGGGTCTTTGGGGCCTTTGGGGTCGCTACAATCCGATCCGCCACTGATAAAATGCCGGCGGGCGAAAAAGAGAACCGGTGGCTGTTTGCGATGTTTTCCAGAATCAACCATCGATGGCAGCAACCCCCTTCAAATACCCGAAACAAAAGCACAATACTGCTGCGGATGTTTCACAGCGACAGCGCTATACAGGTGGGGGATTTCGCAATGGCGCAATTCCTTAGATCGTCACACTTGCCCCCGCCAAGACCCCAAACAAGCCAAATCCGACATCGCCCAAAACAGCAAAACACCGTTGGTATCTGGCAAAACAACAACAGTCATGCTGCCAAGACAGCCCTGATAATTCTGGGAATGCAGATTCTTACCACCATAGTCAACCCCCCCCCCCCCAGACCTAGATGGACACGAGGCAAATTTCGCCCAAAAATGGTCTCCCCAACAGCCCTCGGGTTTTTCAAGCAGAATTTGAAAGGAAGCACACGTGGCGTTGGCGGATGTTGTTTTTTCTCCGAGTCCCTCTGCGGCAACTTTAGGTTGGCTGGGATATGCAGCTCACCGCGCTCAAGGTGGCGTCTCAGCTCTAACTGGATGCACTTGGGCCACTTGGGGAGGGGTCCGAGTCCGATGTCTCCCCGAAGGTGCCAAATTCGGAAGCACGCCGCAAGGTGGTTTCGCAGCATGTTTAGAAAAAGTGCACCCCCTTGGGCGGATGGATATGTTTGGCGCCCCGTCTCTCAGCTTGCCGAAATTCACGTAGACTGAAACCCTGGAGGAAAATGGGTTTCAGTGAACCTTCGGGAGGAGTGTCAATCAGTTGGCACATGGACCCGGCCACTTTGTGGGATATCTCAAAGTACAAATCCTTTATCCGAGGGCGCGGCTGTGAACTACATCAAGTGGCACGAAGACCTCTACTCCCATGAGCCCGGCTACAAGGAGACAGGGTGCTAAATGTGTATTAACAGGTGTTCGTTTTCTTTGTGGGTACGCTTTTCCAGATTGGTTTAAAGGGAAGCCAAGGGGACGCCACACATTGTACTGGCCCCCCTATTTTGTCACATACCCAAATAGTCCATATGCAACAAGGCTTGGGACTTAAAGGGAGGTGGGGCAGACCGCCCGCCGGCTTGGGGGGATGTGTTTGTTTGTCTTACCCTCGGACGACTTGACAAACTCCACCCTCCCACCAATTAACATGGAACCTGACACAGGGGTCATGGTTTGGACCATTGTCCTTTTAAAAGGACCCCCAAACGTCAGGTTCCATGTCAATTGGTGGGAGGGTATATATCCGGGATCCTTCTTGCATGGAACAACTGCTATGTTCCTTTTTGCCTTCTGACCACTGCGACTAGATGTCGTGCAATGGTGTGTTTGCAGCGTCGCTTCCCAAGTTGTGCAGCGTTTCTGGCCATGCTCCAGAACTCGCAGCATGAGGTCCAACTTGTGTCTTGCGATTGTTTCAAGCTTATTTTGCGGTTTGAGTGAGTTTTTGGAACAAGCATACTCGCAGCTGTGCATGTTCTTGCCCGCGAATCTAGAAGGTTGCACGTGCGACGGTTTGAGGTGTTGTATGATGGTTGGCGCCCGTGGTTGAATAGCTTCACTTCGAAGATGAACTCATGGAGCACGCCATGGGTATTGGCAGAACCTCCCAGATGTCGATGCAACTCCGGAAGTGACTGGTTTTGCACCTCCCCCCCCCCCCCCCACACCATACCCCAGACGGCGGGGGGTTGCCCTTGAAATCAACTACTGCAAAAGGGGCGATGGCTACTGGAGACCTGGGATACTGGCCAAAGAGGGCGTGCGATTCTTGACTGTTTGCCTTTCCTTGAAAAGTTGCACTGTGAATCGCTGGTAGCAGAGACCTTCTGACCTGAACGCCCTCCGCACTTCTCATGACCTCATCCTTTGCCCTTCGTTTCCTCCAAAAGGCTTTGCGGTAGGCGGCATTTTGAATCCTTCTGAAATTCGCATGGTCACATTTGTCGCCACTTTGACATTGAGCTGGTGATGCGACCGTATTTTGGATCCAACTTCCGACTTCCCTAGCGAAAGGGATCCCGTTTTCTCTGGGAAGTACATGCTGGTTCACTTGGTGGCTCCCAGCCATGCCCTTAGCCTTTTAGCTTCTTAGTGTCTAGTGGTGGTTTTCATCTAATCCACTAAAACTTAAACTTTCAGCGAGGGATCTGAGGGCAGCCCACTTCAGGTTCCCTTGTAAAAACATGTTTGGCCACGCACCGGCCGCCGTGGACTTCAGGAGCTACCGCTCATCGCCTGCTCCGGGGACACGGGGGGGGTCTTGGGGAAGACGCAGCACCTGGGGAAAGAGCTGAAGATCCGCGCCATCGGCGGCCCGGTCGGAGAGACAAAGAGGGGCGATCCAGGGACCCGGAGGGAGATGTGAACTGGGGCCCGACGATTTGATGGGACTTATTCTGAGGGTTGACCTAGTGACTTAGTATACCCCAATCGGGACATATCATAGTTGCCCTCCCCAGAATTGGACCAAGAAACCTTTTTCTTGGCTCCACTGTTGGCTTCCTTTTCTTTTTGTTGTGCTATTTGTCACGCAACCAACACTGTAGCAAGCGATTGTATGCCCTCCGAATCGGGGAAGGGCAGCAATGCCCCGGTCAGCTTTCCCGAGGCAACGGCGCCATGGCCGACATCATTGCCCGGAGCTTCGACCCTCCCAAGGTCTGGGTGGACATGGGCAAGCCTTCAGATGCCCGGCGGAACTAATTCTATAGGCCCCCGTAAGGAATTCTCTTGTACAGAAGTGGGGAGAACCTCCTTGATCCCACAACCCTCCACCCCTCACCGAGGGTCCGGGCGTTTGACTAGCACAAAGTGATAGTCAGTTGCTCCAAAGGGTAGACAATACATAGTTGACAAAACTCAGCCCCAACTACAAGGAGGTCCCAGGGCCCCGCGACGTCACTTCGGTCCTCATCAGGGCATAGTACTGGGAAGCCGGATCTGCTGAACCGTGTTTCATTTGCGATAAAGCAAAAAACAGCTGGTCCAACATCTGCTCAAACAGTTGGTCAAGCAGTTAGTCAAGCAGATGATAATTCAGTTGGTCAAACAGTTGGTCAAGCGGATGGCATTTTTGGCGCCGGTTGCAGAAACCGCCGGCCAGCGGCATTAGGATGCGCTACTGGTGCTCCTTCGGAGCCCCCACGCCTACAATGTGGACCTGAGCAAGGCCCTCATGGCGCCCTTGGCAGCGAGAAGCATGTAGCATGGGGTCCAGAGTAGGGGCCAAGCAACGAGTCATAGCTTACTCCCATGATGAAGCTTGGGTGCAAAGCGCCCAACAACGTTGGAACTCCATTCTAAGATTCTACTTGTTTGACGGCCCCTAGAGTAGATCAACAATTGGTGAGAAGCTCAAACAATAATCATCAACCACATGCACACAGAATTATTATCGGGAACATGTGTTAATTGGATGGTTTTCACAGACCACCCCGCACCCCTGAAAAAAGACCAGGTCAGGTGAGGCTCATCATTTGCTTTGGGGACAAGCAGCCAAGAGGGGAGCTGCTCCGTGCGGAGTACATCTGGGCAAGTTGAAACGACGGCAGCTCAGTCACCTGGGGATTCTTTCTTTGAAATTTGGTTCAAAACCAATGGTACCATTTTGGGATAGGTGCACCACCCATTTTAGTTTGTTTTATCGGGGATTGGGATGTTCACTGGGGGTACGGGGTTTGGACCCATGACCATTCGACATTTGTGAAACCCTGTGGTTTGCCCAGAAATGTGCGGGGTGCGCGTGAGGTGGGGGACACTCTTCAGACGGACATTGTCTTCGGCAACCGCGGAGGCGGGCGATCAGAAACTTGTAGCGGCTTTGTCGCTGGAGGTTGAGCCCCCTGCTTCCCAGTTTCGGTTTGGGAGTTGCACTTTGACGAAAAGGGAACCCAGGAATAACATAGCGGGGCTTATGCTTTTGGAGGAACAACCTCAATCCGCCAGGTTGATCATTCTGGGGTCGACATTCTGCGGTGGTCCGAAGTACCGCAGTTTGTCAATCCGTGTGCGTGTGTGTGTGTGTGTTGCCAGGGCAAACCCAATGTTGAAACATGTTTCAACCACGTATCATGCAAACAACCTGCTTGTGGTTTCTCCCCTTAGAAGGGAACCAGGGGTTGGCTGTTGAGGCTGTTGAAACAAGCTTTGCCTAGCCCTGGTGGCCGGTGTTGGGACTGGTTCAGAAGGTTAACGGGTTACAGGCCGGCCTCCAAGCCATGGAAGTGCCCAGCATCTTGTTTCAACAGGAAAGTTGTAGGGAGGCGTTTCCGGTGGAATGCCTCGATCGAGTCTCCCCGTGTTGGACTCGAGGTCGCTCCAGAATGAGAGGTCCTTGTGGCCGCACAAAAATGGCCGTGGTGGTCAAAACCAATGGTACCATCTTGGGATAGGTGCACCACCCATTGTAGAACCTATTTCAGTGGGGATTGGGATGCTCACTGTACGGGATGTTGACCCCTGGCCAAATCAGCTACTTTTCAAGTCAACCCCAACTTTTTTCAAGTTTGGGCCACTTTCATGGCCACACGTGTCTCTCCCCGCTTGCCATGTAGATGGCGGCAGTTTGCGGGAGTTTGTACAAGGACACCAGGGACCCTTGCCTTCAGGGTCGTTCCCAACCTCCAAGATATGTTCAAGACCGATGGCTAGAATTGTGTTTTTTTGCTCGGCTTCCTTCGTTTTCCGTTTTGCTTAGGCAGTCGAGGATGTCTCACTCAAACGGGTATGTCAAAACAGGGCTTCGACCCCCGAAATGTTGGTTTTTCCTTTGGTTTTCCTTCAACACCAGGAAGCCTACGGTTCGTTTTGCCTTATTCCGTGTCAGGGATTTTCCAGAAGCACTTGAACTGGTTGAGCTCCCTGGAACACCAACCCGAGAAATGAGCACAGGCAGGCGGTCCGTCAGGGGTCCTTATATTTTTCCCCCTTTTTGGTGGTTTCAAGTTACACCGCCTTTTTGGTCCATGAGAAGTGAGTTTATCTTGGTGGCGATGGTTTGACGGGAAAACAACCGGGAGCGGAGCATCCCTGGGCCGATGTTTTGACGGGAACAAAACGGGAGCCCTGTCCGTTGAGGCATGAAGACGCTGCTGGTGCTCACCGGGGTCACCAGCCAGAAGGAGCTGGAGGACGAGCTCCGCGCTGGGGGGCCTCCCATTCGCAGGCGGAAGGGTGGTGCGTGTGGCTAGGGGTCCCACACTCCCGGGGTGTTAGGGTGAAAGCACTTCTTGGGAAGGCCGGTTTTTAGGGGCAAATAGCAAGTTCCGACTTTTTCTGCCCAGCCACTCAGGGCGTGAGTATTTCTATATATATATATATTATATATATATTATATATATATATATTATATATATACATGTCCTCGTTTGGTGGTTATTCGGCCAACCTAAGGCGAGTTTTGTTTTGGAGGGCTTGTGGAGTTGCGTTGTTGTTTTTGGCAGAAGGGTCGGCCTTTTCACTGCAGAGGGTTTGCTCGTTCGGCCTTTGGACTTATGAATTGGACTCATTGTGCGAGCCCTAGACAATTGGGTAATGGGCTCAGAATTTCGTGGCACATTCTCCGCTTATTGAGGGGTTATTATAGCGACGAACATGGATGGCTCAATATGTAGGTCCTTCTCTTGGGCATTCCTTATTTCAGGTTGTGGGATATTTCCAGATGGATGTTGGGTTACGCAGGTTTGGCCTTTGTTTCCACTTACCAGGGTTCCATTTTGGTGCCGGTTTTTCGGGCCGCATGCGAGGCCCACCTTTGTGCTGCCGAAGCTGGGCAGCTTTGTGGACTCGGGGCACATCGGGTCCCGCGTCTGAGACGGCTGAGACGGCTGAGACGGCTGTGCATTCCTGGCACCGAGCCGCAAGCCGGCTACCGAGTCGCCAGGTGGCTGAGCTACTGAAGGGAATGCGCATGTCGTTGGCGGAATGCCTAGACCATGCGAGGGTGACACCCGAATGAATGGCACGGATCGATCTGTCGCTTATTTTTCGCGCATGGAGAGAAGTGTTGCGAAGTTTTGGCGAACGAGGCGGTGTTCCGGCAAGCCGGCTCTGAAAATGGAAAGCCTTTTTCTTTGATCATTTCCGGTGCCACCCGAAGCGAATTTCGTCTGGGGCCTGGGTTTGAGCTCTGCGGAGCCGGGGCGTTCCAGAAGCCCCTTCCCTCACCGGGTGAAATGGCAGAATTCCGATTTTCCAGGTTTTGTTTGCTTCCCCATTACCGCTTCACCCCGGTGTACAGTGCGCGTGCTAATGAAGCCCTTTGTATTCTGTGTCTGGGTTGTGCAGAGAAGCAGCAATGGCCAGGAAGGTTGTTGGCAACAGCTTGACCGCGAGCTACTCTCTTGATACATGCTCAAACCGCATCCTTGCAGAAAAGCCCCCCCCAAAAAACACCCACCACGTCTTTGGGCTCCATCTCTGAATCTGCAGGAGTGTGGGTTTGAATCTGTTTTTGCCGCGGCGTTCTCTGCACAACGCGTAGCTGCGTTGCAAACGTGGCGCATGTTTCACCAGGTCCGCAGGGCTGGAGGGGCGAAGGTCAACGCGACTTGAAGTTCCGTTTTTGAACGGAACATGTGAGCAAAGAACAATATATTGTGCAGGGCATAGGTTGGTGGGTAACAGTTTTCGGGAGGTCCCTATCGGTTTCCGGCGGTAATATTGTCAGGTATTCATTTGATTGGCGCCCAAAACGGATTCCTGTTGGCTGTCTTCAGTGTGTATGTGGTACTTCTACCTGCATTAATTTCAAGCTACGGCAAGGCCAATATACGCCGTTCCAAAAGGCAATGGTTTGTGGGCATTGCTCATGCAACGTATAAGAACAAGAAGAACGAGAACGCAGAGAACAAAGAGCGCCCCTCCGGTTTCCTGCAATTTTCTCTGCGGTTTTGTGAGCTGCTCTTGTCGCCGAAAGGTGAACTGTGGCACAGCCCATTGACGCCTGGAGCGGCGGAGTGGAGCAGAGAGATGTTGAAAATTGGCGAGGTTTTGGGCCAGTTCCGAGGGAGGCAAGTGGGCACTGTAGGTGTCACAACATGGAGATCCCGCTATGTGAATCATATGCATCCGATTGATGTAGATGTACAGTTTTTTTTTGGAAATGGCCCCAACCCAAAGCCTGCGTTGTGGGTGGCCCGTTAGTATTCCTTGCGTCTTTTTGGCTTCCGTGTTAGCGGGCTCAACAGGCCTCACCTGTCAAATGCACGACCCCATATTTGGACCTCCTTCAAAGGCCAACATGAACCGGTTGGGAAGGTCCCACGACTTAGGGCTTTGTAGTCGGCTCCGAAGTTGGTGGGTATTGTTCAGAGTGCAGATGCAACAGGAGCAACACTGTTGGTCTAGGTACTGATCACTAGGGCTGGGGTTCTATCGTCCAAGTCTTCGCAACATCATACTGCTGCTGTTTTGTTCTTGGGAAGATGACAGTCACTGTGGCGGGCTTTCTGCAGGCTCTTCTAGGCTTACTAAGCAGCGTTGTTCTCGGGCTATGATTCAAGAAGGCGATTATACTTCTACTCATTCATTGGCTCCCTAAGGGAAGCGAGCAGCAAAGTCAAGATGGCAGTCACATTCCGTTTACACGCCATTGAGCGAGAGTTTTGCGGTTGGGGCGCTGAGTTAACTCAGCCTCACTGGGGGCAGGGGGCATCAGTAGTGTTGGTCCAAAGTCCGGCGTTCCCAGACAGTCCATCTTGCAGCTATGCGATAAGTTCAGGAGAAGTCCCTGCGAACTCTTGACAACTTAGCCAGGACACGGTAGAAAGTCGGATAGCACGTATACATATTTATATTATGTCGATTATTTGTAATCGACATACATGTAGGCATACATGTATGTGTATAAAACAATATGCACATACATCGTTTCGTTTATATATATATATATACACATTTCTTTATATCATACTAGGTATGATTTTGGTTGGAGTATTGGGTACGCTACCTGGCCGCTACCTACGTGTCTTGCGGATTCTTGCACGGGGCTTATGCGCCTCGAACTAGCTCAAGCTGGCCAACCGGGGGCTTGCCCAAGCCCCGCGCGCGGGGCCACAGGTCGTGGATGCAGCGGTAGGGGTGATCTTCGATTGCTGAACAGGCATGCTCGACAATCATTGCAAGGGTTCCTATGAAGGCAACCATGATCATGACCCACTTAAAGTTATGACCATGGGATTGCTAAACTGGCCCCAACACGCCGTTTTGAGGCATGCTTCTGCAATATTTTAGCCATCGATTTGGGGGAGAAGGCTGAGGCGTCGTTTCGCCACTCGGGGGAGGAAGCACTTTCTTGAAGTGGATGCCAGGCGTCTTCGATAGGTTCTTGGCTTCAATCACCGATTTGGTTTTGCGGCGAAAGGCAACTTGAACAGTGCAAACTCTGTAAATCTTCGCATGCCTTCTGGCACCTGGCTCAGTCTGAAGTCTTCACACCTCTGGGTTCTTGCCCCGATCTGGGCGGATCTGGGAACTCAGGCCGCGATGCGCCGTGGAGCTGGGAGGCGGGGGTTCTTGTTTCCTCGGCGGCTCGCTGTTTTTTGGGGGGAAGGATGCAATGTGATCCACTACCTCCAAACCCTTGCCCTTTTTTTGGTAGGGTGGTAGGGGGGGCAGGGGAGAGTCACCGGACCTGCTTTCATGGGCGAAGCCTTGGTGCTCTGCTGTCCTTTTGGCATTGCTCCATTTTCCCAATTGAAAACCAGCGACGAGCGGTTCAAACTGTTTCTGGTCTCAGTCTGGCTCAATCATGCGGATAGGCCTTTTCAAGATCAATAGACTTCCACGGTACTTTTCTCGCTGGTGCTCAGCAGGGAATGAGCAATGGAATTGAATGACCCTTCTAAACCATCCCTGATTTGATTTCTCTGATTCAGGAATCAATCACGGTTCATTCCATTTATCGTTCCCTGCTCACCAGCGAGATTACAGTGTTTGCATAGCGGGTGACTTCTCCAGCCCGAGCGCAGGCGACGGCGCGGCGCCGGCCTGGCCCTCCCAGCGCTGGTGCGCCTGACGTGAATTTCCTGATGCATGAATGAACGCACGTGTGTGTGTATATATATATATATTTATATGCGCACAGAATATGTGTATATGTCTACATGTCAATGTATATGTACATGTGTTTGTGACCTACTTTGTTGTATGTACAGTATATGGATTTGTATGTGTTTATAAATTGTTTAATCGCTATTAAGCAAATCGCACAACTGTTTGGTGTGTAGCTTGTCAAGTTGTACTTCCTGAGTTCACTCCGGGAGCATGTGCCACCCTCACGCGGCCTGCTTCTAATGTAAACCGAAACACTGACGCATCAAAGTCCCGATTGTCAGCAATCAGTTGAGCCACTGGGTTTGGGGGGACTCGTCTGTACAAGTCTGGACTTGCCTGGACGCGCGAAACGGGGCTGGTCTCATCTATGCATGCGCCAAATCGGACCTGACGAGTTGGCTTGCACGCATAGCGGGGGCTGTCTTGTTTGTGCGCACTCGTTGGTGCATGGCAAAGTCGGGCTAGGTCCTGCCACAGCAACGTCTTGTGAGGCAAGTTTTTGTTTGCCCCTTCCACGCCCTGAAGGTCTTGATTAGACTGCAAGCACCTTGGGATCCTTTGCAGCCCTTCATGTTCCCTGGAGTACCCCCGGATGCTGGCGAGGCTACAAAGAGAAGGACAAGAGCCAAATGCACATTGCCCGAGTTTGGATATGAACAATGCGAAGATATGCAAAGCAAGTCAGCAGTCTTGTATTTCCTCTTGCCATTGCGAGCTAGGGGTACCGGGCCTGGGGCCAAAGCAGCCGAAGTAGATCTGTTACAATCCAGAATCTTTCTCACCTTGATTCAACATGCAAAGAGTTTGGGGCTCCCGCGCTTGTTCAATCGCACCATAGGCTATCTAAGTGCACTGATGGAAGGGAGATGGCCATGGTGTGCATGTCCACAGTTCGCGGTTGTGTGGTTTGCTGTCCAAAGAAACGATGCTCCTCTGTTCATCCGCGTTCTACTTGAACGCGTCACGTGCCTTGCTGGCTCAAACAGAGGCGGCAAACATGGCGAAAAGAATTCACCCGCACGACGGGCAGTTGCTCCAGATGCCCAGGGTCCGTGGGTGGACACTCCTAATCAACCAGCCTTTCCTTCTGGACTCATGCGAGGGGCCTGCCCCACTACTGTTCAATGCCCAACCTTGAGCCGGCCGCTGAAGCCAAACGAGCAACTGGCAATACTATTGGTAGTCTATATATATATATAGTTGTTTTGTTGAAGACGCGAAAGGCCCACCCAAATTTCCTGCCAAAACCATGGGGACAACCCAGCTTCCCAGGCTCTTTTGGGGAATCTAGTGATTTTTCTTGGCTCAACCCACGTTCTGTCAGTGTTTGTTGTGTGCGCAATGAGCCAGGTGGTTGCAACCCTGGTGGCTCAAGTTTTCAGGCCTTGGCGGGGTGGCCTGAGCGAGCATTTCTCCACGGTTGATGGCTGATTTGGCTATTTGGTTAGATCCTTAAGGTTCATCCTTTTGTGAGAATGCGTGCTTTTCCGCCAAGCGAGACAACCAAAGCACTTTTTTCAGATGGAGGCAATAGCACCAAGCTGAGAGCTTCGGGCTGTGATTTGAGTCATCGGTTTGATTGGGCATTCACCCGGCGCCCAAGGGCCGGTGTGGGGGCCTGCCACGTCGCATAGCTCCGCCCGGAAAGCATGAAGCCTTTCTGTAACACTGGTCTGTTGCACTGCAGTCACTGCATGATCCTAATCCCGTGCATGAAACATTCTGTTGCCCGGCCCGTGACCAGCGCTAGCAGAGCACCAGAGCACGCATTGGCAAATGAGTCATGTGCGGCAGGGCCACAAAAGTCACTGACAACTTTGGCAGGCGAGGTGCAAACGGCCTCAGCTTTGTGAATGGCGAGGCCTTGGAGGGCGTTCGAGCGATGGAGGGGGAGTTGAGGGGTTGCTCC